TTTTAAATTCTCATCAGCTGTGATTAGGGTTCCAATAATACTTATCCCCCCCCCCCCCCTTAAACTGTAGCCATCCTACTGTATGTGAAGTGGCATCTTATCTTTTGGTTTGATTTCTCTACTGACTTATGATGAGCATTTTTCATGTACTTATCTGCCATTTGTGTATCTTCTTTTTTTAAATCTTTATTGTTGAAAGTATTACAGATGTTTCCTCCCTTTTCCCCCATTAACTTCCTCCTCTCCACTCACACCCCCCATTTATGCATCTCCTTTGAAGAAATGTCTGCAGATCTTTTGCCCAACCAATTTCTGTTTTTTAAACAATTTTATATATTTATCTTTATTGTTGAAAGTATTACAGATGTCCTCCCTTCCAACCCATTTCTTTCTCACTTAATTTAATGTCACTACTAGAGAATTTAAATTTCCCATGTGTGACTGACATACTTCTCTTGGATGGTACTGCTCTGGGAGATTTTGAAGTTGCTGAGGCATAAAAAGAAGACACTGCTCTGGCCGGTTTGGCTCAGCGGTTAGAGCGTCGGCCTGCGGTCTGGAGAGACCCGGGTTCGGTTCCCACTAAGGGCACGTACCTCGGTTGCAGTTTGTCCCTGGCCCTGGTTGGGTTGTGCAGGAGGCAGCCACTCAATGTGTCCCTTTCACGTTGATGTTTCTCTCTCTCTCCCCCTTTCTCTCTCTCCCTCCCACTCTATCTGAACAAAAAAATGGAAAAATGTCCTCAGGTGAGGATAAAAAAAAGAAGACGACACTAATGAATGCTTCATATTTTCCCTTCATGCTTAATATCAGGCCCAGATCACTAAGATTGAGATTTTCATTTTAAGGTTCATCTCTCTGAGGCACTAGCAAGAATGTCATTACAGAGACGTTATCCAGGCACCTGAGTTTGCAATGGGTTTGCAAGGCTCAGATAGTTCGAGGGTCCTCTTTACTAAGGATTACATTAGGGTGGATCCTCACCTTCAAGGCAGTTTGATTATTTTAATGAGCCAAACAAATACAGCGGTAAAACTCACTGCTCTTTCATAATGCAGTCAGCATCACACTTCAGTGAGCTTTTCAAAAGTTAGTCTTTTTATTTTTTAAAATATGGTTTTATTGAATTTTTTTTAGAGAGAGAGGTAGGGAGAGGGAGAGAAACATCCATCTGCTCCCTCCTGCATGCCCCCTGCTGGGGATTGAGTTCATAACCCAGGCATGTGCTCTGACCAGGAATTGAACCTGCAGCCTCTTGGTGCACAGGATGGCACCCAACCAACTGAGCCACACGGGCCAGGCAAAAGTTAGTGTTTTTTATTATTTATTTAATTTCCTCCCGCCCTCCCTCCCTTCCTTTATTGATTTTAGAGAGAGAGAGGACGTGAGAGTGAGAGAGAGAGAAAAACATCAATGAGAGAGAACATCAATTGGCCGCCCCCTGCATGCCCCACACTGGGGATTGGGCCCACAACCTGGGCATATGTCCTGACCTGGATTCGAACCGGTGACCTCTTGGTGCATGGGTCAATACTCAACCACTGAGCCACACTGGCGGGACAAAAGTTGGTATTTTTAAACTTCAGTTATTTACATCTTACTGAGTTTACAGAATATAATTTATTGCAGATTTACTGCTTTGAAAATTTACTGTGAAATGTTGAGCTTATTTTTCTAGAAATCTAAAGCAGAAATAGTTTGATCACATATGCTTGTTTCCCAGAATAGAAGGGTTATGATGCATTTGTGCATGAAAGATTCATCTTGAGGTCTTCTGAGTCCAGTTTCCTGTTACATCCCCATGGTACTTACTGTGCCTCCTCGTCTACTGCTGAGTGTCCCCGGGGACAGTCTCTCTCACCAGGAAGTGCAGTGCCCCTCAGAGTCACTGTGCACCAACATGTGAAAAACAACCGAGGTGTTTCAAGTATCATTCATTTAAAAATAATTTTGTTTAATGCAGGTGTTTTTTTCTTTTGGTTGAACGTCCCAAAAAGTTATAAGCATTTTCATGAAAATGATTCAACAAGATTTACAATAAATAATAAAACTACATATAAAAGCTTGATAGCATTTTATGATCCTTTTCTGATTTACTGGAGTGGAGACTGTTTTTCCCTGCACAAGTAAGTCGGTGGAGGAAGATAACTAACATATATTTCCTTGGGCAGAATAAAAGCACATGGGAGACTGAAATATCTTCAGATATTTCAGAAATGCAGCAATTTCTGAACCTTCTTAATCCCCCAGATATTTGCAAATTCCCGTATGGATTTTTTTCAGGGGTGGGGCTAACGGGAACGAGTAGAGAAGGGACAAGTAAAATTGCCCTATTTTTATGTTGCCATAATTTAGAAATGATTTACCCAGGAGATGACCGTTTTTGAGATATAATCAGTGTTCCTTTTCTTTTCAGCTCTGATGTGTAGAGGGAAGGAGGTTTTGATGCCTAGGCGAGGTGGAAGTTGAAGTGTACAGTTTGGTAGTGTTAAATGTATTCATGTTGTTGTGCAAAAGGTTTCCAGAAATCTTTTATCTCACAACAGTGAGACCCTGTGCTCATTCAACCCTAATTCCCCTCCTCCCTCCCCCAGCTCTTGGCAGCTGTCCACCTTTCTACTTTCTGTTTCTATGGTTTTGACTGCTTTAGATGACTTTGTGTGAGTGCAATCATACGGTGTTTGTCCTTTTCTGACTGGGTTGTTTTGCTTAGCATTACGTCCTCAGTGTTCATCCATGTTGTAGCATGTGTCACTCTTTTTTATTTTTATTTTTTTACCCTCAACTGAGGATATGATTTTACTGATTTTAGAGAGAGAAGGGAGGGAGAGAAAGAGAAACATCGATCAGCTGCCTCCTGTACGCACCCTGACCAGGGATTGAACCCACAACCTTAGTATGTGCCCTGACTGGGAATCGAACCCACAACCTTTTGGTGCGTGGGATGATGCTCCAACCAACTGAGCCACCCTGCCAGGGCCTGTCACTCCTTTTTTTTTTTTTTTATCCTCACCCGAGGACATTTTTTGTTCAGATAGAGAGGGAGGGAGAGAGAGGAAGAGAGAGAGAGAGAGAGAAACATCGACGTGAAAGGGACACATCGAGTGGCTGCCACCCGCACGACCAACCAGGGCCGGGGACAAACTGCAACCGAGGTACGCGCCCTTAGCGGGAACCGAACCCGGGTCTCTCGGGACCGCAGGCCGACGCTCTAACCGCTGAGCCAAACCGGCCAGGGCTAAAGGCTGCATAATATTCTGTATGCACATTTTCCTTATCCATGGAGGGAAATGTCAGCTCTTGGCTCTTGTGAATAGTGCTGCTACCAAGCACTGGGATGCAGATGGCTTGTCCAGGTCTTGCTTTGAGTTCCTTCACATGTACACCCAGAAGTGAGAGTGCTGGATTAGGTGGTCATCTTCTGTCTTTTTAACGGAAAGTGTGCAAGCCTTTTCCAAGAGTAGCAGTAGCTATAAGCTGTGCTGATCTGATTCCCTGCTGGGTGAATCCTCCTGTCCCGGCAGGTTCTCTTCTCTCTGCGGCGGTGTATGTATAGATCTTTTTCTTTTCAGTTGGCCTGGAGGATCTGTAAGCACCCCTCTTGATGGCCTCTCCCTGAGACATTAATCATTCAGGATATTGTCACTGTGACTTCTTTCCTTTTGTACCAGGAAATGTTCCTTTGTTCAAATCTCCCAAAATAAACAGATTAGTCTGGCTGGATTTCATTTCTGAGAGCACACCCCTCTATTCATAAACTCCCGGACTCCAGAAAACTGTCCAGGCCAAAGAGAGATCAAGGGCTGGACGGAGGGGTCCAGGAGGAAACCAGAGGCACAGAAAGGGGAGGTGGTGTGGCTGTCATCGTCACCAGTAACCAGCACTGGGACGGAAATGCGTCTCCCAGGGATGGGCTGCGTGTCCAGTGTGTGGCATTTTCTAAACTTTGTTGATTGTGACAAAGTAAGAAACTTTCCCATTGTGGCCCAGGACACAGTGTGTGTGTTCACAAAACAACCCTTAGTGTGCTGTGCTGATGTGTAATGTTCCCGCCCTGTCTGTTTCAGGTTTTTGTTTGCTTTTAGCACTGGGTGCAGTCCACCAGATTGGTGTCCTCCTCAGGATTTAGACCCAGTTTGGCACGTGGTGATGGAGAGCTCACTCCCTGGGGCCGGCTGGGCTCAGGTTTGGCTTTGCCTGCTTGCTGTTGAGAGAGCCACGTGACCTCAAGTGCCCCAGGCCGTCTGTGCCTCAGTTTCCTACCCCCTAAGGTGAATAACATTCTGCCAGCCTCACGTAGCTGGTGTGAAGAGTGAGCTGGTAGAGGGGTGCTCCCCGGAGCCCCGGCTGTGCAGTGGTCACAGCACATGCCGCTGCTGGTCACGCTTACCTGCACACTCACTTTTCTTACTTTTTCCTTTTCTTACATTGTTATCCTGAGTCCTGGGTTGCTTTTTCCCTTTTCTGTCGGCAACATTCCCGACTTTGTGTAACTAACTGGGCGTGAACCCTCCACTCCCCAAGTTGTAGACTGTGGACAGAAGGAGGGGGCCAGAGGTTAAATGACTCAGGACCCCGTGCTGGTGGGGTGGTCACCAAGTTTCCTGCTCTTTGCGCTGTTAGCTGGCCTGGAGTTCAGAGGTGGACTTCTGACTGAGGATGGGACTGAGCGCAGGCTTCCCCAGGGAAAGGCCAGAGGGGCCTTGCCTGCAGGGGGAGCCCGTTCTGGAGCTCAGATGGGGCTCGGGACCTGGTTACCCCTTGCTCCGGGTACGGGCTGGTGTGTGACCAGCAGGCTCTCCGCGTGGGAGTTCCTTTCCCGGTTGTGAACATCAGATAGTCCAGCAGAGGGCTGCCCGCCCCGGGACCCTCCTCCTGGCCTCTGCTTTGGGTGGGGGAGGGGCTGCACCCCTCCTTTTTTCCCCACCTGTTCGTCTTACCAGGGCTCTTCTGAGTTGTTAGGTTCTGGGTGTTTCATTCTGCATTTGTCTCTCTTGCAGGCAGTGTTGGTGAATAACATCACCACCGGCGAGAGGCTCATCAGATCCCTGCAAGGTGAGCTCCCCCCTCCTTCGCACCTGACGGCAGGCCTGGGGGCACCTTTCCTCTCGTCCTTCTCCAGCTTTCTTATTCCGACCTCATGATGGTGCTGTTATGAGCGATTGAGTCATCTTCAATTTATTCTTTTTGCCTAACTGTATTTCCTTAAAGAGCTTTTCTTTTAAAAATGTTACTGAATACATTGCAAGCTGTTCTGTACAGAGAAGTCACACTCTCATTTTATGATATGTTGAAAAAAATATATATTTATGCCCACATACATATCTGTGATGTGTATGTGATCTGTGTTATGGATATATGATACCTGTACAGGGTTGGGCAAAAGTAGCTTTACAGTTGTTTGTATGGAAAATAATACAGTCATTAATAACTAAGAATAAGAATAAACTCGGTTTCGTGTGCTAACAACTGCAAACCTCCTTGCCCCACCCTGGAGTTCACTGGACAGTGCCGATCTGGAGTTCTGAGAGCACTATCGTGGAAATGCAGGGTCACCCCAAGTTAAACGGGCTCCTCGGTTCCCAGGGCTTCTCAGAGCTTGTGAGCAGCTGATGTCCCTGCTCAGCCCTCAGGAGGGGAACACGGTCTGCAGCCTTCCCCTGCCGTCCTGTGCTGTCACAGAGGTGTGTGGAGAAATGTGTCATTAGGTAATTTTGTCATTGTGCAAACAACATCACGTGTCCTTACCCAAACCTAGATGGTGTAGCCTACTGCACACTTGGGCCCTGGGGTAACCGCTGTCACAGAAGTGGTCTGTCACTGACCAAAATATCGTGATGCAGAACGTGACTGTGCTTATTCTTTGTAAACAACTTTAATCAGGTGCGGTTGACATATAATAAACGACACCAGTTTAAAGTGCACAATTTGACAAGTTTTGAAACGTGTGCGTGTCAGGAAACCACCCAAATCAACACAGCACACATATCCATCACCCCCAGAGGTTCTCTGTGCCCCTTGGGGGTCCTCCCCAGGCAGCCCGACATGCTCTCTGCCTCCGTAGACCAGTTTGCATTTTTTACAGTTTTATACACACGGAATCAGACAGGGTATATGCTTTCTTGTCTGGTTTCTGTCACTCAGCATACTTTGCAATCCATCCATGCTGTTGCGGATGGCATGGTTCATTCCTTTTCATGGCCCGAGCTCAGTGTGATTGTGGAATCGTTGTTTTAAGGGTTAGGGTTACTGAACTGTGCTTCACACACAATGAAATTTGCCCTCTGCAGTGTGCCTCTCTCTACGTTTGGACAAAGGCATAGTTTCCTAGGCCCCCACAGGCACAGTAAAGACACAGCTCATGTCCATCACTCCAGGAGGCTCCCCCCAGCTCCCACCTCAGCCTCAGGCAACCCCTGAGAAGTTTTCCAGCCCAGCCCACCCCGGTTTTGCCTTTTCAAGGACATTACATACATGTTTTTGGGAGGGATCCGTGTTACAGTATGGGTCCGAAGTTCAGCGACTCCTTCGCTTTCATTACTTTCCCCCAGAGAGCCTGGTAGTTCTAGAGTTGCAAGGACAAGCCTTGGGGAGCTTGAGTGTCTGCCCAGGGCCGAGTCCCCAGCCCAGATGCTGCGGTCTGTCCATTCTGGTGTCACCGCTGTGGCAGTTTGTCCTTCCACCCCCAGCTTGGTGCTTTGTCAGCTGCTGCTTTTTCCTTTACTGATATTAGAGAGGGGGGGGGGGAAGGAGAGGGAGGGAGAGAAAGAAACATCGATGAGAGAGAACATTGATTGGTCGCCTCCTGCATGCCTCCCACTGAGGATCCGGCCTACAACCCGGGCATGTGTACTGACCAGGAATCGAACCAGCGACTTCTTGGTGCATGGGTCGATGCTCAACCACTGAGCCACACTGGCCGGGTGAGCTGCTACTTTTTTCTATAGAGCTTTGACAAGATTATTTTTGTGTTTCTGTAGCATCCCATCCTTTCTCTTTTGCAGTTCTCATTAGACTTATAAATACCTACTTAGTTTCTGTTTTATGAGCCAAGTGGTCAGGGCAGCAGGGCTGGGGCTAATGCACTTCCTCAAAGAAAGCTGCACTTTCCCAGAGAAGAGGGGCTGGTGATCAGCTGGACCTGGGGGCCTCAGAGAGCGGCTGGCCGTGGTTAGACAACAGCAGGACACTGCAGTGGCCTGGCAGCCAAGAATGGGGGTTTGGCAGGAGGGGGCTACTTAATTGGACCAGGTGTCGCAATCAGTGGAGTACATAGTAGCATTTGTGACCTTGTGGGACAGCTCAGATTTTATGATGTCTTGAAAAGAAAGAGGCATTTTAAGGGTTGGAGGTCAAAAAAGAGATTTAAGAAAGAAGAGATGTTTAGAAAAAAAGCAAGGTGGGGGCCCTGGCCAGTTTGGCTCAGCGGTTAGAGCGTCAACCCGCAGACCAGAGTCCCAGGTTTGGTTCCTGCTAAGGGCACATACCGTGGTTGCGGTTTGTCCCTGGCCCCGATTGGGGTCATGTGGGTGGCAGCTGGTTGATGTGTCTCTCTCACATCGATGTTTCTCTCTCCCTCTTCCTCACTCCCTCTCTCCCCCTCTATCTGAAGATAAATGCAAAAATGCCCTCGAGTGAGGATACAAAAAAAAAAAAGGCAAAGTGAAGGTTCCTGTCAGACCGCATCTCGCAGCCTTTCCTGGTTGGCGAGTCTTGAGTGCTGGGAGGGGCCATGTTCTCATCCCTTCCTCTTTCCCTCCTTATTCTCTGGTGTGCCACTGCCCATTGGGTTCCGGTTGTGGGCCTTGGTGTGTCTGCTGTTGTTCCGCCGGCCCTCCTGTGACCTGTGTGATCTCCTGTCTTTCTCTTGGCTTAGACCAATTAAAGGCCCTGCAGAAGAATTATGGAAAACTGCAGCAGGATGTCCTCCAGTTTCAGAAGAACCAGACCAACCTGGAGAGGAAGTTCTCCTATGACTTGTAAGTGTTTCTCCGCATCAAGCGCACGCACTCGGGGGCTGCTGAATTCTAGGCTGAGGGCAGCAGGCGGGTCCAGCATAATCTCCACTCGCCCTCCCCATTACAGCACATGCAGGGCTCTGTGGGACGGTTCTGGTCCCTGTGAGGAGTCGGGTCCTTCAGAAAGAATGCACTTTATAGTGTGAGTGTGAGCAGTGCTTCAGAGAGCCATGGCAAAATGTTAGCCAGTGGGCTCGGACTACAAGATAAATGAGAGGGCAGTTCTCCTTAGCGGGAAATGACTTACTCAATATACTTTAAAGCTTAATATAACTTAACACTCTGTGAAGCGCAGGCAAACTGGTTAGGTCAGTAAATCTAAACCTTTAAAAGTGTGTTCACTACTAACCTATGGACACAGACATTAGGGTGGTGAAGGCTTGGGGCAGGATGGGAACCGGAAGAAGGGGGGACCATAAGGGAGGATGGGGGGACATCTATAATACTCTCTCAACAATAAAGATTTAACTGAAAAAAAAAGTGTGTTCTAGAAGTGCTCAGATGTGACCTAAGTCCAGCTCCCTGACCAAGAGGCTTGTTGGCGTAGTACCAGTATGCTATATTGCCTTTGTTTTCTTGAGGCTTTTAAGTGTCCAGATTTCTACAGTGAGAATGGAGTACTTTAATTTTCCCAGCTTTATTGAGGTATGATCGACAGATGTGTATATTTAAGGTGTAAAACATGATGTTATGATATACATTGTGAAATGCTGCCCCTGACCAAGCTAATTAACCATCCATAATCTCACGTACTTGCTTTTTTTTGTGCCTGGTGAGAACACTTAAGCTGTTCTCTTAGTAAATTCCAGGTATGCAATACATTATTATTAACTTAGTCACCATGCTGTACATTAGACCTCTGGCTTATAGCTGACATCTGTTTTAAGCTAATAATAACTTCAGTCACATATAAAAACTACACATTTACTCATTGGAGTACTTTTATAATCAAAATAAAACAAAAAACTTTAAAAAAGTTAGCAAAACCAAGTAAGATAGTAAAAAACCAATTTAGAGGATAGAGAATGAAATTGTAGTTGGTGTATTTTTTTTTTCCTCATAAAAACAGTATAACTCAGGTACAGAAAGTTTGGGATTTGGGGATGTCCAGCCACCCATGACCCCAGACTATTTTCTCTGACGTACTACTCATCTGGTCTCTGCCCAAGTTCACACAAATTCTTTACAAATTGTACTCACCATTAATATTTTTTTTAAATATGTTTTTCATTTTAGAGAGAGAAGAAGGGAGAGGGAGAGGGAGAAAGAACCATGTGAGAGAAACATCGATTGGTTGCCTCCCAAATATACTCTGACCCAGGACCGAACCTGCTACCTGGGCATGTGCCCTGATTGGGAACCGAACCAGCTACCCCTTGGAACACGGGATAATGCTCCACAAACTGAGCCACACCAACCAGGGCTCACCATTAAACTTTTTAAATCATTTTTTTACTTACTTGCATTATGTATATATAAAAATTGGTTTTGTTCTGAAATGTTTCACTGTTAAAAATGGGTTGTTAATATTCAATACTATGGAGGTATCAAATTTAATTCACCATTTTTCTGTTTGTTGGATATTTAGGTGACTTTTAAGTTTTGGTTATTCTAACTGGCCTGATAGTAATACCTGTAACTTTTCAAAATTATCATTTTGGATTAGTTCCTTCTAAAAAGTACTCAACTCCAGGCTTAGTGTGTCATTTGGTGTAAATGGCCAGACTGCCTTCTGAAAAGATTTTGGGCATCTGCATGGTGACGAGACTAAGTTTCCTCACACCTGTTGCCCTTGTAGGGATTCTGATGTCTTCCAAAAGATTGTCCACTCACCACATATCTTCCTGGTCACTTTAGAAATATATTTCTATTGATTTTTTTTTTAGAGAGGAAGGAAGGGGGAGAGAGAAACATCTATCGGCTGCCTCCTGCACGCCCCCTACTGGAGATCGGGCTCGCAACCCAGGCATGTGCCCTGACTGGGAATTGAACCAGGACCTCTCAGTCCATGGGACGACTCTCAACCCACTGAGCCGCACCGACCAGCTTCTTCCTGATCACTTAAAACTAAATACAACTCAAACCAGGAACCCCCAAATACATAAATATGCAAAGGACATGTGTAGTCAGTACATAGGAAACATAAGAAAATATGCATATAGAATCTTACTCAGCTAGGCAAGTGGTTCTCAGTGGGTGGTGTTTTGCCCAAGGAGACTTTTGGCAGACAGTTATGGTTGTCACAACACGGAAGAGGGTGCTACTGGCATTTAGCGGGTAGAAAGCTGCTAAGCTTTCTACAAAGACAGGGCTCCTCCCACAACAAAGTTTTGCTTGCCCCAAAAAACCCATAGTGCCGAGTTGAGAAACCCTGAGTGAGGCTGGTAGTCAACAATAACTGTCAGACAAAAATGAAGTGCTCCAGTCTTATTATTACTCATCCTTGGAAGACACCTAAATGCACACATTTCCCTTCCATTGACTGCCATGCAATAAGCCATTAATGGCCTCACTTGATATATTTGACCCAGAAGATTTTAGCTAGACATCAACCAGGGCCCGGTGATGGGTCAGCTCTGCTTGCCAAACAGGAGCATTCAGACACGCATTGAGCAGAATGTTCTCACCTGGGTTGGCTGTGTGTGCAGGACACACTGTTTTTCTCTCAGGAGGATTGAAAACTCTGGCTGAGCACATTTATTTCATTAGTTGTGTCCAAAGCCCTGAACTAGATGCAAGATGCTTACCAGGCATGATGTTCACGGAATGTTGAAAGCTGGAAAATGTTCGTTGTTCTTAACTTTCTTTAGATTATAGACCCTTAGTGAGGATCTAATGAAAGGTATGAACACCTCGTTAGCAAATTTGTAAGTGGACATATACACAAGGTTGTTTGTCAGGATCCCACAAATTGAAGGCACAGCTTTGAATATATGTCCATTTATAAACTTGCTCATCGTCCGTTAAAACACCCCCTCTGGCCCTGGCCTGTTTGGCTCAGCGGTTAGGGTATTAGCCTGCGGTCCAGAGGGACCCAGGTTCGGTTCCCGCTAAGGGCACGTACCTCAGTTGCAGTTTGTCCCCGGCCCTGGTTTGGTCGTGCGGGTGGCAGCCACTTGATGTGTCCTGTTCACATCGATGTTTCTCTCTCTTTCTCTCCTCTCTCCCCCTCCTACTCTATCTGTACAAAAAATGGGAAAGTGTCCTCGGGTAAGGATTAAAAAAAAACAAAAAACCCCTCTGGTCTCAACATTTTATATAAGGTGGTGCTGAGAATGAAGCACCTGGCAGAAATGCCAGGTTTCCTGATGAACAAGTCAGTGTTCTGCAGATGTCAGAGTCAGCACACATCCCCATTTCTTACTGCTACCCCGTGGCAGACATCACTAAGCCATTACTGTACCTGGTCCAAACACAGCCTTCCATTCTCTCCCCAAAGCACCTGGAGTTGGTGTGTGAGATGAGATGCCAGGGCCATGAGGAAGTAGAGTTGGAGTTGGTGGAATATAATTAGTAACACTCTGACGTCAGCACCCGGGATAATTAGGACGTTCTGATTATCCATTCTGAGCACATTGCTTCATAGTCTTCCAGACGTCAGCTGCACCAGTTGGGATCATCTCGGGGGCCCCAGTGTTATGTCTCTACATTTTAGCTCCAGTTAATGCCTGAACACTTACCATATAGGTGTAAGAAAAAGCCAGCCTGAGACCTCCAGGATGTAACACTGTCACGATCTGTCTAACCTGTGTCTCAGAATTTGAGCTTCCTTCTGAGGTTGTTCCTTTTACTGTTGTCGAGTTGGAGTATGGAAATCTGACCTTAATCTGATCTGTAAGGCCCTTTGTTCTTGATTTTGGCAAGGTTGAGAGCAGGCAAAGACATTATTTCCTTTTGTAGGTTGAAAGGTTCAGGAATGGCCCTGCACCTGCCCCTTTGCTAGTCCCGAGCTTCTGTGAAATTGTTGGATAACAGTGAATTGGACACATCTAGTTTTTTCAGTATACCGATGTCTTTTTGTTCACTGTGCTAAGCTATTGGGTTACTAGTCTACCACCTGTGGCTTGCGTGTGTGTGAATGTTATATAAATGAATTTTCACCAAATCTCTTGATCTATAAACTGTGCAGGGTCAGGAACTCTGTCTTCCGTTATTTCTAAAGTACCTGATGTCCTTCTGTGTGTGTGGTATGCTGAGATCCACTGAGCCCTGCTGGGTGCACTGATGGGTGCATTGCAGGAGTTAGGGGTTGAGTGTGTTTATACTTGGCTGTGAAATGCATGTGACCAGAAGAGGCGGTGTGTGGTAGAGCAATGCACACTCAGGAAACCACAGTCTGGCTTCTTTTTCTTTTCTTTCTTTCTTTCTTTCTTTCTTTCTTTCTTTCTTTCTTTCTTTCTTTCTTTCTTTCTTTCTCTCTTTCTTTCTTTCTCTCTTTCTTTCTTTCTCTCTTTCTTTCTTTCTCTCTTTCTTTTTCTTTCTATTAACAGAGTTCAGCTTTTTATTGAATGTGTTACAAAAGATTTAGTCAAAAAGACCAAAGCCCATGTCAGCATCAGACTCCTCAGACTCTTCTTTCTTCGCTTCCACTTTCTTCTCCTCAGCTGGTGCAGCAGCCGTGGAGGGGGCAGCACTAGCTGCTGGGGCAGGTCCACCAGCCCCTACACTGCAAATGAGGCTCCCAGTGTTGACATCGGCCAGAGCCTTTGCAAATAAGCCTGGCCAGAAGGGTTCAACATTTACACCTGCTGCTTTAATGAGGAATGAGGGCATTGATCTTATCCTCCGTCCCGTCACCTCATCATCGTGCAGAGTAAGGGCCGAGTAGATGTCGGCGAGCTCTGAGACGGGCCATGGCGTGGCCGAGGGCTGGGCGAGCGCTGCCGGCAGCGGTACTAGTCTGGATGAAGTGAGGGCCTCACCCCACCGCGGCCTTCGCTTCCTCCGCTTCCTCGGACGGACAGCACCTTACCTTACCGGCAGCTGGGGAAAGGGGCTTCTGTTTCAACCTCACGCCTTCTCTCTCTGCAACCCTGGATGGTGTCCGTCCAGTCACCTCTTATCTTCCTTATTTGTACAAGGGTAATTCTCTCAATCACTTTATTTTTAAAAACATTTTTTAAAAATTGATTTTAGAGAGGAAGAAAGAGAGAGAGAGAGAAATGTCAATGAGAGAACATCGACTGGCCGCCTCCTGCCTGCCCCCCACTGAGGATGGGGCCCACAACCTGGGCATGTGTCCTGACCAGGAATCAAACCGGCGACCTCTTGGTGCATGGGTCAGCGCTCAACCACTGAGCCACACTGGCCTGAGTAGCTATTGTTTCTTAATCAAACTAGATCATTTTCATGAGTGCTCATATAAACCACCAAAAATACTTCTTAGGAAAAGCCATTTAGAATTGGGTCCTGAAGAATGGGGAATAAGAGGGAGATTAGGACTTGTTCTAGAAGAGAGAGAGAACTGGGGAGCTCAGGGTGGTCTGTCTGGGCAAGGCCCATCGTATCATATTGTCAGGGCATGAGTGAAAAAGCAGTATCTCGGGGGTGGGCATAAAATGATTAGTTGTGTGGGCCTTGCTCGAAGTCTCCTTCCTAGATTCTGATGACGTGAATCTTAGGTCTTCAATTGCAGTCACCTAGTCACTGAAACTATGTTTTTGTTTTTAATTTCCCCAGTCAGTTTTTACCTGTGTTCAGATGGGGTGATATCTATTGTGCTATCTTTCAGTTCACTGAGCCTTTTCTCCACTGGGTTTTTGATTTTGGTTATTGGATTTTTAAGTTCTAAAAATTCCATTTGATTCCTCCTTAAATCTTCTATTTCATTTCTAAGATTTTCTGTTTCTTTACTGAGACTATTTTTTCATTTGCTTCAAGCATATGTTTTAAATGCTGATGGAAATATTTTTCTGGTACCTGCCTTATAATCTGTCAGATCATTTAACTTCTCTGTCATGTCGATATTGATATCTGTTGATTCTCTTTTCAGTCAGTTTGAGATCTTCCTGGTTCTTGATGTGATGAGTGATTTTTGATGGAAGCCTCTGGGGCAGTGGCGAAAGCCCTGACTCTTCATTGACATCCTCATGGGGCGATGTGGGACCTCATTACTGCCAGTCAGGGGTAGAAAGGCTGGCTTCCCATGTACTCTCCAGTGACCCCACTGGGTTCTTTAGGTCCAAAGTCCCTAGCTGGTTTGCCTTTTTCTCTTCACCTTTCTGAGTCTTCTTATGTTTGTTTTAAATATAGTGTCCAGGGTTTCTAGTTGTGCTTAATGGAGGAATAGGGAAAAATACCTCTATTCCATCTTGGAAGTCAAAATTCAATTCAATTTTGACACTGCTCAGAATTAGCACAAACCTCACAGATTAAGGGGCTCAGGCCCATAAGACTGCCCCTACTTCACACCCCAGCCGAAAGTTCTGGGTGTTCCCAAGCCACCTGTACTTTTGTCTGCCTGCCTGCGAATTCAGGGCTTCCCACGAGCCCCTCGGGTATGGTTCTTTAGAACAACTTAGAGAACTCAAGAAAGTTCCTTACTTACAGTTACAGTCTGATTATAAAGGATACAACACAGGAACAGCTAAAAGATGGTAGAGTCCCACAGGCAACGTCTGGGGTGAGGTGGGGTAGGCAGGAGCTTCTGTGGGAGTTGGGGTGCCACCTTTCTGGTACACACGTACGTTCTCCAGCTGGGAAGCTCGAGGAGCGACGTGGTCCAGAGTGTCCGTCTGAGGTTTTATTACTTAGACGTGATCGATTAAGTCATCGGTCACATGACCGAACCCAATCTCCAGGCCCTCCCCTCCCCCTGGAGGATGGGGGTGGGGCTGAAAGTCCTAGCCCCTTAGTCACAGGATGGTTCCTCTGGCCACCGGCCCCTCCTGAAGCTTAGGGTCCTCTCCATGCGCCAGCTCATTAGCATAAACTCAGGTATGGTCCTGGGCCTCAATATGACTAACGGAAGCCACTCCTATTACTCAGGGAATGCCAAGGGCATTAGGAGGTCTGTGCAGGTAGCCAGGGACAAAGACCGAATTTTTGTTTTTTTAAATTATATCACAGATTATGTTTTAAAAATTGTTTTGTTCTAACCTATAAAGTCTGTCTGTTTTAGAACAAGGTGACATATTAGTGAGTTTCAATCCACTACAGTTTTCTCATCATTTAGCAGTTGCCTTACGTATCATCTTTAGATAAAGCGTCTGGAGCAGCAAAAGGGTGAGCTGTGGCTTTGACAGAGTAGATTTCACAGTCCCGGCAGGGACACGCTCGGCACACCGGTAGCTGTCTGTCCTTTCCTTCTGTCACCAAAGGAGCCAGTGCATCAGTCAGATGCAGGAGGTGAAGGAGCAGTGTGAGGAGCAGATAGAAGAAGTCACCAAGAAGGGCAATGAAGCCGTGGCTTCCAGAGACCCGAGTGACAAAAAGGAACAAAGCCTGCAGGTAATTCCGGCTTTTTCTGCCAGTGATTTCCAGAAGGTATTCCCAGCCCTCTTCAGGCATTTGGTTCCCTTGTCTGCTGTCTGGTTGGCTCTGTTCTCCTCTCCCTAGTGGGTTTGCTTCTGTGAGACACCACAGCCTGGGCCTGGGAGGGCGGGACTCCGGGTAGGCTGGCCTCGGGTCCCAGCCCCGCGCTCTGGGCTCTGCCAGGGGCACTTCCCTTACAGCTCACAGCCAGCTTGGGAGGCAGTGGCTGTTATTTTCCTGTTTTGAAGGTGCTGGGACCCACGATGATGGTTAAATACTGTGGCCAAGGTTACACCATCAGAGCCCGTGCTGTAGGATGCCTCCCGTGCAAGCACAGCCCATGGAATTGCTTCCGCAAGATCTTTGGGTTTTTTTTTGTTGTTGTTTTTTTTTTATCCTCATCCGAGGACATTTTTCCATTTTTTGTACAGAGTGGGAGGGAGAGAGAGGAAGAGAGAGAGAGGGAAACATCGATGTGAAAGGGACACATCGAGTGGTTGCCACCCGCACGACCAACTAGGGCCGGGGACAAACTGCAACCGAGGTACGTGCCCTTAGCAGAACCGAACCCGAGTCTCTCCGGACCGCAGGAGGACGCTCTAACCGCTGAGCCAAACCGGCCAGGGCAAGATCTTTGTTTTTATTTTAAAATGTAACAGCTTTGTTGAAGTATAATTAATATACCATACAGTTCACCTGTATATTTGTAATTTGTTGGTTTTTAGTATATTCACAAAGTTGTGAAATCATCACAATCGATTTGAGAACATTTTATTACCCCCAAAGAAACCCCATACTCATTAGCCCCCCCCCCCAACACTTCCCCTCGAACCCTAGACAACCACAGGCCATTTTCTGTGTCTGTAGAGTTGCCTGGTCTGGACGTTTTGTATCAGTGAAATCATACAGTATGTGATGTTTTGTCTGACTTCTTTCATTAATGTATTCAAGGTTCATCCACGTTGTAGCTTTATTTTTTTATGGCTGAATAATATTCCATTGTATGATGTACCACTTCTCTTTGTTCATTTGTCAGTTGATAGTTGTTTGGGTTATTTCTGTTTTTTGACGTTAATGAGTAATGTTGCTATGGACATTCATGTATACATTTTTGTGTAGACATAAGTTTTTATTGCTGGGTCATGGTTACTGTTTAATGTATTGAGAAACTGCCAGTCTGTTTTTGGAAAGTGATCATAACCATTTTACATTTTCAGCAGCAGTTATAAGGGTTTGAGTTTCTCCACATCCTTGTCGGTTCCTGTTATTATCTGTCTTTTACATTTCAGCCATTTTAGTGAGTGTGGAGTGGCATTTCATTGTGGTTTGGAGTTGCGTTTTCCTAATAACTAAAAGTGTTGAATATCGTCTCGTGTGCTTATTGACCATTTGTATGTCAGACCCTTTGTCCATTTTTAACGTTATTTTTTACTGAGTTGTAAGAGTTCTTCATGTATCCATACATATATACAGCTATTGGATATATGATTTGCAGATTTTTTTCTCATTCTGTGAGTTATTTTTCACTTTCTTGTTGGTGTTCATTGAAGCAAAAAGTTTTTTTTTTTTTAATTTTATTTTTTATCCTCACCCGAGGACATTTTTCCATTTTTGTTGTTGTTGTTGTTCAAGTAGAGTGGGAGGGAGAGAGAGGAACACAGAGAGAGAGAGAGAAACATCGATGTGAAAGGGACACATCGAGTGGCTGCCACCCGCATGACCAACCAGAGCCGGGGACAAACTGCAACCGAGGTACAAGCCCTTAGCGGGAACCGAACCCGGGTCTCTCGGGACCGCAGGCCGACGCTCTAACCGCTGAGCCAAACCAGCCAGGGCAAAGCAAAAAGTTTTAAATTTTGATGAGGTTATATTTATTTATATCTTGTGTTGCTTATTCTTTTGATGTCATATCTAAAAATACGTTGCCTCACCCAAGGTCATGAAGATTTACTCCTCCATTTTCTTCTCAGAGTTTTGTAGTTCTTCATGTTTAGTTCTTACATTTAGTCCTATGATCCATTTTGAGTGAATTTAAATTTTGTATATGCTGTGAGGGTAGGGATTCAACTTCATTCTTTTGCATTGGATATCCAGTTGTCTCAGCACTATTTATTGTGGAAAAAAATCCTATTCTTTCCCACAATGAATTATCTTGGCACCCTTTCAAAAATCAGTTTGCTATCAACATGAGAGTTTATTTCTGGACTCTCACTTTTATTTCATTGTCTGTCCTATGTCAGTACCTTACACACAGTCTCGATTACTGTAGCTTAATAGTAAGCTCTGAAATCAGGAAGAGTGCTTCCTCCCACTTTGTTCTTTTTTCCCCCCTAAGATCATTTTGGCTATTCTGTATCCATTGGCTTTCCATATGAATTTTAGGATCAGTTTATCAATTTCTTTAACAAAGCCAAGTGGGATTTTGAGAGATTACATTGAATCTGTAGTTTGAGGAGCATTGCCATTTTAGCAACATTAAGTCTTTTTTTTTTTTAATGTATAAAATGGGATATCTTCCACTTAAGTCCTTTAAAAATATCTTTTAACAATGTTTAATGGTTTTCAGAAGTCTTGCACTTCTTTTGTTCAATTTATTTCTAAGCAGTTTTTGGTGATATTATAAATGGAATTTTTTTTTTTTAATCCTCACCCGAGGACATTTTTCCATTTTTTGTTCAGACAGAGTGGGAGGGGAAAAGAGGAGGGGAGAGAGAGAGGAACATCAATGTCAAAGGGACACACTGAGTGGTTGCTGCCTGCGTGACCCAATCAGGGCTGGGGACAAACTGCAACCAAGGTACATGCCCTTAGCGGGAACTGAACCTGGGCCTCTCTGGACCGCAGGCTGACGCTCTGATTGCTCAGCCAAACCAGCCAGGGCTGGAATTGTTTTCTTAATTTTATTTTTAAATGATCTATTGCCGCCCTAGTCAGTTTGGCTCAGTGGTTATAGCGTTGGCCTGTGGTCTGGAGAGACCCGGGTTCAGTTCCCGCTAAGGGCATGTACCTTGGTTGCAGTTTGTCCCCGGCCCTGGTTGGGTCACGCAGGTGGCAACCACTCGATGTGTCCCTTTCACGTCGATGTTTCTGTTCCTCTCTTTCCCTCCCACTCTATCTGAACAAAGAATGGAAAAATGTCCTCCGGTGAAGATAAAAAAAAAAAAATCTATTGCCAGTGTATAGATATGCAGATATTTTTTTATTGATCCTATATCTAGCAAACTTGCTAAACTTGTTTAATCTGATTTTTTGTTTGTTTTGTGATTCCTTTGAATTTTTTATATACAAGATTATGTCATATAAAAGTTGAGGTAGTTTTACATGTTTCTTTCCAATCTGGATGCCTTTTCTTTTTCTTGCCTAATTGCTCTGGCTAGAACCTCCAGTACAATGTTTTTGATCACAGAGGGAAACCATTAACTCTTTTACCATTAAGTTTGATATTAGCTGTATGTTTTTCATAGATATATTTTGTCAAGTTGAGGAAGTTCCCCTCGAAATTTGTTGACTATTTTTTATAAAGAAGTGTTGGATTTTGCCAAATATTTTTCTGCATCATTGAAATGATATTGTATTTTTTGTCTTTCATGCTTATTGATATGGTATTACAGTAATTGATTTTTAAATGTTAAACTAACCTTGCATTCCTGAGATAAATCACACTTGGCCATGGTATATAATTCTTTTATGTGTTGCTGGATTTGATTTGCTATTTTTTTTTTTTTTTTTCCTTATTTTTTTTTTTTTTTATCCTCACCCGAGGACATTTTTCCATTTTTTGTTCAGGTAGAGTGGGAGGGAGAGAGAGGAACAGAGAGAGAGAGAGAAACATCGATGTGAAAGGAACACATCGAGTGGCTGCCACCCGCACAACCGACCAGGGCCGGGGACAAACTGCAACCGAGGTACATGCCCTTAGCGGGAACCGAACCCGGGTCTCTCCGGACCGCAGGCCGACGCTCTAACCGCTGAGCCAAACCTGCCAGGGCATACTTATTATTTATTTATTATTTCTCACCTGAGGATATTTTTCTAGTTATTATTAGATAGAATGGGAGGGAGGGAGAGAGAGAGACAGAGAGAAACATCAATGTGTTAGAGCCACATTGACTGGTTGCCTCCCGCACCTGACCAGGGCCGGGGACAAACTGCAACTGAGGTACAAGCCCTTGACTGGATCCAAACCTGGGACTCGTTAGTCTGCAGGCTGATGCTCTAACTGCTGAGCCAAACCGGCCAGGGCTGATTTGCTAATATTTTGTTGATGATTTTGATGTCTATATAAGGGATATTGGTCTGTAGTTTTTTGTAATGCTGGGGTTGGGGATCGAACCTGCAATCCAGGTACATGCTCCTGACTGGGATCAAACCCATGATCCTTCGGTCCATGGGCCAACACTCTAACCATGAAGCCAAACTGGTCAGGGCAGATTTTCTACTTTTTGAGTCAGTTTTAGTAGTTTGTGTTTTTCTAGGAACATGGCTATTTCACATAAGTTATCAGTCTTGTTGACAAACAGTTGTTCATAGTATTCCCTTATAAATAATAATACCTTTGTATTTATGTACAATTAGTAGTATTGTCCCCTTTCATTTTTGATTTTAGTAACTTGAGTCTACTCTCTTTTTTTCCGCAGTTAATCTGGCTAGAGGGTTGTCAACTTTGTTCATATTTTCAAAAAATTAAGTTGGTTTCATTGATTTTTCTCTATTGTTTTTCTGTTCCTTATTTAATTAATTTCTTTAATCTTTATGATGTCCTTCTTCGAGTAGCTTCAGTTTGCTCCTGTTTCACCATTATCTTACAGTGAAAGTTTGTTATTGATTTCGAGATCTTTCTTTTTTCTTAATGTAGGGCTATAAATTTTCCTCTAAGCACTGCTTTAGCTGCTTCCCAATGTTTGGTATGTTGTGTTTTTTTCTTTTAATTTTTTTCAAGTACTTTCCAACTTGCCTTGTGTTTCTTTGATCCATTGGTTATTTAGGAATATGTTGCCTAATTTTCACATATTTGTGAATTTCTCAAATTTTATTCTGTTATGATTAATAATTAGATTCCACTGTGATTGGAAAACATATTTTATGTGATTTCAGTCATTTTAAATTTGCTGAGGCTTGTTTTGTGGCCTAGCATCTGTCTGTCCTGGAGACTATCCATTGTACACGTGAGAAGAACGTGTATTCTGCTCTTGTTGGGTTGAGGGTTCTATCAATGTCTAGTCTGTCTAGTTTCTTTTTCCTTGTTGATCTTCTGCCCACTTGTTAACCCATCACCGAAAGTACTTTCTGGGAGATCTTGACTCCACCTCAGATCTTCTGATTTATGCCTGTTGGTGGGGTAGATCATGGCATTTCTCAGGGTCTCAGTGTTCTCATTAGTCAGAAAGATGGGGTGGTTCATCACATTGCTTGGGGGTGTTATGAGGTTTGTAGTCACAGAGTCCCCACTCTAGCCATCCTGTGCTCGTGTTTCAGCTCCGAGCTCCCAGTGAGCCTCAGCCTAGGTTGCAGGAAGCAGGCCTGTCCCAGGCAGAGGTGCCACAAATGGAAGAAAACATACCCAGCAACAGTGAGCCCCAGACACCAGCCCCCAGTTCTGAGGCAGCTTTGGACTTGAGGAGAGAGGGTGAGAAAGGTAAGTGAAGCTTGGTAATTACATGTGTAAACCCTATTCAGAGCCCTATTCAAATAAAAAACATAGTGGCAGCTCGAGCCCCCCACTCCGAACGAACACTCTGAGGGCACAGTGTGTTGCTGGAGGCGGCGGCAGGCTTGATCGTGGGGCTGCACCTGGCAGGTGTCTCTCTGGGCACCTGGAATGGGGCTGCAGGGCTTTTTCTCTGTCTGTTGGGCTCTGCCTTGTTTTGTGGCAGCTGTGTAAAGCAAGGTCTAGGTCAGGACTTTATTGAGGATGTTGGTGGGACTGTGGGATCCTGGAAGGGTAGCTGAGTCCTAGGCACCTGTCAGTGGCTCTCAAGTACTTGTCTCCAACATGTGACGATCAAGTAACCTCAGCATGGCATCTTCCTCCACGTGTAAGCTGTCACTGTAAGTAAGATAGTTTCTGAACCATTTTCCTCTTCCTCATGGCTCTGAAGTGAGCTGCAGGCATAGGGAGGACTGGAGTCTTCTGCCGAGGTCCCTACATAAATTACCCAGCTTCCCCACCCGTCCACAGCCTACTCCATCCAAAGTCCTTGGGAGGGCTCTGGGAGTTGAGTGGTATGAGGGTTTTTGTTTTGATGAAATTAAATGCCAGTGATGCTACACCTAACAATGTTCTGTGCACAGAGGAAACCAATGACATCCAGGTTGTCAGCGAGGAGGAGCTTCAGAAGGACCGCCTGGGGCTGCCGCAGGAGCCAGCCCAACAGCAGATTGTGGAGGCAGACAGACATGCGGGCAGAAGAGGAGTGGGAGATGCTAGAGACCTTGGCCAAACCCCACAGGTGCCTGCCACCCTGTTGATGAGCCAGGAAAATCAGGAGGTGGAGGAGCCCGAGCGGGACGAGCTTGTGGTCCAGGATGGGCAGGAGGAGCAGGATGCTGACGAGGAAGGTGGGTGGTGGACCGCCTGCTGACTGCCTTCCCAGTCTCCTTGCCGACAGGGTCCCCGTGAAGTGGACCAAACAGCAGCCACGTTCTGGTGGTCATTTTGTTTGTTCGGTGTCTGTTATCCAGTAGGAGACAGGAGGGAAGGGCAATGCACTCCCTGGCTCGTGAGTTTTCAGAAACAGTATTCACAGGGAGCCAGGCAGCTTTTCAGATGGAGACCGTGGTGGGTTCTTAGCGTCAGAAAGAGCAGGCCTCCTGGCAGGCAAACCAGGTGCCTTGTCCTTGTCGCCCCACTTCCACGTGCAGAGTCACCTGTTAGTGTCCAGTGAGGTGGTGGGAGGAGGGACGGAGGGAAGGAGGGAAGGAAATTACTTTTCAGGAAAGGGACTCGTGAATCCTACCTTTTTGGTTTGGTGACTTTTCTTTTTGTTTAAAGTAAAGTGTGGGAAACTGAGATCAACAGAAAATATTCTGGGATGTAGTAAAGCTGAAAAATGTCAACCCCAGCTGAGCCAGGAGCACTTAAATAGAAGACACCTGACAAGAGCGGACTTTCCCAGGCGTACTTTAAAACAAGATTTCGTTTACTTACCTATGGACATATATAACGTGTTTGCAAGAAACCCTAGACTGTGTCTGTGGAGTGCATTTTGTCCTGATCTTCTCTTCCAGTGGCTGTTCTCTCCAGGGATGGGTGTGGTGGTGAAGGATCGAATTCTGTATGTGTGATGGGAAATTTTACCCTTTGGCCCCCAACTCAACTTCCTTCTTTCGGAGCAATGAGCTATACTAAGGAGATGCCGTCATTAACTAGAAACCTTTCGTTTCCCAAAACATTGGTGTCTTCTCTAACTTTGAGTTGATTGTCTCTTTAAAGAACTGGGATTTGGGTTCAGCTAGCTAGTTACCCCATTTATGTAGGCTCGGAGTTGAAGTGGACTTAGCGAGCAGAGGTCCTGCACGGTGTCTGCACGGGAGCCAGCACGAGGCCCTGTCAGTTCCTGAGGTGTGGCAGAAAGATCTGACCGTGAAACCGTGGTTGGGATGACCCCGGTGTCTGGCTCTGGTGTGTCTATGGCATTGAAAGAGAAATGATGTAGTTTGTCTTATGTGTCTGTGCCCACTTTACAGGGAGAAACCAGCAAACCATGGGAGGAGATGACGACTATAACATGGATGAAAATGAGGCGGAGTCCGAGACCGACAAGGAGGCCGCCCTTGCAGGGAATGACAGAAACGTGAACGGTAATAACTCCTGGGCGGCGGGGCGCTTCGTTCTAGTGCAGTGTAACGACCAACTCTGTGGTCCTCCACCACAGAGGCAAGGAACCCCAACAATGCTACTGTAAGTGAGCCACCATTTGAAGACTCTCTTTTCTTCAGAAGCCTTTGAATGTAGGAGCAGTGGAGGGAGATGCGGGGTTAGGGAGCGTGCTCAGTGGGGCTCCAGCCCTCGGAGTCCGTTCCCAGCGAAATGGCCGGGTCTCCACGTGGTCTGCGGCACCAATCAGAGGGCCCCAATCCTGTGCTCTTGGTATGGTTAGGATTTTGAATTTTTGAGGCGTCCAGGCCAGGGGTGTGTCAGGTTCTGGATGTGTTGGCTGTGCTGTGACTGGATTCAGGTTGGGTGTGTTTGCAGCTCCCGTGGGTTCCTCTTGGGTCACACCAAGAGGCACGTGACGGCAGGTTGACATCTTGGTGAGGCGGTGCCCCTGGTCTCTCCCTGGCAAAAGCCCATCTTCTTGTGTAATTAATATTCATTTAGAATGGGATAGAATTGACCTCCAGAACTGTTCAGTGATTCTCTTATGTATATCGTGCAGTGATGGCCACAGCTAGTTCACATCCAGCATCTCAGAGGAATTCAGTATATTTTTTCGTATGTATCATCAGGCCCTGCTGCTGACCACAGCCACCACGGCGCATATGCCATCCCCGTGGGGGCTGCTCTGAACTGGTGTGGCTTTACCATCCACTGGAGACCTGGTCCAGGTGTGGCTTTTCTGATCCTGTCACCCTTCACACGTTTTAGCTGCCATTCTGGGGTGTTTTTTTTTTGGTATTAACATTTTTTCCCCATTTTTATTCATTTATTTTTGTTACAGATGTTTCTCTCCCTGCCCCCAGACATCCTCCTCCCCCAGCATTGTCATCTGTGTCCACTGGTTACACAAACCTGTGGTTTAGTTCTTTGGTTTATCTCATCCCTTTCCCCCGAGCCCCTCCTCTGAGGTCTGTCAGTCGGTACTATACTCCTTTCTATGTCTCTGGGTCTATTTTGTTCATCATTATGCTAAGTGAAATAAGCCAATCAGAGAAAGACAAATACCACATGATCTGTTTGTTTGTTTTTTGTCTTATTTTAGAGAGAGGGAAAGAGAAACATCGATGTAAAGGCCCTCCCTACCCCAATACACACTCATTCACTCACATATGTACATACTGGCTTGTTTTAGTATTGCTCTGAACTTATGATTTCCCTCTTAAGATTTTGTTTTTTCTCTCAGATTTTTGATGTTTTAATTCTGTTTTTAAGAGCTCTTTATGTGCTAGAGAGATTGCTCCTTATCTGTGAAGTTGCACATACCTTCTCCCAGTTTGTCTTATTTTTTGCCTCTGGTGTATTTTGCCATGCACAAGTTTCAAAAACTTTTGTATCTTTTATCACCTCTGGATATTGAGTCATAGTTAGAAATGTTTCCTACCTAGAGTTGGAAGGAATTCACCTGAGTTTTCATTGAGTATGCTTACAAAATTTTCCTCTGTTATGAAGAAAAGCGCAGATACAGAAAAAAACACACAAAGCAAATGAGGTTTTAGAAGGTGAACACCCCTAACTGAGCCCCAACCCCAGTCAAGAAGTAGAATGTGGCGGGCCCTCCAGAGGCCCCTCCCTGTGTCCCGTCTCAGCCCCTTCCCTCTCCTTACAGTGACCCCTCTCCTGACCATTCTACTAGGCATTGTCTTGCATTTCTTTCTGGGTTTTTATTGCCCATAGTTTAGTCTTGCCTATTTTCCTATATTCGATATGTCCTTTAGGCATTAGGTCCACGGGGCTCTGTTCCTTTTTTTTTCCTTTGTAGTCCGTTAAACGAGCCAAAGCCAGTGGACTTGGAGTCTCCCCTCAGTCTAGATTGTGCTGATTATATATTCATGTGCAGTTTACTATGTTCTTGTCTCTCTACCTCCTGCAGACCAGCATCTGATGTCCAGAGGCTTGATAAGAATCGGGTTCAGGCTCAGGCCCTTGGCGAGGTGGTGGACAGCGGTCTGTCCTTTCACCAGGAGGGCGCCATGTCTGGCGTCTTTCTCTCTGGGATATAAGTGCCAGTTGATGCTTGGCGCCTTTATTCATTCACTGGGGTTATTCTAAGCCAGCCATCTATTCCATTTGTTAATAGAAATATTTTTGTAAATAAGTTAGTGGTTTTCTTCATTTAGTATAAGCAGAACAAATGCTTGCTTCTCTTTATTTACCAATTCTCACAAATTGTTTGTCAGACTCTGAAGATGGCAATTACAAAGATTTTATAAACTTAGAGATTTAAACATGTTGGATGGGTTTCACCCAATTGCATGTATTGTCCTTTGGAAGTGACCCCATCTGTGGCCAGTGGGCCTCCGCCCCCGTTCGCACCCTCAGGTTCCTTTGTCTCTTTCCTGTCCGCTCGGATACTGCTTCACCCCACACTCAGCTCTTCGAGTTCCCCCCTTTTCTGTCTGTGGGGCTCTACCTGGGAAAGGGCTCTGTTAGCAGCCCTGCAATCAGTTGCAGAGGCCCATGGGGCTCACCTCCACCAGCCCCTCAGTTCTCAGCAAGGCCACTGTGGTCACCTGCCCTGGGAGTAGCAGGAACCCCACTTCCCGCTGCAGTTCTCCAGGGGCCCAGGTACTTCCTAGTGCAAATCTGTTGGCTGGTTGGGGCTCTGTTCTCAGGTCCATCAGATGCTCCATTGCCTCCCTATTTTCTTTCCAGCTTTTGTCACACAGGGAGCTGTCTGTAGTTTGTCTTTAAATGCTTGTATGGGATCTACAGGATTTCTTGCCATCTAGTCTTCCTGTAATGTCCATAGTTTTTGAGTAATTAAGTTGCTTTATCTAGGGACTCTGAGAGATTCAGAAACGATGCCACAGTTGCCACCATCTTTTCAGAATCCTCTCTGCTTTCATATTATACATTCGGTCTCTTGATTCAGATGCATTCCAGGGTATGGGACGAGTCCAGTTTTCTCTCCAGGGCTGCCCAGTTGACTCACCACCACTTCCAGTGGCCGTCTCAAAGCCAGTGATTTGAGATGTTACCTTCATCAAATACTAAATTTCCATGTGTGTTTGGGTCTTATTTGGGGGTTTTCTGTTTCGGTTCCAGTGGTTTCCCTGTTGATTCACATGGTACCACACTGTTCTAACAGCTTTTTCTTTGGATCTGGCAAGGACATGTTGAAGAACATCTCTTTGAATAATGCTTCTTCCTGTTTGATTCCTCTTGCACTGAGAAGTGTGTTAGACCTTCTCATTCTATTCATGTTCTTACCTTTTCACATTTCCCATTTTTCTGTGGTCTGCATGCACAATTTCCTCAGATATGTCTTCTAGCACACAAATTTTTCCTTCAGGTATGCCTTTCCTGTTCTTTAATTCACACTGTGTTTTTAATTGTAATTTTTTTATTTCTAGACTTTCTACTTGACCTTTTTATTTTTATTTTTTTTGGTAATTCTCACCTGAGGATATATATTTTTTTTATCCTCACCCGAGGACATTTTTCCATTTTTTGTTCAGGTAGAGTGGGAGGGAGAGAGAGAAACATCGATGCGAAAGGGACACACCGGGTGGCTGCCACCCGCACGACCAACCAGGGCCGGAGACAAACTGCAACCGAGGTACGTGCCCTTAGTGGGAACTGAACCTGGGTCTCTCTGGACCACAGGCCGACGCTCTAACTGCTGAGCCAAACCGGCCAGGGCATCACCTGAGGATATTTTATTTTCCATTAATTTTTAGAGTGGAAGGGAGAGAGAAAAAAACATGGATGTGAGAGACATGGATCAGTTGCCTCCTGCATGACCCCAACTGGGGCTGGGGATCAAATCCACAATCCAGATATGTCCCTTGACCAGGGATTGAACCTGTGACCCTCCAGTCCAAGGGCTTTGAATATATCACAGAGTTATTTTATATTCTGTGTCGTCCAATGATTTCCCTTAGTGTTTTGTACTTCTCAGCTGTGAGTTTCTAGTTTCCTGGGAACTTGATCTGTGGGAAGTCTCTGAGGACTGAGTTGCAGGTGCATTCTACCAGAGAAGGTAGTTTGCTCTGCCAGTCTCAAGGCGGGCACCACAAACCCGCCTCTTTAACAAAGTGGATTCCCTTCTTCAGGCTCTTTTTGGTTCACACAGAAAATGGGTTGAAATTATATACTTGCACGGTCATCTCGTGTGGTTAAGGATTCCCCATAATCCGCACTCGGCTGTCTTGCTGTCCTTTTCATTGCAGATTTATTTCCCATTACCTTTAAACCAAGGATATGAACCTTTGGGGTTTCAGCTTTATTTAGGGGTCCTCTTCTTGACTCCCCACCTCGAGTGGAGCCTGAGGCTTTAGGTGTTGTCCCCCTGCACCTCGGGGAACTGGAGGAGCCCAGTGCGTTCAGCTTCAGCAGTCTTGGGGAAGCTGCTTCGAGGTCACCCGCCTCAGGCGTCGCTGCTTCCACTCCTCTGGCCTCGCAGATTCCTTCTTCCAGTACAGGCAATGCGTTTTTCTTAATGTTTTAACATTTTTAAACTTCATTTTCAAATAATTTAGATTAAAATAATGAAAGGAATTTCCACATACCCTTCACCCAGGTTCCCCAAACGTGAACATCTTACGTGACCACAGTACAGTGATCAAAATGAAGACATTTATATTGATACAGTGGTGTTGTATCTGTAGACATTATTCAAATGTAGTGATTGTCCAGCATTGCCCGTCTGGTCTGGGAGCCAGTCCGGGACCGTGCACTACTTCCACGTCATGCTTTCAGTGTCCTGGAACCCAGAGCCATTTGTCTGCATCATTTAGGACATGGCTATTTTTGATGTGTTCTGGCTTAGAACATTTATTTGGTAGAAAGTCCCTCAATTTGGTTTAATTCAACAGTGTTCTTAAAATACACCTTTCATATTTTATCCAGCATGTAACTTCTACATTGGGCAGTTGTTGGGGGTTTCTAGAAATGAAAGTCCTAACTTGATTTTTAGATTATTTTCCTAGGCTCTTTATAACATTTTTAAAGTGCAGATTAACACATTATTGTCAGAATCTTAAGCAAATACAAGGTCTTTCCATCTTTCTGTTCTTTATCAACTTCACTCATTCGTGTAGTACTTCAGTTCTTGAATAGCATGTTTTCTGATGTGGTTACTGTTTTGTTTTTTGTTTGTTTTATTGCTTTTTAGAGAGAGAAGGGAGAGGAAGAGAGAGAAACATTGATGTGAGGGAGAAACATTCATTGGTCGGCCGCCTCCTGCATACCCCCTACTGGGGATCGAGCCTGCAACCCGGGCATGTGCCCTGCCTGGGAATCGAACCAGCGACCTCTTGGTCCCTGGGATGATGCTCAACCACGGAGCCACACCAGCTGAGCGTGGTTACTGTTACATCTCTTCATCATACCTTTAAATGAGCCTGGTGTCTTCCTGAATGCTCAGCTTTGCCGTGAAGGCTCGTGATCTTTCATCCCTCCACCCAGGCGTACTTCTAAGATTTGACCTTGTGTAAGGCTTTATAAAAAGTGAGGAGGTAGGCAAGGTAGGATGAATGCTCTGTCAGCTCCTTTAGGAAAGAATTCCAAATTGAAGAAATGTCATCAATATAATTTAAAGATTATGTCATTGAAATAGTTGAAGGCCCTGCTTGCTCTAGGGACAATAGAAGAAGCATTAGCTCCAACTTTATTAGAGAACTGAAAGTAGCCATTTAGGCAGTCATTTAATTTAATAACATCATTAACAATTCAGTGTGCAATAGTTGTAAATCAGATAATTGGTTATACACTTATTTGTGACGTGTCCTTTTATGTGGTCTGTGTCCAAGGATAGAGGAAGGATGGTGGAAGCCACAGGCAACTTCTGCTCTGTAGCGGAAGCGCTTTGGCACAGCGAGCTGGCCGCAGCTGCAGGGGCTCTCAGGAGGGGCGCTCCCTGTCGCAGGTGCGCCGACAGGGATTCACAGCACTTGAGGGGTGGGAGAGCATCAGGCATTTTCTGAGAGTACATTTTACACTACCCATTTTATACCCTGGGCATTATTTTACTATGGCAAACAGCATGGCATTTTCAGATGTTTTAGCTTTGGTTCATGGCACCTTGTTGGCCATACATGTGGTTTCATTGGCTCTCTTGTCCTTGGTAGGCGTGCAGGTCCCCATTACAGTGTTGCTGTGGGAGCTAGTCTTCTTATGACAGTTTCTAGATGCTTATGTCAAAGACCTTCCGGGGCTGCTTTCTCAAAATGTTTAATACTAGAATATTATGTTTTTCCCTTTTTAGTTCTTAATGCCGAAAATCAGAAAAGAGACGATAAATTTACTTGATCAGCGGGGGAAGAGGAATGACACAAACTGGAATCATATGCTTCGTGTCAGGACTGAACAGCGATCACTACAAAATTTCCCCAAGGGATTGAATACTGTGAAATGTACTAAGTAAAACATTCATCTAAAGATGATTATTGTGGAATTTTAGTATGTACTTTATGTAGGAAAATGAGATTGTGTTTTTGATGGTTTTGGGGGGTTACTCTTCAAGCATCTTTGTCAAAGATGTTAAAATGTGTTGGCTAATAGGTATTTCATGAGAAGATCAACACCAAAAACAGAACGCAAGTTCTCCAAGGGTAGCGACAGTGGCCCTTCTTATTCTGGAATCTGCCTTTGTTCAAAATCAAGCCCGTGGAAGAGTCCATCTTCGGATGCGGAGGAGAGGCCTGCGCACTCAGAGAACTCCTTTTTCTCGGTTCCTTCTGGAGTTCTCCTCTTCGCCAAATGCTGTGCTGAGGGAGGGTACCAGCCCGGCCCTCTGATCCCCCTGGTCGGCACTGGGTTATGGGTGTGCCCTCCTGTGCTCATTTCTGGTTCTGACACTCCGTGGCCTACAGCACTGTTAACACAAATACCACTAACAGCTGTGTAAACAAGTTTAAGTACCAAGGTATTTTGTGGAGATTTTTAAAAAGACTACTTATATAATAGCCCTTGTTTGTCATTAATGTTAAGTGGCTTGTAATGTGAAAATGTGATCTGTACTTACTTTGCTAGTATGTGTGGGCAAAGCAGAATCTTCTGTAAATCACCAAGAAAAGCTGTGAGTGGATTGGACTTCTGACAGTGGGCCAGAGCAGGGGGACCTGTGCCCGCGCGGAGCAGTGAGGGTGGCACAGCACTGCGGGCTGGGCTTGTTGTGGGCAAACTGCCTACTTCACTGGAAGGAAAAGAAGAGAAAGTTGATATTGAAGAGCTGATACTGTGTCACAAATTGGGCAGGTTTAGAAAGGCAACAGAAATGGCAAGTGTTTCATAGTTTTCAAATTTAGCTTGTAGTAAATGCCTATCAAAACTGATTTAAAAATCAAGTTAATGTTCATTTAAAAATGACTAATCATAATTTACATTGATAATAGCAGTAGTAAGTGGAGCTTGAGTTGGTCCTTAACACGTCAGTAAATAGGCTTTTGCCACCTGTGAATGACTGGCAGAGCCACACTAACGGCTCTCTGTGGGGCGCTCTGAAGGGCAGCCAGGTGAGGACCTTACTTAGATATATTTGGAGTTACAGGATTGAGACAGCCTCCTTGGATCAGAGGACACGGCCCAGAGGAGCCAGGGAGCAGAGCGCGGCCTCGCGCCTGCGTGGGCTCGCTGTGCCCCTGGCAGTCACTGAAGGCAGGACCTGCTGTGTGTTCAGGTTAAGCTCTCCAACGGAATGTTCTTCATGTATAGTATCCTTTTACCTCATCACTAAGATTAAACTTTCCCACCCAGAAAAGGCAACTGAAGAAGAGTATAAAAGTAGCTTTATAAGATTTTTATCTAAGTCCTTGTCCAACTTCCCTTAGTCTTAGGGTTGATTTCTCACTTGCTTTCTCAAATAATTAATAAAGCCTCTATTCATGTCAGGCTTAATCAGTGTGCAGAGTTGCTGAGAAATGAAATACTGTTAGTTCAGCTTTTAAAACTGCTTTGTTTTCCCTTTATCCCCTATTTGATCTCTAAAGCACCAGCCTTTTAATTGTTGAGATGGGATGTCAACATAAATAAAAAGTAACCCATGATGATTTCATCCTCATTCACAGGCGTCAAGCCATTTGTTCAGGTGTTTGTCCAGACAGTCATGCTTTATTGCCACTGGCTTCCTGTGGGATCACAGGCACTATCCCAAGGTAACGATGTAGAGGTATCATGGCTGTTTAAAGAACAAAACGAGAACCTGTGTAGTAAGCACCATGTAGATATCTAACTGCTGACTTAGGTCTTTTGGTATCATCCAAAGTTAAATCCGCAGCTGTGCCAATTTTTAATAGGCATTAACTCACTCCACACCATCCTCTCTCAAACTGTGTATGGACAGGAATGATGAATCATTTTCTCTTTTCTCCTGCAGATTCGAGAGATTTCCTAAGCAACCTTGGATTAGATTAGACTTCCTGAGTAATCTAACCATGGCACATACCTAATGTATGTACTTTTGTGTGATGAAACTTGAGAAATAAACCATTCCTTCTTAAGTCAGTATGTTGTCATTAAATAACTAGACTGATAACTAGGTATGATTGTTTTAATTGGTAATAGCTGGGTATCCAGTCATAGAACCTGGAATGGTGACGAGAATTATGAATCCATGCACGGTCCAGTGGATTCATGCTCCAGTGGTTCAGTCTTACTTCCTTTATGTTTTAGCCTAAAGGATTATTAATTATAAATAATGATAGTTTATAGGACACTGAACAATACTTGTCTTTGAAATGAATTTTTTTTAAAAAAAGATAAATTTAAAATAGAGGTTCCATTAACTGGGTTATACTAACTTTTTTCACATTATCTTAGACCCTGAAAATGTTCATTATTGTTAGAAAGTTGGAAGTTTATTTCATTTGTATTTAAATGTTTGTGCATTTGTATGCTATTTCTCAGCTCAGAGAGCAACACTTTTTAAAGTGTACTAAGCCACTGTTCCGTAAACACTGGTTTGTAAAATTCTGATAATGTATACACTGAAGGATTGATTACTCTAAGTAGGTATCTTCCCATGCACTCAAAAAACAAAACTGAAAAGCTTTTTGTTTTTGTTGGTGCCCATCTCTGGGAAAGTTGAATGACTTTCAATATTCTCACCTTTAAAAAAAAATATATATATATACACTTCAGATAATGAGTTTTACAAACCAAGCCCTAAACCAGTTGAGACAAATGGTTGTTTTTTATCCTTACTCCTTAGAATAGCGCTCTACCTTGTCCTGAGTTGAGTGACATAGAACGTAAGTTGCTAATATAACTTATACCCCTACAGAGATTCTAGTACTATGTTGGGTGCTTGGTAAATACTTGATTGTTAAGTCCAAATAAATTAATTGTGATTGATCAGAGATGTGGTCTTAGATAACCTACTTTTCCATATAACTGAAGTCTACCTTTAGAACCTTCGTAAACATTTATTATTATTATTTTTTTAATCCTCATCCAAGGACATTTTTCCATTTTTTGCTCAGATAAGAGTGGGAGGGAGAGAGAGGAAGAGAGAAACATCAACATGAAAGGGACACATTGAGTGGCTGCCTCTTGCACGACCCAGCCAGGGCCCAGGACAAACTGCAACCGAAGTACATGATCTTAGCGGAAACCGAACCTGGGTCTCTCTGGGCCACAGGCCGACGCTCTAACCGCTGAGCAAAACCGGCCAGGGCAGAACCTTCATAAACATTTAAATGAACAAATGCTTTCTGCATGAAAACCCTGTAGCTGTAAGAGGTAAGGCAGAGGCTTTGTGAAAGAGTTCCTGATGTCAGCCTGCTGCCTACTCACTTGTATCTGAGCTGTAGTGAATGACAGTAATGAACCTCCCAGGTGATATACCACATCTGTCCATATCCAGAACTCATCTGTTCACATTTAAATAGTCACCTAAATGTTTTAACTCACTCTCCAAAAAAGCTGCTACATTATCAGCATCTAACATCTATGTATCATTTAAAAGAGTAGTTCTGCAACCTCAACCAACAGCCTACAACTGCCAGGTTTTTTGTCCCCCGCCCCCCTGTAAAGGACAATCTTGTTGTTGTTTTTTTTGAGGTGCACTCATTCAAAAATTATTCTAGAACCCAACAAGTGACATATCTGTGACAAAAAATAAGGTACACCACCTTCCTTTAAGCTTGGCTTAATGTTTGAATTGTAGACGGAAAGTTCCATCTGTTATCTTTGCAGGATTTTAGAAATTCAGAGTTGCATAATAATGTTACATAATTTTTCAAAAGAAGATACATTCTCTTTTTAAATGGAAGAAATGGAAGGCATTATTAGCAGAGGACTACGGGGGGGGGGGGAACCTTATAATGCAAATGAATGCACAGAGGACTGGTTCAGTATCTCAGACACGTCATTTCATCTCTTCAAAATCAAAACTGTAAAACACCTTGAGCAGCTTGTAGGATGACAAAAATATTTAGTCATCTCAAGTTTTATTTTATGGCTCCTTATTGCAAAAGCAACCAGTGCTGGTTCCCTACTCCCCTTAAGATTTGGAGGTGTTTTGATGTAACAACTTGTGCTTGGACTGATTTGCAAATATCAGACAAATGAGCCAATTTCATCAGCTGCAAACTGTTCAAGGGCAAAGCACCAGACCCTAACTTGCTGCCTCCAAATTCCTCTGCACTTTCGGCCGTTCTGTGTGCCCACCACAAAGCATTTCTCCTACTAACAAAGCCTGCTGCCTAGCGGCCTTGTTTCTCTTGACCTTCTCTACTCAGTTTACTCCTGGATGGCTCAATGCGTCAGAATGTCTTTTACACATTAAAAAAATTCACATTCCATTAATTGAAGGAGCAGGTTCTGGAAAGATGTTCCCTTTCTCAAGTTTATACTACAGTTGGGATGGTAGAAACAACTATTTAAATTGCAACTAAAAGTGCTAAGGACTTTTAAGGGGCTTGGTCTAAACTTTAATCTTTTACAAGTACCAAAGTAACAGTTAAGGACATTTTAAAAAACATTCTTACAGTATATAGTTTATGATGTCATGACATAAAATCACAATCCCCATGTAATTTAGCCTCCCTAGGTAGCTTAGCGGTCCCTCCTCAAATCCCTTTCAAAAGTATTTTGCCAGAATCCCATCAGGTGTTTAATAAATCCCTTGATTTGCTTGAATTATTCAAATGTTTAAAGAGTAAACACCTTCAGTTCTTAACATATATCAACAAAGTGCTATTGTTTTTCATTTTCAGTAATACATTTTTGTCAAGAAATTTATTAACCTTTACAAAGACTATCTTAATCATTAATAAAAAATGATTTATGATTAAGTCTACAATAAAACCATATAACGTTCATCAGTGCATTCAACAAGACCACTTTCATCCATGGACATAATAAACCACTTTAAAACAGCAGTTTTCATTCACGTCATATAACGCTGTCAAATTAAAAGAATTCCTTATGATGGGTGGTTATCCAAGAAATCCATTTCACTTCATGTTACATGGTAAGACTGGTGGATGGATCCTCTAAGAGTAGAATCTGAAAGTAGATTTTACCCCTTTATGGTCACCTTTATGTCTCAAACAAGTTTCACAACAGGAAAATATTTGTGAGCAGAGAAATCAAATTCAGGAGGAACCTGTAAAGAAAATCAGAAAGTCAACGTATCTAACAGACATTCACACAGTAAACAACATAAAGATTGTTTTTAGAGTTTCTTGTATTTTTAGACAAGGCAGCACAAGAGAGATTTTAAAAAGCTGGTTAAATGACAAAAACATTAAGTTAGGAATTAACCTGGGTTTATGAAGGTCACTAGAAAAGAAGATGACATCAGTTTTCTATCTTTAGAGAAAAGTTAACAAAGGAAAAGGACTTAAATTACAGAAGTCATGGGTCTGCAAAGGTCTTAGTTCTGGAGTCTCTGACAGTGTGGAGTGATGAATGAGTCACTGGTAGCAGGGCCAGAGGAATAAACAAACAGGTACGTATACCGGGCAGATGCCACCAAAACTACCTCAGTGCTTGGCTTCCAACAAGATGCAGAACCTCTGTGTTGAATGTTTATATAATAAGCACTGATGATAAATATTACCTAGGAAGCTTATGAAATCTTCCATCTCCTGAACCATTATAAATACCTTAATGAAACATCCACTTTTCTAAAGGCAGATTGACTTTTTAAAGACCTTCCCCATAAAGTATTTCTACACATTTTTGTTTTTACCCCAAGTCTTTCAGTAATTTACACCGGGGAAGGGAGGGGAACAAAAGGACTCACTTTTGAAATTTTAAGTTAACAAAATCTATGTCTCAAGTCAAAATGGCAAGCTCTAGTTTACTTTCTGTTTCCTGCTGCTGAATCTCTTTTAGGATGATTTTTGAGTGCTTAATGTTTTTGGAATAATATTTATACATCTTACTGAAAAACGAAGTTTTACAATAACTTAGAACCATTTATTTTCCCCAGTGTACTTACCTTAGATTCCTTTTTGTGTCCTCCTGCCAATAACTTCATAACCACAAAGTTGGGTTTGGCAACCTTTAAAATTCTACTGACCTAAATAATGAGAAACAGTAAGCTATCAAAACATAAAATTCAGTCAAAACGTCTTTATTTTATAGATACTAGTAGGAACTTTGCACAATATGTGTTGATATTAAGTAAGGGCAATTTAAAAATGTATTTCTTTCAGTAACACAGAACCCTATTTTCATCACTTTTGAAAACTTGAAAGGGCTCCTGTAGTTTGCTCTCATGAAAACAGAAGAACAGTAGGCTGCAAAGGCAGCACCATGGAGTGGGGCATGGACTCCGGAGTTCGGCTGTCTGCGTGCAAATTCTAGCTTTGCCCCTTACTAGCTATGAAACCTCTAGCAAGTTCTCTAATCTCTCTGTTCCTCAGTTTCTTCACCTGTAGAAATGGGGATAATAATTTTACCTATCCCACAAGGATTTGTTGTGAAGATTAAATTAAGTTCATACATACACCAGGAACTGAGAACCAGGCCTGGCAGGTAATAAGTATCCTTTAAGTGTTAACTGTTAACTATTTCTGACTATCACTGTCTAAAATGAGGGGAGAATGTGCAACTTGAAGGAAAGAGTTCCTACTGTTGTCCTCTTGCTGACCTCTCAGGAAACACTTCACCGTAACCTCAAGAACCACTCCTCCTCGGCTCCAGATCACACATCCACCTGCCTGATGACAGCTCCACTGGGGGGGCATCCAATAGGTATGTCCAAAACAGCTCCTGGCCTTCCTAGCCTGCCTCCCCGCCTGCTCTGGCTCCACCTGCACCTTCCTCACATGACTCAATCCATCCAGGTGCTCAGGCCAAAAACCCTGGAGTCATCCTTGACTCTTTCACTCAACATTCAATCCACCAACCAACCCTGCTGGCTTGACCTTAAAATAACAGGAACACAATCACTCTGATCACCTCCACTGTCACCACTAAATCTCACTTGGGACACTGCTGTGGCCTATTAACTGGCTCTCCTGCTTCCACCGCTGGCCACACTGCTGTCTACTTTTAGCACAGTGGCCACAATGACCTTTCAGGATCATAGATCTGGTCGCTCTTCTGCTCAAAACCCGCTAACAGCTCGCCCCTTGTTTGCCCTACCCCAGCACAACTAGTCTTTGGCTGTTCTTCAGAGACTCCAGGCACAGTCCTGCCTCAACACCTTTACACTGCAGAGCCCACTGCCTAGAAGGCTCCCTCTCTAGAAGGCCACGTGACTTGCTTCTCCATCTCCCAGTATTTGCTCCAAGGCCACCTTATTAGAAAAATGTTGCATCCCCTCTACCTCCTATCTCCTGTTCCATTCCCAGCTTGATTTTTCTTCATAATACTTATGATCTTCTAATAAACTATTTTACTTTTACTTATTTATCTTTTCATTTATTCACTTATTTACTTACTGCCTGCAACCCCCCGCTCTCCCCAACCCCGAGGAGGGCTGGGATTTCTTTTTATCACTGCTGGAGGCTTAGGAGGTACTAAAGAAATATTTGTTGAATAAATGAAGTCCTCTAAAAGAAATATGCCATTTATTATAGGTACCATCCTCTAATTTTTATACTTCCTCCTTTAATTTTTATTACATAGTTGTATATGATAAAAAAAAAAGTCATCTCTCCATCTCTGTTCCCTAAGATACTCAGCTCTGTTCCCAAGAAGCACACACTGTTATTCTCATGTATCTTTCCAGAAATATGTTTTATAAGAAAACACTTGCCCCTTTTGATTGAAATGGCAGCACAGTACAGTTTACTACCTTACTTTTTATACTTATTGTATTCTAAAGAACGTTCATTACAGTACATAAAGGTCTCCCTTGTTCTTTTAAAATCTGTATAGTATTTCATGATATGATGTATCATAATTTAACAGTCTCCTGTTGAAGAATACTAAAGTTCCTTCATTTACTTGCTATTAGAAATACTGTTGTGATGAATACTCTAGTATATTCATCTCTACCCTTACTTCCCGCAGGTGCACATGTATCTCTAAGACCCTAAGAAGCAGAACTGCCTAAGCATTTGTGACTTCTGACACTGCTAACTACATTGAGGTTGTTCCAAGATATACTCCCCCCAAATGGTGTATGTGTTACAGGTAACTGTACAGAATAAATGCATTTCAATAAAATTAGGTATACAGCAAACTGTGAAAATAATGAAAGCCTGAAACAGTATTTGCAAGTTCTAAGCTCTGTAAAATGGTATCTTAAAATAAAATCATCAAAAACAATAGGCTTTATTTTATATGGTCAAGTGGATAAGGTGGCTTTTACTTCCTGTGATAACTGATCAGATCATTTTTCAGATTTAAGATTTATATAACTACATTTGAATACAGTAAACTAGAGATGAAAATAAAATATTTTAGCCCTGGCCAATTTGGCTCAGCGGTTAAAGCGTCGGCCTGCGGTCCGGAGAGACCCGGGTTCGGTTCCCGCTAAGGGCACGTACTTCGGTTGCAGTTTGTCCCCGGCCCTGGTTGGTCGTGCGGGTGGCAGCCACTCGATGTGTCCCTTTCACATCGATGTTTCTCTCTCTCTCTCTCCCTTCCTCTCTCTCCCTCCCACTCCATCTGTACAAAAAATGGAAAAATATCCTCGGGTGAGGATAAAAAAATAAATAAATAAAATAAAATAAAATATTTTAAACATTAACATTTCTAAGCTGTGGGTCAATCTGGCTGGATCTTATTTTTGTTCTTCTTCACGGTTATAAGTCTTAATTTCTCCTTGAATTGATTTCTAAGTTTATCCACAGGAGATAATTTACATCACTTCTCTCATCAAATAATTTCAAGTCTGACAAGGTTAGGTTAGTAAAGCCATTTGAAATCCTTGGCAGAACGTGACAAGCTTCATTTATTAATACCATAGAGTTCCCTGTTCTCCAGTGGTGAGAGAGGTCCTTCCACCAGCCTGTCCCTCTAAGACTGCTGTGACTGCAGCCTTACCTCGAGGTCTGGGTTTGGGATGTTCTCCAGGATCATCTTGGCCTGCTGGAAGTGCTTACTAGCCGCCACGTACAGTTCTGGAGACTGGGGAGGAGGGCTGTATTTACTGAGGTCAGACATTTCCTAAGGGGAGAATACTATTGTTCAAAACATGTTTAATATGAACAACTTTAAAACACCTTTTTAAATTAAAGAATTCTACACTGACTATCCATTCCTATGTAGACAGTGAAGCAAATACTCAGCATATCTTTATTTTTTACTACATAATATTAAATTCTCAACCTTTGTATACTACCTCATATTATTCTCATACTTAAATAACTATTAACATGAGTACAGTCCCAAAAAACCCAAATAATTTTTACACTAAAATTGCTATTTTCTCACCTTGTCCCATTGGGCCAAAAACTGTGTGATCTGACTGTCTATGTTAACACCATGGCTAGGTACAAACATCTCTATGAAGACCTAAGACTCAGTGTTTCAGTGACTTGAATGAGCAGGTTCACCTTGAACTGCAGATAGTGCACGGGGGGTGGAGTCATGACACTGTTGAATGGGGCGAATCTGTGCTCATACCGAACCTGCTCGCTGTCAAGCTCAAACTTGGGTTTTCGTACTTTGCCATCCATGTCAAATGCCACCATGGTCTAAAGGGGAAAAAAAAGACATCAATACGAAAAAGTGGACATCCTCATTAATTCAGAACAGACAAGAACAGCTATTTACAGATAGCTAAAACAACTTAAGGCTCAGAAATCAGAAACAGAAGAAAAAAAAACTGGCTTTAGTGTTCATTTTTATGTCATGTGCCATCTTTTATATGAAGAGTTTTCAAGACCTATTTTTCACAGTGAAATTATACCACACATTATTTTTCTATGTTTCATGCTTACAATAGCTTTGAAACCTTCAAGTAAAAGTCTCTGAAGAAATAAGTAGTATATAAATTTTTATAAGAAAACCACAGATCCTGTTTTTCAAACAGGAGTCCATGTTCTATGTATTTTAATGTAAGTTGCTTCAAACTTCTTGTTATTGCCAAGCCCAAGTTAAGACTCAGCACGCACTCTACCTCCTTGACAATGCCTGCTTTGTGGAAGCCATTCGCTGGGGGGCCCACCCCTTTCCTAACACACTCCTAAAAAATCCAAACCATATCTATTCCAAGAAACCTTTATTGATCATCAATCAGAAGTAAACTCTTCCTTCTCTGATTACCTATGTCACACACATCACCTGGCCTGTCATTAATTAGGCACTTGAGACAAGGATCACATCTGATTAGACTAGGCATTCTGCAGTGCACCCAGTCCAAGGTATCTGTACACAACATGGACTCAAATACTTGGTAAGAAATTCAATGAAAACAACTAGACTTCGGACAAAAAGTATAACAAAGGTGAAAATAGAACCCAGAAAAAAATGATGTAGTAAGTCCATTTTAATTAAATTAATAGCAATGTAGTTAAAAAGCAAAAAGAACTTTATTTTCAACAACTTACCTTAAACATGCCAGCACACATGTTCTGGTAGGCCTGGCTCATTGTGATTTCTCGGCTCAAAGGGCGAACTGTAATTAGAAAGAAAAATCATCTATACTCTCACCCCTTCTCTTGCATTACTGCAGGAGAAAACCTAACTTTTATTTATGTATTTATTTTTTTGGTATGTGCCCCTAGCGGGAACTGAACCCGGGTCTCTCTGGTCCACAGGCTGACGCTCCAACTGCTGAGCCAAATCGACCAGGGTGAAAACCTAACTTTTAAAAACCCCCACCTTGCCCTGGCCAGTTTGGCTTAGCAGTTGAGCATTGGCCTACGGACCAGAGAGTCCCGGGTTCGGTTCCTGCTAGGGGCATGTACCACAAAAATAAATAAACAAACCAAAAAACCCCACCTTAAAAAAGAACAACAATAACAAAACAAATAAAAACCTCCACCTTGTTTACTAAATTAAAATTTTGAACACTTTGTTCCTTCAGGCTACATTTTATTTTAAGGCTAAACAAAAATCATGTTCCCCAAATGGCTAACACCATAAAATTCTAGTATGAAGTAATTTTAACTTCTGAGTTCATCATAATAGACAATGTTTTTTTTTTCTATATGCAATTTCGTATGTTTAATCCCAAATGGCTGTGATAGATGCTGTTTCTTTTTTAAAATTTTTATTTTTCAATTACAGGTTGCATTCAAATTATTTTGTATTAGTTTCAGGCGTACAGCATGGTGGTTAAACAATCATACACTTCACAGAGTTCTCCCCTTATTTCCAGCACCCACCTGGCACCATACCTAATTCAGAGACAACTTCTTAAATAGGAAACCCATGAAAGATCATTTAATAGCCCACCTAAACTGTTGAAATCCTAAGGAAATACAAAGTAATATTTTGTAACGATTGTAGCAATATCTATACCCCTCCATAAGTGACCAATAGGGCAGTCCCTTTGAAACATGTCCTCTCCTTATGGTCTTGGGAGGAGTGCCAAGGCGCTATGTAGGCTCCTTCTGTGCTGACTCGAACAGCTCAGCTCCAGATCTACTTCCCCTCTGATCTTTTGTCAGCCTCTGTCAAAAGATCAGAGGTCTGCTGTCTTGTTCCCGAACCTACCTTGCTTGCATACTATGGGTGCTACTTCTTGTCCTAAGCTCCTCTGACACATGGAATCACAAAGAAAGGAACCAAAAAGGCTGTATCACTAATACTGGGACTCAGTTTCTACCTTATATTTTCTGAAGAGAAGATGAAAATTAAAGTATTATGACTAATTCACCCATTACAAGGGACAAGTAGCATGCCATCTATTTATTTAGAGAAATTAAAGTGTCTACACTGGTATTTATACATTTCAATTTTAAAACAATCCACAGCACCTTTCTTCTTTTTCTTTGTCTTTTTACTGCTACGGCCCTTCTGCTGCTCTTCCATTATCCTTTCCTCTGCCATTTGAGAGCCATCGGCACGACTCAGTGTCGACATCAACCATGCATAAAGGAATTCAGAGAGATACCTTACAAAATAAAAAGCATCAGTTAACAGTAGATGTCTAAATGAGACAACTTTATCAACACATGTATTGGTACTAATAAAGATATTTTTCATAATGCTATAACGTTTCTAAAAAATAGATTATCCAATTAGGTAACTGATAAATTGGATCTTGTAAGAAATGAGCATTACAAGTGATTAACTACCCCTTTCTTGCAGCCATCTATGTTGCCATACAATACTGAAAAATTTGTTTCCTACAACGACATGCATTTTACAACTTTACGAAAGATTTCTTGATAATGATGTGTATATATAAACTGAACGAATGCCCAGGATACAGTTCACCTCAACCTATTAAGTAGATATTTTATTTTCCTGTTAATTAAAAAAGAAAGCAAATAAATCCAAACCAACAGCACAAAGCTTCCAATCAGCTGCCTCAAACCACAAAGAAAGGACTTGAGCATTTTCCCCTATAAACTGTCTTCTTTGTCTACTGTGAGTTAACAAAATGTATACCAAGTATCTATCTTAAAACCTGTCGGTAATAGTTGTTATCTACGGAAATGCTGGAGAATATACTAAATAATATTTTTCTCATATCATTATAGTTGATGCTTAAATTCAGCTTTCATAGCCAGGAGTTTTCTGTTCAAGAACCCTAGCAGCCATAACAAAACCATGTCAACAGCATGGAAGAGAATTATTTTCATTCATTCATAGCAGTTACTCCAGGGAATTACATACAGTATCTCAATTACTAATATACATAATTTAAATGAGTAAAACAGATGAACTATATTTAGATGTGATATACTAAACTTGGTTGTTTGTGATAAGCAATAATATGTTATTACTATTTTATAAAAAGTATGTTTTTATTGATTTTTTAGAAAGAGAGGAAGGAAGAGATAGAAACATCGATGTGAGAGAGAAACATCAACTGACTGCCTCCTCCATGCCCCCTACTGGGGATCGAGCCCACAACCCAGGCTTGTGCCCTGACCGGAAATCAAACTGGACCTCTCAGTCCATGGGATAATGCTCAATCCACTGAGCCACACCGGCCAGGCACTGCTTATTACTGTTTTAAAATTACTACCACACTTTGCCAGAATAACAAAAAGATTCAAAATGACTGAATTCATTAGCTTACAATACGCCCCCCCCCCCCCCCCCCCCCGCCCCTTGTGTCCAGGGCATGAACTAGGCACAGGCACAGACCAAAAACCAAGCTGAGATAAAATAAGGAGTTACTCTGTTCCTGGCTGATAGTCTTTATTTTCTTTCTATGACAGCATTCCATGCCTAAATATTCTCAAGCATCCTCTTACTGGGTTTCTTTATCTCATCACCAAGTGAAAGCAAAGCACTACTCTGCTTAGAACCATCTCTTATCTTCTTCATAACTCCTGAAACAAATCCTCAGGGCCACAGTTTGCAATAATTATGCTCCCAATGGTATCTTAGCTTTGATTTCTTCTAAGAAGAAAGATCTGGTTTAAATTTTGAACTTTAAATCACTGAAGTACATTATATAACTAGTACCTAGCATCACTGAAGTTAGGGCAAGATATATATTAAATCCACCCCCCCCCCCACACAAATAGGTAAGAGCTCTCCCAATTGTCCCACAACCAAAGTTAAAATACATTAAATGAAGAAGTACCCTGAAATTATATTCTACAGATGCTCTCTCAGATCTTTTCTATCCCACCCACCACCAATTTTAACTCAAAGTGTTCTCTTACCAATATATGTAGTAGTACTCGTGCATGCTGTAGAGTTCCAATTCAAAGCCACTGAGAAGATACTGTATCATAATTCTAAGGTTATGGTAAAGGACCCAGGTTCCTAAACAGGCCAAATGTTGCCTTTGGGGTTCCTGTTTCAGCAGCATAGTGTGAAGAGCTGCATCAACCTTCTCTGCCTATCAGAATAAAATATGGTAACTTTACTTTCTTTTCAGGTAATGAGAGAATTTAAAATAAACATCTGAAAATAGCATGAGCAGAAAATGTAAATCTTGATGCTGAAAGAACTCATACTTACAAAAGCAGTTAGGTTAAGTTCATATCCAAATTTGTCATTTCACAATGAATAACATTTAGCTAAACAGTCCTTAAACTAAAAAGACATCCAATTTATAGGTCAAAAATAAAAATAACTGACTTCAGGTCTTTAGTTATATTATCAATATTGCTGCTGCTCATAAATTTACTCTAAGGTTACTATGTAATAATGTTTTTATATTAATGTGAACTTGCTGTAAAATTATAATTCTACACATATTTTATAATTTATCATGATTATCAAAAAAATAATTTAAGATGCTTCTCAGTTTGAATTAGTGTCCTGTTTCTTTTTGTAAACTCTTACTTTGGTATATGAAACTGGTACACAGTCAGTGAAAAGAGAATTCACCATAGTGAAAAGTTAAATAGTCGCCCTGGCCGGTTTGGTTCAGCGGTTAGAGCATCGGCCTGCGGTCCTGAGAGACCCGGGTTCGGTTCCCGCTAAGGGCGCGTACCTCGGTTGCAGTTTGTCCCCAGCCCTGGTCGGTTGTGCGGGTGGCAGCCACTCGATGTGTTCCTTTCACATCGATGTTTCTCTTTCTCTCTCTGTTCCTCTCTCTCCCTCCCACTCTACGAACAAAAAATGGAAAAATGTCCTCCGGTGAGGATAAAAAAAAAAAAAAAAGTTAAATAGTCAAAATATTGTTCCAAAGAAATGTTTTTAAAAATCTGGTCAAGGCATATTAATTAATTTTAAGGGAGGACTACTGGTTGGCCTTACCTCATCCTGCAGGGTAGCAAATTCCTCAAGGATATGACCGAGCTTGTCTCTCTGTCGAGCCCTATTATGTCCGTGGATCTGAATAAGACTACAGAATGGCTGCAATACAAATAAAATGTTAACCGTCAGTATGAAAGTTCCTGATACTACAGAAAATTAACAATTTTCAAAAATCCAGTCTAAGAAGAAAAAAAAAATACTGTATATATGTAAGAATCATGCCTATGTGCATTTTTACATAGGTGTTTCTTTTCTGAGGAACTCAACAGATTTTCTCAATAGCTAGAAGAAAGTAGCTGTTCATGAAACTTGTTTTTATATGACAAAAATATCTTCCTTCTATCTTCAGATATCATCTTACAATTTCAAGAGGACAGTTTCTTTTGTGTTTATTTTAAGCCAAAGGACAGTGTTCAAGGCTGACATTTCTGTGCTGTTTTAAATATACCAGAATGCCTAATACCTATCAACTCTGACTAAGGTTGTTCTATTCCGAATCTATACAGTATTCTCATATAAAATACGATAACATGTCACTTATCAGACAACAGCCATGAACAGTAGAATGCTCTGATTTAAGAAGTGAATCATAAGATTCAAGTATAATACTGTCTTAATTTTATATATCTTGACACATTATCTCATTTGATCAATAACTAGGTCTATCCTCTTAAGAGGTAGAGAGGTAGTATTGACATTTCACTTTTTAAAGATTGAGAAATTTATAGAAAAGTAAAGAAATCTGCCTGATAATGATAAAATGTTAGTGATAAAGGCAAGATGTGGTCTTTTACTGATTCTCTTGGACCACACCATGCTGTCTTCGTGTGTGGGCGCATGTGTGCACATAGGTATGTTTACAACTGAAATTAGGCCCAAAGAGCTTTATACAGCTCTTTGGGCCTAAAAATGACTTATAATAAACTTAACCCACCACAAAGTTTTTATTTTTTCCTAATTACTTAAAATTTGAAAAAATTTTGTGACCTCATCTAAATTAATCATTTTAAATTTACTATAATCCTATTAAGAAACTACAAGGACATGTGCCAGGGATATTACAAATATTCCTAGTTTATAAGGTAAAAAATAAAGTTTTTGTGTTCATTTACACACACAGAAACTGTGCACTGCTGTTTTCCCAGACAGGGGCCATAATTCATCCTGTTTCTGCGGTTCCTGAGGGTAGTAGTAAGAAGGCATCCAAAGGTGCCTCTGTACCTGATAACCAGCCAGGAAGGCAATAGGCATGACGCTATCAACTCAAGCATAAGAAGAGACAGAGACTTCCTATTCAGTGAAAATGAGTAAGAAATATTAGATGGAAAAATAGCACAAACTAGTGCTACTGAAGGAATTACATTCCACAATATTTATTTATTAATTTATGTATGTATGTATTTATTTTTATCCTCACCCGAGGACATTTTTTTCGTTTTTTGTTCAGATAGAGTGGGAGGGAGAGAGAGGAAGAGAGAGAGAGAGAAACATCGACATGAAAGGGACACATCGAGTGGCTGCCACCCACATGACCCAACAAACTGCAACCGAGGTACGTGCCCTTAGCGGGAACCGAACCTGGGTCTCCCCAGACCGCAGGCCAACGGTTTAACCACTGAGCCAAACCGGCCAGGGCTACACCCCACAGTTTTTAAAGTATCCATCACAATGATCCAAACTGTAGTTCTTACCCGAACACAGTGAGTAACAAAGGAATCAATACAGTCCTTAGCCTGGTGGTTATTGTATAAGCAGCACCTGTAAGATAATATTCATATCATTAAAATCAAACTATTTGGCATATAAAAAGAAGCAGTGATTTCTGTAGGTGATACTAACAAATAGGGATGGTGGAAAAAAGAGAAAATTGAACAAAATACATTGCTAAACTGAAGTCTGGTGGTTCTAGATGAAGAAATATTTCACCATTACTATGTTGTTAATGTGCCCTTGACTGGAATCGAACCTGGGTCTCACTGGTCCATGGGCCGATGCTCTAACCACTGACCCAAACTGGCCAGGGTCAATTCCTTTAGTTCTATATTGGGACAATTAGAGTTGGACTGAATAAGATAAAATTAACAAGGAAAGAAGGAAAATTTCAAAGCTCCATTTTTTCCAGACCCTACTCCAATGTCATTTATTTTCCTACAACACATATTCTCATGAACTGTGCTCATAATAGTTATTACAAAAGTACTACACAGAATCATAATTCCTCCCAGATGTATCCACATTTCCAACCACCGGCCAAAATCATCATCTATACATCCCTCTGGCACCTCACCTCCTATCCTCAGTTTTCTCTGTGGCATTTCTTCTCTCAGTCAAAAGCATCACTTACTGACTAAGGCTTTCCTGAACAGCCGGGAAGCATCTGCTCCTTTGTTGGCTCTGGGGGAACTATAGAGGCTGAATGGATGGAAGACAGTCTTTTTCCGTCCTTGAGGTAGGAGGTCAGTAGCCTTTGCACCTAAGGAATGGGAGGAAGCATTCCTGGTGCACTGAGAGGAGCAGACAACTTACTACTCCCAAGTGACTGCCACAACTAAGCAATCTGACCAGAGCCTCAAAGATAAACAGCCTGATCATACAAGGGGAAATGGCGGTGCATAAGGAACTGGGAGAATGAAAAGGCAAAGCACCTGGAACAGGTGGTGGCAAAATATAAGTGCTGGAAGGTCCATTATATCTTTTACTTGACAGTAAGAAAATTACTTAAGTAGACTAATAAAAAGCACTTTAAAAAAAAAGACTTTCTGGATCTGAAATTTAAAAATTCAATACATGAAAGATGCTCATTAATAAGTAGTCTTTAAGATCAAGAGGAAGAACTTTCTCAAACATCAGTAGAGACAACAAAGAGATAAGTGTCATAAGGAATACTGAGAATAGGAATACTGATTAGAAGAATACAGTATATGTGGAGATCTAAATAAGAAAGAAAAAAAGATGGATGTGAAGCAATAATTAAATAAATAACAATATAGGAAAAATGATCTGACTGAAAGACTTGAAGCTTTAATAACTTAGTTCCAGATAGGACTAGCTAAAAATCATACACGAACATTCTGTTAAAACTCTTGAATTCCTAAAATAGAAATTCTATAGTCCTCCCAAAGAAAGTGTCAATCACTACATAAAAAAAATAAATAAAAAGAATCAAATCAGCATCAGATTTCTTATTTGTAACCCTGGAAAATTAAAAACAGTGGAACACCATCTACAGGCTACTATGCAATGAATTTTGCTATATACACAGTTGATTCTCAGTATTTGTGATAGTTCTGTTCTATAAAGTTTCCATGGACACTAAGACAAAACTGACACATTATTGCTAGGGTAGAATATAGGATTATGTTTCTGCCAGCCTCTGGTCATATTTTTTTTATCAACTAATCAAAACATAACCTTGTTTATATGTATTTGTTTCCAGACACCATATATAATATATATTGGTGATACACTAACTTTGAACTCAAGCCTGAGCAAAGCTCACCTAACCATACATTCTCTCTTAAAGCACATGACAGCCTTCTTGTGCTAAGGAACACTGGACAGCACATCACTACCCTTACAGGCCATTTTAAACTATGAAATCACCAATGAAAAGCACAAAAACCCAGCATCTAATAGGGTTTATAGTATAAGGGCTGAAACAAGAAGGCAATGAGAAGGTTGCCTTGTTCAACCTCAGTGTTAGGCAACTTTCACATGTCCACAAAGATGTCGAGAGCAGAGTGAATATTAAACTTGAGGGTTACAAACAGTTTAGTGTGTAAGCAAATTTGCAAATATGGAATCCACAGATAATGAGATGGACTGTAGCTAAATCTTACTGGATAACAATTGACAACATATAACCTTAAGTGCTAAAGAAGGATTGTTAAATTGAAAAGGCAAAATGCAAATGAAGTACAGTCCTATTTCACATATATCACATTATCAAAAATTAAAAAGTCTGATAATGACAAAGCCTAGATTATGGGGAAAATGGAATCCTGTACACTGCTGGCTGGCATACAAATTGGTTCAACTATTTTAGAAAGCAATTTGGCAAAACTAATAAAGTTGAAGATGTGCATGCCCTATGATCAGCAATGAATTCTAAGTATATATAGCCTATGTACACAAGGAGACATAGTCAAAGATGTTCACTACAGCACCGATTTCAATAACAGTAAATTAGAAATAATTTAAATATCAGTTGTGGAGAACTGGCGAAATGAACTGCAATGTCTTCAAAGCGTGGATTTTAATGAATGAAATACGTTTGCATAGATCAAACTGGTCATTCTAAAGCTAAAGATGAATGAGAAAAACATGATACAAAAGGGATGTATACACTGTGAAAAAATTTATGTGTAGTTTAAAAACATAAAATAAACTGACATATTGTTTATGGACACACATATGTAGGTAAATTGTATAAGCGTTCATAAGAGTGGTACACATAAACTACAAGGACCGGAGTGAAAGGAAAGAAGGGTAGGGAAGAGGATTTGAAATTGCAGCCAGCAGTTCTCAAAATGTGGCTTGCGTTCTCCCTGGTGGTGGTGGTGGTAGAGGACTCCTTGAGATGCTTTTGGGGGAACAGAAAGTAAAAATTATTTTCATAACATTAAGCATATGATTTGCCTTTTGTACTTATTCTCTCACAAGTGTACAGTGGGCATTTCCAGAGGCTACATTGGCATGCAATATTACAACAGACTGAAAACAGAAGCAAGTTAAAATAACTCAGCTACCTTCTATTAAGACAGACATAAGAGATTTGCAAAAACATAAAACAATGTCACTTTCCTAATTTTTTTTTTTAAAACGTGTATTATTTTCCATAATAATGTTATTTATGTTAACATGTAATGGGTTATTGTTATTTTTTAAAGAGTTAATAAATAATTTCAAAGTATTATTTTAATTTCTAAAACAGTAAATATCAATACATATGACTTATATAAACAAAGGCTAATTTTAATAATTTTTAAGAATGTAAAGGGACCCTAAGTCAAAAAAGATTGAGAACTGCTGCTTTAGATGTATCTCTAATCATTACATTTGTTAAAACTAGCTGTTCCTTCCTACTAACTCAGCCTTCCTCTGGGACCTGTGAGTTGTCGCCCGGCACTCCTTCAGTTCACTCACATACATCACCACTTCAAGAGGCCTTCCTTCCACAACTACCACATCTAAGAGAATACCTGTCCCTTTTTCCTACTTCATCTTTCTATAGAGCACTTATCATGACCTGACATTATGTATTTGTTTACTGTTTAGTTTCTCCCACAGAAAGGTAAACTCCTTGTCAAAAGGTGTATCCTTCTTTTCCCTAGAATCTAGAAAGGTTCCTGGCAGTAGCAGGTACTAATTCATTCTATCTATAAAATAAAGGAATTAATAAAATTTATTAATTTATAAATATTCATAATTTAAAAAATTTAATCAATTCTCTTATCAGCAAAGGAATATATGAAAACAAAATAATAAAAATGTTGCTCAAAATGGATGGTGGTACAGATGTCTGTCAGTTTATACACCTGAATATTTGATATAGTCAATCATATAATTTTTTGTTGTTGTTAATCCTCACCTGAGGATATTTTTCCATTGATTTTTAGAGAGAGTGGAAAGGAGGGAGGGAGGGAGGGAGGGAGGGAAGGAAAAGAGTAGAAGAAAAAGAAAGAGAGAGAGAGAGAAAGAGAGAAAGAAAGAAATATCAATATGAGAGAGATACACTGATAGGCTGCCTCCCACACGTGTCCTGATCTGGGCCAGGGATTGAACCTACAACCCAGGTATGAGCCCTTGACCGGAAATGAACCTGAGACCCTTCAGTCTGTGGACCGATGCTCTAACTGCTGAACCAAATCGGCCAGGGTAATCATAAAAATTTTAAAATAATTTTTTTTTTTTTTTTTTATCCTCACCCGAGGATATTTTCCCATTTTTTGTACAGATAGAGTGGGAGGGAGAGAGAGAAAGGGAGAGAGAGAGAGAAACATCGACATGAAGAGACACATCGAGTGGCTGCCACCCGCACGACCAACCAGGGCCGGGGGCAAACTTGCAACCAAAGTATGCGCCCTTAGCGGGAACCGAACCCGGGTCTCTCCGGACTGCAGGCCGACGCTCTAACCGCTGAGCCAAACTGGCCAGGGCTAAAATAATTTTTAATTGTCTCTATTTTGCAAGTGACCCTAAAGATCCCACAAAAAAACTGTTAGAATAAATAAATTCAGTGAAGTTGTAGGATACAACATTAATACACAAAAATCTGTTGTTTCTACATACTAACAACAAACTATCAGAGAAATTAAGGAAACAGCCCCCATTAGGCAAAACAAACAACTCACAGACACAGACAATAATAGTAAGGTGATTACCAGAAGGAAAGGGGGGTGCAAGCAGGTAGAAGAAGGTAAATAGGGGCTAAATAGTGACGGAAGAGGGTCAGACTTTGGATGATGAACACACAATACAATATACAAGTAATGTATTATAGAATTGTGCGCTTAAAACCTATATAATTTTATTAACCAGTGTAACCCCTTAAAAAAGAAAACAGTTCCATTTATAATAGCATCAAAAATTATAAAATATTTAGGAATAAATTTAATGAAGGAAATGAAAAATTTATACACTGAAAACTATAAGACACTGACTAAAGAAACTGAAGAAGACACAAATAAACAGATATTTTGTGGATTGGAAGAACTAATATTATTAAAATGTTCATACTACCCAAACTGAGTTACAGATTCAATGCAATCCCTATCAAAATCCAAATAGCATTTTTCACAGAAATAGTAAAGACAATCCTAAAATTTATATGGAACCATAAAAGACCCTGAATAGCCAAAGTAATCTTGAGAAAGAATAAAGCTGTAGGTATCACATCTCCTGATTTCAAACTCTACTATAAAACTATAGTAATCAAAACAGTATGATTTACTGGCATAAAAACAGGCACATAGATTAATGGATAGAATGGAGAGCTCAGGAAAAAAAAAACCCTATGCATATATGGCCAATTAATTTTCAACAAAGGAGCCAAGAATATACTACAATGGAGAAAGGATAGTCTCTTCAATAAATGGTACTGGGAAAACTGGACAGCTACTTGGAAAAGAATGAAACTGAACCCTTTCTTATACCATACACAAATATCAACTTTTTCAAAAGGGATTAAAGATTTGAATATAAGACCTGAAACTGTAAAACTCCTAAAGGAAAATGTAAGAGGGCAAACCCCCTGATATCAGTCTTGGCAATGATTTTTTTAGATTTGTCGACAAAAGCAAAAATAATGAAGTGGGATCACATCAAATTAAAAAGACTCTGCTCAGCAAAGGAAACAATCAACAAAATGAAAAAGCAATGGGGTGGGATGAAATACTTGCAAACCACATATATGATAAAGGGTTAACCAGGGAAGAACCAAGAAAATTCTGAAAAAGAATGATGCAGCAGGATATATATTAACAGATGTTAAAACGTAAGATAAAGCCTCAATAATACAAATCAACATATATATTACCATTGGAAGCAACATAAATCACAATACATGAGGCATTTTTAAGTTTTAAAGATGGTCTTTTAATCCAGTGGGAAATGATGGTTTATACTGTACGTGGTGCTCATCCAACTGGCTATCTTTCTAGAATAAAATAAAGTTGAATTTTTATCTTGATACCACTTACAGGAAAATAATTCAAAAGAATTAAAAATTTAAAGATATAGAATAACACCATAAAAACCTTTCGAAGATTTTAGTAGATTTAAGATTTAATGGTACAGCCTATGGTCTGGGGAGAATTACTTACTTCTAACAAGAAAGCTAAAAGTTAAACAGGAAAAAAGAAAAGAGCAAAAACTATCACATAGAAAGCAAAAATTATGATGTGGCAAAATAAAGATTAAGGAAAAAAGTCCACATTGCCTACCACAGATAAAGGATTAACTTCTCGTAATATACAGGGAGTTCTTACAAATTTTCCAAAAAAAGTAAACTACAATAAAACTCAATGAGCAAAAGATATAAATAAGCAATTCATTAAAAAAAACTCATGTCCAATAAATATTAGTGCTCATATTAAAGTAACAATAAGATATCATTTCCTACTCGACACAATGGAAAAAATGAAAAAGAATGATAACACCTACTGCTAGTCAGGATGCAGGAAAAATATAATCTCATATATTGCTAGTAGAAATATGAACCATTAAAATCTTTTAGAATGCAATCTGGCAATATCTATCAAAATTAAATCTACACATGCCCCTCCACTCAGTAACCCCACTCCTTAGAATATAATCACATTACAAAGGAAGTTCACAGAAACATCCTGTTAATGTGGTCCTATTTCTATTAAGTCATATATGTGTGTGTATCTTTATACACAAGGATATATATAGTGATGGTCATCAAAATGTACTTATCTAAGAGGTAAGATTTCAGGTGATTTTTATTACATTGCACAAATTTTTCTACATTTTAAAAATTTTCCAGTGTGACCATATATTATTTACATAACAGTTGTTCTCCCTCTTATCCATAGTTTTGCTTTTTGTGGCTTCAGTTACCCACAGTTAACAGTGGTCCAAAAATACATAATGGAAAATTCCAGAAATAAACAAGTCATAAGTTTACGTGAATGTGGTCTCTCTTTCAAAATATCTTATTGCAATGATTCACATCCCAGGCTGGACAGAGCAAGACAGTTTAAGATTTCATCATGCTACTTACAATGGTGCACAATTTAAAATTGATGGATTATTTATCCCTGGAATTTTCCGTTAAATATTTTCAGACCACATTTGACCTTGGAAACTGAAACTACAAAAAGTGAAGCCACAGATAAAAGAGAGGGACTACTGTATTTTACTTAATAATGACCCAAAAGCAGGAGACTGGTGATGCTGGTGAGGCAAAACAGAGTTGGCCACCCCAAAATATGCCTCTTTGAGATGTTATTTTTAAGACAAGATCCAGGAAGAACCTTTGCCCTTTCTCCTGTTTAAAAGAACTTAGATAAAGGACCTGCTCCAGGAAGGAAGCTATCATCATATATAACTATAGTTTAATATGAACTAGGTGTGGTAGGACAGGGAGGAACATAGCAAAGCCTGTTTGATCAAAGTCCTCTCTGTGTCCCATTGTTCAAGATGGCCCAGCAAACAGCTATCAAACGTGCTTTTCCATCTCAAGTGAATTGCCTTCCTCCCCTGTGAAGTCCCAAACCACTCCCTCCCTTTCTCTTTAGCTCAAGATGGCATAGAGCCCTAACTGTCTAGTTTTTCCTAGGGTTGCATATTCTTATGGAACCCCTGCACATACATATGCAATTAAATGTGGTTATTTTTTCCTATTAATCTGTCATTTTCATGATTTGACCAGGAAGAACTAAGCGAGAAAAGGGAAAATTTTCTACCCCACCTCCATACTGGCAATTTGGATATGCCAAAGAGAAGCTGTAGTGCTTCCTTTATGTAAAAAGATATGAAAATACAGAAAAAATTAGCATATATAGGGTTTGGTACTATCTGGGGTTTCGGGCAACCACTGGGGGTCCTGGAATGTATCCTGCATGGATGTTGGGGGGGGGGAGACTACTACAATCAGCTTTTCCTTTCCCTTCCCCTACTGAATAAGCTGTCATGTCCTACTAATTTTACTAACAAAATTATTCCTATTAATTTTATTTATTCCTATTAATTTTACTACTGAAATCTGTCCTCTCCTTTATATTCCCAGAGTTTAATTCTTTCTTGTCTCTCACCTGTACAACCAAATCAGCCTAGCTAAACACTCTGCTTTCATTATCACTACTGGTTTGCTTCTTATTAAAAAATACATACTCTAGCTCTGGCTGGCCTTGCTCAGTGGTTAGCATGTTGGCCATTGGACCAAAGAGTCTTGGGTTCAATTCCTGGTCAAGAGCAAGTACCTGGGTTGCAGCTTCTGGTCCCAGTTGGGGTTGTGTAGGAGGCAACCAATCGATGTTTCTCTCTCTCTCTCCCTTCCTTCCACTCTTTCTAAGAATCAATGAAAAAATATCCTTGGGTGAGGAGTAAAAAAAAAAAATTCATACTCTGTATGCCAATTTCTTCCTAAAACTTGAAGTATTTCCTGACTGATCATAAAATAATGAGAGAAGAATGAAATGCTGGGCCTTGAGGGGCAAGGGAGGGAGGTTGACACTTTTTAAATTGAGCAGAATAGCCCTCACTGAGGTGACATGAATGAACTTGAAGGTAGTGAGGGAGCATCCCCAGGAATTTTTTAGAAAAATGTCCTCCACACCCACCCCTGTGTAAAGGCCATGAGAGAGCGTGTTCATTCCAGGAAGAGCAAGGAAGTCAGTGTGGCTGAAGGACAGGATGTGTGGGGAGAGCAGTAAGAGGTGAGGTCAGGGAGACACCAGCACAGGGGTCTAGATCAGAGATTATGAGGCCTCAAAGGCTCAACTATAAAGACTTTGGCTTTTACTGTGAATGAAATGGTGAATATTAACCAACACTGAGGATACTTGGGAATCTACTTTCTCTCAGTTAAGCAGCAGTCTTTGAGAGGTGTCTGGGTAAATTCTCAAGCTCCCTTTCCCCTGACTAAGACAACTGAGGTGTCACCCACACTGTCTCCAGAGCGCCCCTACAGGACTGGATCAGTTACTTTCCATGGAGCACACCTTTGTGTGGTGGCTTTCTTCCTCTTCATGTCCCACCTGCCCACAACTTAACTAGTTTTTCCTGGAAACATGTTATAATTACATTTACATGAATCTTTGTCTCAGGGTCTGCTTCTGGGGAACCCAACCTAAGAAAGAAAGCTACTAGAGAGTTCTAAGTGAGATGTGGCATGATATAGTCAACAAAATTAATGCTGAACCAGTACTGTTCTTATAATACATAACCTCATACACCTAGTCTTCACACATGCTGGTTTCTTTAAGAAATAGATTCCTTTCTTCTCTCGACATGGAAAGCTCTACTTATTTTCCAAAATGCCAACTCAAATGGTGATTCTTTCCACCTGAAATACTCTCCAGCTTCTTCCAGCAGCATGTTTTCGGGGAAGTGACTCTATCAGAACATAATTTAAGAACCAAGTATCTGCATATTCTAATTTTTTTTTTTTTTTTTTTATCCTCACCCGAGGATATTTTTCCATTTTTTGTACAGATAGAGTGGGAGGGAGAGAGAGAGAGAAACATCGACGTGAAGGGACACATCGAGTGGCTGCCACCCGCACGACCAACCAGGGCCGGGGACAAACTGCAACCGAAGTACGTGCCCTTAGCGGGAACCGAACCCGGGTCTCTCCGGACCGCAGGCCGACGCTCTAACCGCTGAGCCAAACTGGCCAGGGCTGCATATTCTAGATATCTCTATCTAGACTCAGCTCATTGAAAACAGACCTTATCTTGTTTTTTTTGTAATTATTTCCTAAAGTACCTATCTAACACAGCGCTGTGCTCTTAGTAAGGATCAATACAATTTACTGAATCCCTGATAACTGCTTGGAAGTTTTTCTTCTCGTACTGAACCTAACGTCAACTTTACAAAAATCTCAGTTTAAATCTAAACAACATGTGGCATAAATCAATTTATTTTAACATGATCGAGTTTGTTGTTTTATAGAGATACTTGATTCCAACAGTTTGTATGCCTTGGTTAAAAAGGAGAAGGACAGAGAATTTGGCTTTTAAGAAATACATACACTATAAACATCTTACGATACTTACTTTGGGGAAAGCACCGGAGGACTGACGAAAGACCGAAGGGCATCTTTCACCATGTCTTGCATGAGGTGAGTTCCAAAGACCTTTTTGTTATCCACCAGGAATGTGGTCTTAAAATAAATGTTATATATTAGTAATAATGTCACAAACTAGACATACTGCACGTATAGTTGCCATTACTGTCACATGAACATACTTCTTAAAAATACCACAGAATACAAAAGAAAATAAATATAAAAAGTTGGTGGAAAATTTTATAAATCACTGCTTCCATGATGGGTATTACTTATTAATTTCTATTCAAGGTGTATTTTGATGCAAGAGAATAAAAAATGTGCAGGAAAAAACTTTCCAAGTCAAGAGTAGTAATTGTGAACTGGTTAAAATAAACTAGTCTAAATATGTCAAATGAGTTAATATGTAAGAAAGGGCTTCATAAATTATGAAATAGTAAATGGCTATAAATATTAAGCTAGTCAATAATTTTTATCTCTAATGAATGTTTTGGAATACATACAAACCTTTCCAAAATTGGAAAAAACAATAGATTACTAAAAAGTACATTATTAAATTTAAAATAAAATATTACTCAATAATTTGCATTTAATTTTATCCCCCTAACCTCAGTGCACTTTAATAGTTACCATATTATACCTTATTCGATTTCCTAACACATCTGGGTTGTTTCCAGTTTTTGGTGGTCATGAACCAAATAGCTATAAATATGTGCATACAGGTTTCCAGACATCAGATTCCACTTCTCTAGCTATACAAGTATGAGTGGGATTTGTACATTTCATTTTATGAGAATGTGCCAAATTGTTTTGCAAAGTGTTTGTAGCACTTCACATTCCTATCAGTACTGCATCCTTGTAAGCACTTGATATTCTATTTTTCTTTCTTTTCTTTTTAAAAAGATATTCTGAAAGGTGGATAATAGTATTTCATTGTGGTTTTAATTTGCATTGCAGTAATACTAATTATATTAAATATCTTTTCATATTGAAATTTCACAATTTTGCTCATTTTAAAAACTGGGTTGTCTGTTGTTATATTTACAGAGTTCCTTATATGTTTTAGAATCAAGTCCTTTGTCTGACATGATTTGCAAATAGTTTCCCATTCCATAGTCTCTTCATTTTCTCTTTTTCTTTACTGATTTTAGAGAGAGAGGGAGAGAGAGATAGAAACATAGAAGAGAGAGAACATTGATTGGCCACCTCCTGCATGCCCTCCACCGGGGATTCTGCCCACAACCTGGGCATGTGCCCTGACCGGGAATTGAACCAGCGACCTCTTGGTGCATGGGTCAATGCTCAACCACCAAGCCACACCAGCTGGGAGAGTTTCTTCATTTTCTTAAGAGTCTTCCACAGAATTAAAATTTATATTTATCTATTTAGGGATTGTTCTTTTATTGTCACACCCAAGAATTCTCTGCATTCTCCAAATTCACAAAGATTTTCTCCTATCCTTTCTTCTAAAAGTTTTATAGTTTCACATTTTACATTTAGGTTTATGATGTATTCTGAGTTGATTTTTTTCCCTATATGCCTGTCCAATTGTTCTTGCACCACCTGTTGAAAAGATTGCCATTTCTCTATTGAGTTAGCTTCGTGCTTGGTCAAAAATCGACCATATTAATTATATTTTCTTTTCTTTGTTTTTAATTGTTGAAAGTATTACAAATGTCCCTCCTTTTTTCCCCATTGACCCCCTCCTTCCTGCTATATTTTCATTTTCATTCTAACTTAAGACTGTCTCTTTGATCCATGGGTTCTTTAGACTTGTATAAATTGCCAAATATTTGGAAAATTTTCTATATATTGGAAAATTTTGATTGCTCACTTAATTCCAAAATAGTCAGAGCACATACTTTGTATCATTTTAATTGTTTTAAAACTGGAGTTTATTTCATGGCACAAGACATGATCTTGATGAATGTTTAGCACTCTAAGTCAATGCATTTAATTAAAAAATGTTAACATTTACTATGGCATATCCTTTAGAAAGAAGCATCTACCTTTTGTTCTATCAATCAATAAAACAATGTCAACAGAGATATAATTTGATGTTTAAAAAGTATTTTCTATACTAAGAGAACTTACTTGTAATAGAGATCTTGAAAGAACACAAGGTGACTGTTCACTAAACTCACAGAAAAAATCCTAAGAGATAAACAGAGAAAAAAGTAATGTCAATAATGGGTTAAATAAAAGAAGAAAACATTTGCATAGAAAGTGTAATTTTTACTGGAAATATTACCCTACCAGAGTTAGAATATGACAAATACTAAAAATACTCTCTACAGGAATTGTCTAATTATACCAATGAGACTTTGGATAATTTTAGAGCCTCAATTTTTTTAAAGCAAACTGACTAATAATAATATTGTGTGGATACTCATATTAAATTTGTACACCATGAAAATAACAGTATCAATAATAATTTACTAACTAATGACAGAGGTTTACCTCCTACTTCACATAAATAAATACCAAGTAACCAGGCTAACTGGATTCATATTACCGACTGACTGATCCTAAATCCAGGGAAAGACCAAAAGATATGCTCAGAAAACTATACATGGGTTTATACACAGATAGGGAAAAAAAGATAAGAAAATATACTGAAATGTTAACATCTGTAGTATAGTTATAGTAATTACTTATCATCTTCCTGTTTTTAGGCATTTTCTGGGTAAAAGTATACACATTTTTTAAGACCAAAGAGAGGTAACCACAGGAATACAGGATAATGACTATTTCCCTTTTTAAATAATAAATATTATTATATTTTTCAATCCAGTTGTTATAAATTGATTTCTTTTCTTATTAGTAGGGTGAAGCATTTTCACTGTTTACTTCTTTTTAAACACATGTGCTTATGTCCTATTCTAATTTTTCATTTGGATACTTAACTTTATTTTTCTGTATCTGGCAGTTTATCCTGTAACCAGTTTCTTATGCAGATCCACTGGACCATTCGGTCCCTTATCTGTCCTAACTTTAATCTTTTCCTCTACTCTTGGCCTCTGCCACACTCCCCCAATACCACTACCTATTGCTCAGTCCCCTGTCTTCCAGGGATCCAGACTCTTCTCCTGCTAGGCTCTTTTCATGTCTAGTGCCAGCAGTCCAGGCCTAGCTCCCTCAGCTCCCTTCTGTTATGGTGTGTCATTATGCATTCATCCTTCTGACAAGGTAATCCATACTCTTCTGTTGGAAAACAAATTCCAGCTGTTGTACTTTCTTATTCCAATACACATTGATCTTCTCTTTTTCTAAAACTCTACAATTTAGCGAACACAAGTAGGTATTTGTGTAACAATTAAGTATCAGAAAATTAGATGCAACAGAAGAGTAAGAAAATCTCTACTCATTGTCCAGATATGTCACTAAGCAATCTAATTTAGTTACAATCCCTCTAAACCTGTTTAGCTGTACAATGAATTACAAAATGAACTGGTCTGTGATCTTTTCTACCTTTAGAATCATGATTCTTAAGGACAGACTACTAAAAAAGAAAACAAATACAAAAGAAAGGAATAAAGGCATAATAGTGAAAGTTTCACTAATGAAGACTTAAGCTGGGCTTTAATGACAAAGAATCAGTGGAAGAGAAAATAAAGTTATCATAAGTCAGAGCATAAACAAAAGCATAATCTTCTTTTTTTTAAATTCTCACCCGAGGATATTTTTCCACTGATTTTCAGATAGAGTGGGAGTGAGGGAGACAGAGAGAAAGAGAGGGAAACATCAATGTGAGAGAGACACATCAATGGGTTGCCTCCCACACAACCCCAACCAGGGCAGGGGAACTGAACCGCAATGGAGGTACATGCCCTTGACTGGAATCAACCCAACTCTTTGTTCTGAGGGCCGACACTCTAACCAGTGAGTCAAACCAGCCAGGGAGAAAAGCACAAATCCTTATTGACCATCAACTATATCCCAGAGGCAGCTGCTCAATTCTAGATATATAAACTGATTAATTTGTCATCTCAAGAAATACAGGTACAGAAGAAACCTGGAACCAGCAAGGAAAACTTTACAGAGGAAATGACATCAGGCTAGGAATTATGTACCCTAGTATGTAGGGGCAACAATAGTCAAATTCGTATCTATGCATAGTCATGCAAAATAAATTAGTGTACTTATGTCTAAATATCAATAGTATTATTTTGCTATTTTCTACCTTCCTACTATCCTTATAAATATCACTATAACCTTACTAAATTATAACTCCACCTCTGAATGTTTTAATATTCCCCAAATAAAAGCATATTTTTTCTATATTTAAATCCATAAAAAAAGAGTAATAAAAAAAATGCCAACTTAAAAATAGACATACTCTTTACCCAGCAAATTCACTGTTAGGAATTTATCTTAAAAGGGAAGAAAGCACCTGATATAAAAATTTAGCTTTAAAGATATTCGCCATACTGGGGAAGGCAGGAAGAGCACAGGAGCAGGAAGGAGGGGATCAATGGGGAAAAAAGGGGGACATCTGTAATACTTCCATCAATAAAATAAAGATAGTCACCATATTATTGTTTATAATAGTAAAACACTGAAAAAGACTTAAATACAGCCCTGGCTGGTTTGGCTCAGCGGTTAGAGCATTGGCCTGCGGTCCGGAGAGACCCGGGTTCAGTTCCCGCTAAGGGCACGTACTTCGGTTGCAGTTTGTCCCCGGCCCTGGTTGGTCGTGCGGGTGGCAGCCACTCGATGTGTCCCTTTCACGTCGATGTTTCTCTCTCTCTCTCTCTCTCTCTCTCTCCCCCTCTCACTCTATCTGTACAAAAATTGGAAAAATGTCCTTGGGTGAGGATTAAAAAAAAAAAAAAAAGACTTAAATACAATTCAATATGAATTGACTGAAAAAAAAAATGATACAGGTTTACAGTGGAATCCCATGTAGCTATTAAAATAATATGGAAATATATGTTATTTGTTGACATGAAAAGAAAGATGTTCACTACATAGAGATTAATAAAGAAAAAAAAGTTCCAAACACCATGATCCAATTTTTGTATGAAAAAATACTGAGCCCTGGCCGGTTTGGCTCAGCGGTTAGATCATCAGCCTGCGGTCTGGAGAGACCCGGGTTCGGTTCCCGCTAAGGGCACGTACCTCAGTTGCAGTTTGTCCCCAGCCTTGGTTGGGTCATGTGGGTGGCAGCCACTCGATGTGTCCCTTTCACATTGATGTTTCTCTCTCTCTCTCTCTTTTCCTTCCACTCTATCTCAACAAAATATTAAAAAGTGTCCCCTAGTGAGGATTAAAAAATAAAAAATAAAATAAAAGAAAAAATATTGATACATATGCATTATGTATATATACACAGGCGCATAATTATATAAAAACTTCTGAAAACAGAATCCAGGGTTCAAACTCCCATTTGAAAAATTTGGATAAATTACCGAACTTTTCTAGACTTTAGTTTCTTTATTTCTAAAATGAAGTTATATTCCAGAATAAAGATTTGTACTTACCAGGATACAATGTAAATTTGTTAAATTGACCACTTCACAGACAGTTTTTATTCTATCTATTAATCTTGCAAAATAGTTGACCATTTCTTCCCTTTTAATTATTTTTGCATATCGAGGGAACGTAGGTGGAAGTAGCCTCTGGTTAACAAGGGGTTCAAACCCCATCATAATTGGATGATCTAAAAAGAAAAAAAAGATTTTCAATGTTTCTTGGAATTTTAAAACTCAAATACTACTAAATGTAAAAAAGGGCCAGTTTCAAAAGCATCTCCTAACAAATTCTAATCACAATACTCTCCAGATTTTATAATTTACCATTAAATATATCTATATTTTAAAAGTAGATGAGCATATTTAAAAACCTAAAATTGTACTTCTTATCTACATGTTGTTGGTAGTGGTGACAGAGAAGGGCTTCTACCTCCAAAAATGGGATAAAATAAGGTTAATATATTCCCTCATTAACAACTACCTTTTCTGACCACAATGGTATGAAATTAGAAATGGAAAATCTACAAATATATGGAAACTAATCAAAAACATGGTTTTGAACAACCAATGGGTCAAAGAAATCAAAAGGAAATAAAAAATTATCTCAAACCAAATGAAAATTGAAACACAACATACCAAAACCTATGTACTGCAAAAGCAGTTGTGATTGAAGTTTACAGCAATAAATGCAAACATTAAAAAATTAGAACAATTTCAAATAACCTAACTTTACACCTTAAGGAACTATAAAAAAAATTAAACCCAAAGTTAGCAGAAGGAAGGAAAGAGTAATGATTAGAGTGGAAATAAATGAAATAGAGACCAGAAAGACAACAGAAAAGATCAATGAAACTAAGAGCTTCTGGTTTACCAGAAAGATAAACAAAATCGACAAACCTTTAGCTACACTCCTATGGCTGCCAAAGGGAGAATTTAGTTTACATTTAAAGTAATTATTGATAGGAATGGAATTGCCACTGTCAATTGTCATTCTGTCAATTGTTTTCTGGTTGTATAATTATTGCAATTCCTTTGCTCCCCTTCCTCCTTCTCTTGCTCTCTTCCTTTGTTATTTGATGATTTTTTGTAATGTAATGCTTTGATTACTTTTTCTTTATTTTGTCTATATATCCATAGGCTTTTGCTTTGTGGTTACCATGAGGTTTGCATAAAATACATTTGTAACAGTCTACTTTAAGCTGATAACTTCAAACACACATAAAAGCGCCCTCTGTCACATTTTATGTTTTTGATGTCTCAATTTGCATCTTTTTACATTGTATATCCATTAACAAATTATTTTAATTATAGTTATTTTAAATACTTTTGTCTTTTAACCTTCATACAAGAGTTATAAGTGGTTTGCTAACCACCATCACGACATTAATCACATTCTGAATTAAACTAGTTGCCCTCGGTATCCACAGGTTTTGCATCCATGGATTCAATCAACCATAGATAGAAAACAGTATTCAATCCATGACTGGGAATCTGCAGATGCAGAAGGCAAACTGTATGCATTGTTCTATGCTATTTTATATACGGGACTTGTACATCCGTGAAGGATCCTGGACCAATACCTTGCTGATACAGAGGAACGGCTGTAAATATTTACCTTTAACAGTTTTATGCTCTTCTGTTTTCAGCCCAGCCCAAGCTACTAGTTGCCTCCTTAGTTCTCAGAAGTAGCTGAGGTTACACCAAGACCCATCAGTGTCCCAAAGTCAACACCTACATGCAGGTCAATTAGAAGCTAAAACTTCAGATAGCAGCTGGGGAAGTATATAGTTAAGCCCCTTTCCAGGCAGAAACTGGAAGATGGGGGCATTTTTGCCTATTCCTTCTGGATGTATATCCATGGGGGAAAGGTGCTCCCACACCTGCTAACAACTATTTCTTTGCTTTATAGTCCTGTGGGACTCCTGAATGCAAGCCCTGTTGGTTAGTAGAGCCAGGTGATCCAGGGGCTCATGCCTTGGGTGACAGCTGCAAAAGCTTGAGCACCAGCTGTGTGTACAAGCTCCTTCCTGGGAGATACTGGTAACTGGGTTGTATTATTGTAACAAGTTGGAGAGAGAAGATGGGAAAGCTGCCTGCTGATTTTCCCAGTCTCAGGAAGATCTCATCCAGCCCCTATACACCTGTTAAATTAGAAGCCCAACACTCAGGCAGCAGCTTTTACAGTATGCATATAAACCTACTTCAGGGAAAGACTGGGAGATGAGCGATTCTGACTGCTCCCTCTGCACTGATCCCTGCAGGGATAGCCATGCAAGTGCTCATGAGCCTAGTAAAAACTGCTTCTTTGTTTGCTATAGTCTTGTGAGTCTTGTGGACACAAGCCCAGTTGACTTTCAGAGCTAGGTGTCCTGAGAGCCTTTCTCTCCAGGAGTCTTAAAAGTTGAGATGCTAGATGTGGAGTCCAAACAGTTCACTCCTCAGGCAGACGCTGGGAGTTGGGGGTACTCCCCTGACTGTATGGCACTATGTCGGGTGTGGAGGTTTATGACAAGAGTATGTCTCAGCCTTTCCTACCCGTTTTGATATATTTTCTCATTCATCTACTGTGTAGGAACTGATCAGCTAGTTTCTGGATCTCTTTCAGAAGGAACTGCTCTGTATGCAGCTGTACATTCACTGTGTCTGTGGGAGAAAGGGAGTTCAGGAGCCTCCTATGTCATCATCTTGGTGAAGTCTCACCCCTGGTTACTTTTAGTGGACAATGGAAGCAAGATCTGGATGACAGGTCTCCCAGGTCCTTTAGATAGAGCTAGAAAATATACATATGTATATGGACACACAAATTGGGTATTTTAAAACAACACACATTTGTTCTCTCAGTTCTGAAGGCCAGAAGTTTAACATCAGTTTCACTGGGCTGAAATCAAGGCACAGACAGGAGAGCACTTTGTCCGAAGCCTCTAGAGGGAAACTTATTCCTTGTCTCTTCCAGCTTTTTGTGGCTGTTGGAATTCCCTGGCCTCTAGCTGCAGCATGCCAATTATACCTGTCTTCACATCACTTCTCTTCTGTGTGTCTAATCTCCCCCTGCCTCTCTTTTAAGAAAGACACTTAGGATGGTATTTAGGGCCCAACCAGAGAATCCAAGATTATCTCATCAAAAGATCCTTACTTAGTTGCATCTGCAAATAACTTTTTCCGAAATAAAGTAACATTTATAGGTTTCAAGATGACCACAAATGTGAGGGTTAACTTTTGGATTAACACTATTCCACAGATCCATGCATATCTTTATGCCAGTCCCACATTGTCTTAGTTACTGTAGCTTTGTCCTAAAATTTGAAATCTGGAAGTATGACTCCTTCAACTTTGTTCTTTGCTCTACTGATTTCTAGTTTCCATTACTGCTGTTGAGAAGTATAATGATAGTCTGTCTTGATTATGTAACTTATTTTGTCTCTTTCAAATCTCTTAGGACCTTGTGTTTTAACCCACCAATCAAAAATTTCATGATGATATGCTTTGATAGAAGCCTATTTTTATCCTGGTTGTGCTGGGCAGCTCTTTATTGACCCTTTCAAATCTAAGTATTTGTATCATTCAATTCTGGAAAAATTTCTTAAATTATTATTATTATTTTAATCTTCACCCGAGGACATTTTTCCATTTTTTGTTCAGATAGAGAGGGAGGAAGAGAGAGAGAGAGAGAGAGAGAGAGAGAGAGAGAGAGAGAAACATCAATGTGAAAGGGACACATCGAGTAGTTGCCACCCGCACGACCTAACCAGGGCCGGGGACAAACTGCAACTGAGGTATGTGCCCTTAGCGGAAACCGAACCCGGGTCTCTCTGGACCACAGGCTGACACTCTTTTAACCGCTGAGCCAAACCGGCCAGGGCTTCTTAAATTATTTTGTTATTTTTTGCTTCTACCTTCTGATCTGTATTTCTGTAACAACTTTTATCAGTTTACCCTTCATTTATCTTATTTACTTATTATTTATTCTTATTAGATAGACCTTCTGAACTGATCCTATAATACTCTTTATTCTCATTTTATTTCTTTCTTAAAAAGTTTATCTTTATTGTTGAATGTTTTACAGATGTTCCTCATTTTCCTCCCATTGACCCCCTCCTCCCCACTACCACCCCCCTCCTGCCTTTCCCCACACTGTTGTCTGTGTCCATTGGTTATGCATATATACATTTAAGTTCTTTGGTTTATCTCTTCCCACCCCCCAGCCCCCTTTCCTTTGATGTCTGTCAGTCTAACAACCAATTTGTACTTCTTAATCCCTTCATCCATTCCCCCAAACCCCCTCCCATCTGGCAACCAACAAAATGTTCTCTGTATCTATGAGAATGCTTCTGTTCTGCCTGTTCATTTTGTTTGTAGATCCACTGTCAATAGATATGTATTCATTGCCATTTTGTTAGTTCATATTTTTTATCTTTTTCTTCAAGACCCTTCAACATTTCATATAATAACGGTTTGGTGGTGATGAACTCCTTTAGCTTTTTCTTGTCTGGGAAACTCTTTACATGGCCATCGACTCTAAATGATAGCTTTGCAGGATAGAGTAACTGTGGTTGTAGGTTCTTGCTTTTGATCACTCTGAATATTTCTTGCCACTCCCTTCTGGCCTGCAAAGTTTCTTTTGAGAAATCAGCCGACAATCTTATGGGAACTCCCTTGTAGGTAACCAACTGCTTTTCTCTTGCTGCTTTTAAAGATTCTCTCTTTGTCTTGAACCTTTTGCATTTTGATGATGATGTGTCTTGGTGTAGGCCTCTTGGGGTTCATCTTGTTTGGGACTCTGTGCTTCCTGGACTTGTATATCTGTTTCCTTCACCAAGTTAGGGAAGTTTTTTGCCTTTACTGTTTCAAATAGGTTTTTGATTTCTTGTTCTCTCTTCCCCTTCTGGTACCCCCAACATGCGAATGTTGGTATGCTTTAAGTTGTCCCAGAGGCTCCTTACACTCTCCTCATTTTTTTGGATTCTTTTTTCTTTTCGCTGTTCTGATTGGGTGTTTTTGCTTCCTTATATTCCAAATCAATGGTTTGCTTCTTGGCTTTATCTACTCTACTACTGAATCTGTGTAAATTATTCTTTATTTCAGTTAGTGCCTCCTTCATTTCTGACTGCTCCTTTTTTATGCTCTTGAGGCCCTTACCAAGTTGGCTGAGGTTCTCACTAAGTTCATTGAGCATCCTTATAAACAGTGTTTTGAACTCTGCATCTGTTAGGTTGCTTATGTCCACTTCGCTTAGTTCTTTTCCTGGAGTTTTGTTCTGTTCTTTCATTTGGAACCTGATTCTTTGTCTCCTCATTTTGGCTGCCTCCCTGTGTTTGTTTCTATGTATTACTTAACAAGAGGTATGAGGCTAGCTGAGACCAGATGCTGCTTGTTTGAAAGAACTTAGGAAAACCTGAAGCAGGATCCAAGACAAGCCAATCCTATGGTAGAGCAACTGGCAACAGCTTGGGTGGGCCTGAAAGTTGGGTGGGGCAGCGCCTCAGGGAGTCACCAGGGCGGGGCAAACAGTGTGAGCCAAGTTGCTGGAGTCCCAGATATGGCGGCTGTCTGCTGTCCCAGGGAAGGGCTCACCAAAGGAACAAAGGCCTCTGATAGCACGTCTGTCCAGGAGAAAGCTGTCTGTCCAGGAGAAAGCCGCCTCTCCAGCCCTCGCTCCAATGCCAAACAACTCAGTTCTTCCCCATATGTCTCTGGTGCCTTTCAAGCTGCCTCCCCCATGCTGGAGCCTGGAGGGTGTTAGTCCGAGTAAGTCCACACAGGTTCTTTAAGAGGAGCTGCCTGGGGCTCCAGCGGCCTCAGCCTCAGTTTCCGCTGGTTTTTCCAGCCAGAATTTATGGGGACTTCTCTTCCTGGCACTGGAACCCTGAGCTGGGAGCCTGGTGTGGGATGGGGACCCTTCAGTCCTCAGGGAGGACCTTCCCAGCCGAGGTATCCTCCTAATTTTTATCTGCTACACGTGGGTGAGGAACCAGCCCGTCATGCCTCCAACCCTCCTACCAGTCTCAATGTAACTGCTTCTTTAATTTCGTAGTTATAGGACTTCCATTCAGCTTGATTTCAGGCAGTTTTGAAAGATGGTTGTTCTGTAGTTTAGTTGTAACTTTGATATGGTTGTGGGCCCTTATTTTGTATCTTTACATTTTTAAACTATACTTTCTGTAAGATTTCCTCAATTTTGTGTTCTGTTTTCTATTTATTTTTATTTACTTACTATTGTTTTTTATTTCTATTAAAAATAGCATTACAAAAGTTAGAACAATGGTAAATAAATGTTGGCCCTTTACTCACCACGTATTAACTATCGTTTCTGCTCTTACATTTGAATCTCAAAGATTATATATATTTTTTCTTTTTGTATAACGTCCTATATTTTATTATACATGTGCACTGCTTTTTCTCATTTCCTTAAGGTATGGGTTAGAATTCCAGAAACATATAAAAATAAACGTAGAATTCAAGAACAATAAGGCAGTATAAACAAAGAAAAAGAACAACATTTGCTTCAATTATCACTTAATATGAAAATGACTCCAAAACTTGCCTTTCCATACATTTTCCAGAGCCAAATAGTTACTGTACTAGTGGACAGCTCCATGTGAGCACATCAAAAAATCCCATTCCTTTTATCTGAGCTGCCCTCCTTATCCACTGCCTGTTCCCAAATTGCTTCTGCCTTCTGCATCTTAATCTTTAAAACATTATATCTATACAACATTATACCATGAGTAAATCCACCAGTAAAGTGATCCTTGGACCAACTTTGATTCTTCCCACTTTCCCCCTTTACACCACTGTTTCCAAGTCCTACTGATTATATACCTTTCATTGAGAACCTAAAATAAATGCTCAGTGATTTCAAGCTTTACATAGCCATTTTGTTACCAGCTGGAGTTACAGTAATAAGAAGGCAAATGAGTAATCTGAGATGAAAACTAATCTACATTACTGTTTTATCATCATTCTTCTTAGAACAGACACCAGGAAGGCATTCACATTTTTATTTTATTGTTTAGCTTTATGCTTAAGGGACAATTACAAAGTTAAATTAAGCCAGCCAAAGGTATTAAACAGAAAATGAAGCAGAGTGAGTTAGTACTCCCTAAATTTAAAACTTCACTAGCTTAGTCGTAAGATTACATGTTTTAAAAAGTTTATTCAAGTCAACTTTATGCAAACCATCTTCCCGAAGCTTATATGTGAATAGATTATCAAACCAGGCAAACGATGGAGAATATACACACAAGCAATATTTGTTTTAGTACTGACTGGTCTGAAATATAGGGATGTCACAAACCACACAGACAACTAATGATCCTGTGGCGATTATTATCCTCAGAGTTATAGACTAGAACAGCCCACAGTAGCCAGGATATGGCAAAAAGGAGTATCAGAATCCATTCATAAGGAAGACTTTCATTTTGCATTATTAATACCTTCTTGATATATTACCCAAAAAACACACTTCTTTGAAGTAAAGTATGATCAGTGGTTTTCACTAAAGTATTCTTGCACTAGTATTCAAAGTATTGAAGAATTGTAGATATGTTAAACTTTCTGTAAACGTACTACATAGCTTGCTACGCATAACTGCTGTTTTTGTGTGTGTGTCCCCATGGTTACAGAATGCCACCTAGTTAGGCATCTCATATACATATTTCCCTCCTGGATAAAACAAACAAAAAAAATGTTAATGAATTAATAAATTCATTATTAGATAAAGATTACAATAATACTGATGTTCTAAACCAAATTACCTTTGTATTGCTCTACTACCTAACATTTGAGTAAGAAAAAAATTAGTGGGAAGGGAAACACCACAACTGCTGTCCTTAAAGGAGGGTATAAAAGGAAAGCAGTGTGAGTTAGTAAAAATTGGCCTTCCTGGTCACAAGACCAACAATTGGGAAAAACCAATTTAAAGAACGTAAATATCATCTCATTTTAATTAGTTTTAAAGGTAATCAAAATTGCCACACATTATCTAAAATGTTAACTTACTTGCAACTTTTACAAGAGTACACTATTTCTTTCATTTTAAGGCATATTTCATAAATAAAATCTGAGAGTCAACAATGTGCCAAGCATAACAGAGATATATAAATAAGACAGTCCCTGGCCTAAAGTATCAAAACCTCATGGAAAGACAAATAGGTAAACAATCACAATATGATATACACAAAAAATGTAACAGAAGCATGTATGAGTACAAGGAGGGAACACTTAGGCCTGCCTGATAGAGTTAGGGAAGACTTTGCAATGAAGGTAATGATCTCTTAAAGAAGTAAAAGGGAGAGGTGACTGAAAAAGAGTATACTGCTGACACCAGAGCATGATCACCAGAAAGGGTAAATACTCAGAGGAGCACAAGCATTAAGATATAGTACTTTTTGTTCTAGAAAATATTTTTAAAGAAGGGAGTATAAATACTTTATAACTCTATGAAGCAAAACATTCCAAGATCCAGATAGTCTGAATTAAATAAAATTTTACAACAAACCAAACACTATACACTCTGGATGAGAAAGAATGAAAAAAGAATAGGAGCAAAATAGACAATTACCTCCTTTTGTAGTATCATTCTGGGCCTGGATGCCATGATGCAATGAATTATGAATGGCAGAAAGAAGATCTGCTGCTTGAACCATCAATTTTTGAGCTTCTGCAACAGCACTGGTCTAGCAAATAAATCACCAAAAACATTCTTACATATTCTTTCACTGAAAGATATACATTAAATAGGAAAATCCTATAAACAATAATGAAATTAAATGCTTGTTGTAATGACATCGGTTTTCACAAACTATTCACTTAATACAGGATGTTCAGATCCTGTTAAGATAGATATTATTCTTTTTACCCATATCTATATTTTGTAGGAGCCATGAAAAAACAATAGAAAACATCTCTGGTTTATTCTATTAATCTTTTGTTTAAAAAAAGAAAGATTCAGTCAATTGGAAAATTTCAACATTTCTACTTTGTTACTCATCAAGGTGAAATTAAAAAAAAAATAGTATTATAAAAGTTGGAACAGCCCTGGCCGGTTTGGCTCAGCGGTTGGAGCGTCGGCCTGCGGTACAGAGAGACCCGGGTTCGGTTCCCGCTAAGGGCACGTACCTCGGTTGCAGTTTGTCCCCGGCCCTGGTTGGTCGTGCAGGTGGCAGCCACTCGATGTGTCCCTTCACATCGATGTTTCTCTCTCTCTCTCTTCCTCTCTCTCCCTCCCGCTCTATCTGAACAAAAAATGGAAAAATGTCCTTGGGTGAGGATAAAAAAAAAAAAAAAAAAAAGTTGGAACAATGGTAAACGTTGGCCCTTTACTCACCACTTACTAACTAGTCACAAATTTGTCTGTAATCGAGATACACGCACGCGCGCACACACACACACACACACACACGCATGCTCACAATATTCACCATATAGGACTTACTTTGGGGTCTACAAAAATCTAACAGTTAATTATTTCCTGAATGAAAGAAGACATCCTAAAATTCTCACTTTTACTTTCTCCTTTCAATTCACAAAATATGACTACCCTATTTTTATATCAATAGACATGTATATGTTATGGCGCAGGCTGTAAAATTCACGTGAGAAAATCAGAGCTACTCTGATGTAAATACACCAAATGCTGAGTGCTGTACATGTGCAACCAGGGGCATTTCAAAGGGAAAGTCTCAAAACTACTTCAGTAAAGCATTCTATGAGAACAAAACAAAACACCACCACTAAAATAGGCAGAGTCCAGTAAACGCCCTTACCTCTTTCTTAGTAAAGGCTATAAGCACTGTCAGTAACACTCGAGTAAATTTCACTCTGCTGAATACTGCTAAACACTGTTGGTGCTAAAAAAAAAAATAAGAAAGAACGGGAAGTCAAAAGATGTAAAGTCTGTCAAAAGAATTTCACTTTAAAACCTGGTATTTTAAGTCCTAAATCTCAGTGCTAATAACTTACGACATTACAAACACCTTCAGTCAGTCTTTACATGCCTAAAATTAGAAGCTGCAGAAAACATAACAAAGCCTACTCTATTGAAACAAAATATAAAGCTTCTATATCAGCAGGACTGATTTTTTCCCTAAGACAAAAGTTATACTATCATCTCAAAACAGATTTAATCAGAATTAATCAAGGATTGTTTAAAAAGCACTTTAAGCAGAGTCAGAAAATTTAGGATCTCAACAAAGGCTTGGCAACTGTTGATGCTGTGCAAGTTCTCAAGTTTTGCTAAGCTTTGATGTGTCATGTGTAAACAGTCAGTTTTTTCTTCCTACCTCACAGGAATACTGAAGATTCAGCTTTGAAATCATGTATTTGAAAGAGCTGCATTATCATGCTATCAAAATAAATGTAAGGGACATAAAATCCCTTGCAATGTCCACTTTTTAAAGAAATACCTTAGAAAGGGTTTCCATAAATTATAATGCAGTTCATAAAACTACAACATTAAGAGGTAGACTTCTCTGATATTATCTACCAGAAAATAAGTTCAATTACTTCTAGTTCAACTTCTGGATCTCTTTCTTCTCCTTGTCGACTTCGGGTACTCTAAAATTTTAAAAAAGGTGAATTAAAACAAACACAAAACTGTAGAAGCATTAAATTACAAATATACAAGGTAAAGCACTAAATTAATTTACTGTAACAATCTATTTCTAAGAATAATATTTGAGAGGAAAAAGAAGCTATATTTAGTTATTATTTTCCTATTAATACTACATACCGGAAGTTAATTTTGATATAAATTACAAAGAATACACAAAATAAGGTATTAAAAGCAGCAAAAGCAAAACAGTAAAATAGCATAAAAGCACATGGTACTTCTTTCTTTTAAAACGATCTATTCATTGAAACTTCTGATTTCAAAACTAACCCTGCTAGAAAGAGTAACCTTTATAAAATCACATCATGAAGTCCTATAGTAAATACTGATCTGTTCTGCACTAAAGTGCAAGACATCTTGTTCATACATGAGTAATACATGGTTGAGTAGGTTGACACAATTCTGGGAAGACCCAGAAGAGTTAAGGTTTCTAGCACTGGAGCTGCCACTGACTCAGTGGCATGCCCTTGAATAAGACTCAGACAGGTTACTAACTCCTCTGAGCTGTATTTTCTTCATCTAAATGTGGGGCACGGTGTGCATTTTATTGTCTAATTCAACAAATAATTGTAAATATCAAATATGCCGTGGCCTGTTTTGCTCAGTGGTTACAGCACTGGCTGGCAGACGAAGGAGCCTTGGGTTCTATTCCATTCAAGGGGATGTACCTCAGTTTCGGTTCATCCCAGGCCTTGGTCGGGGTCATGTGGGAGGCAACCAGTTGATGTGTCTCTCTCACATCAATGTTTCCCTCTCTCTTTCTCTCTCCCTCCCTCCTATTCTATCTGAAGATAAAAAGAAAAATATCCTTGAGTGAAGATTTAAAAAAAAAGAATGTAAAATTGCTTGCTGTGTTATACAAATGTTAAAAAAACAGTAGAAATATTAACTTTTTTCCTTTTTATCTCCATGAGACCCAAATCATCAGGGTCATCTGGCTGAAAGATGTCATTCATAGGAGGCATTTACCAGATTTGGGATACCATCATTTACTGACTCTTCCACTGTGTTGTAGACACTCTCTTAGCTATTAAAGATACATAGGTGAAGATAGTCCTTATGTTGGAGGAACTTAAAATTCTACAGTACTATGCTACTCTTAAAAGAGCATATAAAAATTCTAAAACAAATTGAAACACTGAGAGGGTTAATTTTTTAATACATGAAAGTGACATTAACTTATCAGAAGTTCCTGTAACAGCCTTCAAACTCATTACCAAAAGGCATAGCATATATAAAGGATGCCGATGGTCCTACCTACATTAGTTATTTATACTTAAAGGTAATCTGACATTACAAGAAGAAAAAAAATCCTATACCAAAGAGGGGGAAAAAAAACCCACATATATGTATATATACCTTTACTCTTCTTTGCATGTCATCCTCCACATCTTTTAGCATGCCTAGAAGAAAGACAATGAAGTTAAAAAGGAAACATACCCAAACGTTAAACTTGTAAATTATCTTTATAAATGGTATTACCTGTAACTCGAAGATCTGTCACACTGTTAGCCATTTTAAATCCGTAAGTCATTGACTGAAAATCTTCCTATAAAGAAAAGGAATAATTAGGTCCTTGAGTAGTAGCAAAACCTTTTATTATATTTCTCTTACAAAATCACTTTTTGTTAATAAGAAAACACTAATGAAATGTCAGCCTGCCTGTCTAAATATTGCTATCAAACATCCACACTTTCCTTATTGTTGTATCCTTAAAAAATATACTCTAATGTTCTCTACATCCTTAATTTCAATTGCTTATCTTTAGGCAATTTAAAAATATTTGCATTTAATATGTTCATTTGCAAATTAAGGCTAATATTTATGATAATATCAAAGTAATTCCCATTTACAAAGTAGTCTCACAATCACAGGTGAACAGTAAATATATAGTAATTACTGTTTGATTATAAGATTGCAAGATTTAAACAAAACTCTTATTTCAAAAATTATTAAATGCCTATTTCACTGTTAGGATACAAAGGTTAAACCTTGTCAAACAGAATTACTCCAAGTGATAGCAAAACCACATTCCCACTTTAGCCCCATTCTAAAGAAAAATTATTCACACATGGATTTCTACCCACAAAATCATTTAAAACACTACTGAGACATTAAAAATTAAGTGGCTTACTGACTCACACTAAAGACTATGAATTTAATATCATTTGGATTATTTAAAAAGTCAGAAGCTCTATTTAAGGAATGTATCTGTCACATTATAATTCTTATTAAAATGTATATAAAAGCCTAATATAATGCACTAACAGGTATTTATAGCAGTGGCCAGAACAATAGCAAAATTTCTGAATTCTTAACAAAAACATCAGTGACCATGCAATTCATGTCAGGTATTACTATCTTACAAACAGAAAGAAAAAGAAAAAAACTAACATACATTATATCCCTGGTCTCAAAGAACTTAGTGTTATTACTTCACTCACAGGATTGGGTCTTTTAAAAATTTCTACTAGAATATTATATAGGATTCTTAAATTTTACGTATCTGAAAAAAGTTAACTCTCCTAGTGTTTACCACACTGAGCCTCCACCTACCTAGTTACTCAGGCTAAAAACCTGCACTTCAAGTCCTCTCATTTTCCCACAGCCCATTTCAGATCCATCAGAAAACCCTGTAGGTTCTACCTTCAATTTCCTTTTTTACAATTTTTTTTATCCTCACTTGAGGACATTTTTCCCTTTTTTGTTCAGATAGAGTGGGAGGGAGAGAGAGAAACATCGACATGAAAGGGACACATCGAGTGGCTGCCACCCACACAACCAATCAGGGCCAGGGACAAACTGCAACTGAGGTACGTGCCCTTAGCAGGAACCGAACTCGGGTCTCTCTGGACCACAGGCCAACGCTCTAACTGCTGAGCCAAACTGGCCAGGGCACTACCTTCAATTTCTAATCTAACCATGTCTTGTTCCTTTCACAGCTGTCTCTAGTTCAAGTCAGCACCATCTCTCACTCCTATAACTGTCTCCAGACAGGTCCTCCACCTTCCCACACTTGTCCCTGCTATAACTTCTTTGCTACCTGAAGTCAAAAGGATTGTTTTAAAATAAGCCATTTCACAGCAATGTCTACTCAAAACCTAGTCTCTTTCCTTACAAGAAAATCCAAAGGCCCACCATGACCTCTAAAGCCCTCTGGTGTGTGGCTCTGGTCTCCCTCTCGTGTCTCATTTCCTGTCCACCACTCTTCTCCACATTCACTGTACTGCACATACAGGCCTTCTTGGGTCTTTCAGACACATCAGACACATTCTTGTCTCAGGACCCTTTGTACTTACTGACCTTCTCCACAAAACGACTGTCTTCAAAAGATTTACAAAGTTCCACTCCGTGTTCCAGCCTCTGTTCCAATGCCAATTCCTCATAAAGAGGTTTCCCCTGTGCATTCTCTCTAAAACAGCACCATCTACCACTTTCTATCCCCTCGTCCTGCTTTACTTTTCATATAATTAATCATCACATAACATTATGTTGTATTTGTTTACATACACAATGACTACCCAAAAGAGTGCATAAGTCATGAGATCAGGCTTTGCTTTATTCGCTACTTTATTCTAGGACTTAAGAATAGGACTTGGCTCAGAGTACTATTCAAAATATATTCATTGAATGAATGATGACTTACTGTAGGGCAGGGGCCATAAATGTAAACAGCTGGTAATTGTCCTGAGCACATCAAGCTGGTTACAAGATTCTCTGGGGAATGGTAGGGACAGCAGCAAAGGCGAGAACATATACTTCTAAAGGAAGTCAGCCATTAATTACCCTACTGTGGCCATGAATTAATGCAAAGCTAGTCTGGTAAGGTCTCCTAATTTTTCAGAAAAACCTAATTTAATGTAAAATCTTCTAATTTTTAAATGTTTACCAATTTTTAAAAAGCTAAGTAGGCTAACATTGTGAACACAAAACAAAACAAAAAAACCTGTAAGCCCTATCTGTGAACTGTGAGTTTGCCAAGAGGAGTCTAAGGAAAAGTATTTGTCTGGGATAATTATCACAGGCCTGTATAATAAAAAGAAGGCTCAATAACAAGAACTTAACCTAAGTCATTGAGGGCTAAAGATGAGTTGGGTAAACAGATGCTGCCATTAAAAGATCACTCTGAGCCCTGGCCAGTATGACTCGGCAGTTAGGGAATCTGCCCGTGGACCAAACAAGGGTCAAAGGTTCAATTCCGGGTCAAGGGCATGAACCTGGGTTGCAGGTTCAATTCCCAGCCCCAGCTGGGGTAGTGTGGGAGGCAACCAATCGACATACATCTCTCACATCGATGTTTCTCACCCCACCCACCCACCCCTTCCATTCTATCTAAAGAAATCAATGGAAAAATAATATCCTCAGGTGAGGATTAAGAACAACAACAACAAAAAGAAGATCACTCTGAAAACTTTGTGGATTTAAGGAGGACAGAGATCAAAATGAAACCAGATACTGGACACAATTCGACAGTCCAAGCCGGAGCAACCCAAGCAGGAGCTTATGGTGATTTGAATTGAGATTATAACTAAGTGTGAGAAGTGGCTGAAATCAATATATATCTAAAAGGTAAAGCCAACATGATGTGCCAAGGAAATGAATATGAGTTATGAGGAAAACTGCACAATCAAAAATCGTTTCTGGTCTAAGCAACTGGTAAATGATGGTACCATTTACTGAGATGGGGAGCAGCAGTATTAAAGACAGAAATGGGGTATAATTTCAGTTATATGGATTAAGTTTGTAATTTCTTTGGTCAACCAAGTGAAGATTTCAGGAAGCTACTTGGCTTGAGTCTGGAAGTCAGGGAAGGAATCAGGACTAGAGATATACAATTGGGATTCATCAACACATAGTGTTATTAAAGGCCATAGACCTGGAGGAAATCAGCTGAAGGAGAAGGTATTGAGAAGAGGCAGGAACACTCCAGCATAGAGGAACAAGCACAGGAAATGAACTAACCAGTAAGGCAAAAGAAATCCAAGATACTGCTGTATCAGGAAAATGAGAAGAAAGTATGTCAAAGAGTGGTCAACTGGGTCAAATGATGCTGGCAGCATGAAGGAGGAGGGGTGAGAAAAATGGATTTAGCAAAATGGGTATCATTAAGGACCTTGTTAACACCCATTTCTGTGTAGTGGTAGAAAAGAATGTCCTGTAGGAGAATGTCCAAGTAGGTGAGAAGAGACTGGAAGAGAAAGCAAAATAAGTAAATATTAACAGCTCATTCATGGATTTTTTTGTATAGGGTAGCAGAGAAATGAGATTGTAAAATAAGGAGGTATGGGATTAAAAGAACTGGTGTTTCGTTATTTATTTGTTTATTTATTTTCAAATCCTCACCCAAGGACATGTTTTTATTGATTTTAGAGAGAAAGGAATGGGAGAGAGAAAAACAGTGATGTGAGAAACATTGATTGGTTGCCCCTTAAACGTGCCCTGACCGGGGGATTGAACCCACAATCTAGGTATTTGCCCTGACCAGGAATTGAACCTATAACATTTTGGTGATGGGACAGTGTTCCAACCAACTGAGCCACCTGGCCAGGGCTGGTGTTGTGTTTTAAATTGAGTGAATGGTAAAGCATGTTATATGCCAATAGGAATAATCTAGTAGTGAAGGAAACACTAGTAATGCAATACAAAGAAGGTTCAATAACTGCAGTAGGCAAGAGGGATAGAATCTAGAACACAAGTGGAGGAGCTGAGCTTAGACTGTCACAGAGCTACTTTCAATTTTAACAAGATAGATGGCAGAGTATATGGATATCAACATAGGTTACCACTTGTGATAGTGAGAAGATGGGGTACTTCTAATTCCATCTAGTATGTCATTATGGTGCAAAGCAAGCTGATAGAAGGGTTGGCATTAGAGATTTGAGAAGAAAAGATGTGGAAAAGTCACCTAGGAGAGTGGAAAAGCAAGTTCACTATAGAAATGTTATAGGGTAGGACTGTCACTAATGTTGAGTGCCCATCTGAGATTTGCAGACCTAAAATTAAAGTGAGAACAGACACAAGATATGAATTCTCTAGTAGCCTTCTGCTGTTTTGGTACAAGCAGTGAGTGGGCAGATGGTTGGGGTTTAGCCAGATAAGTGACATATTATGATGAAATAGGAAGGGCAAGGGAGCTAAGAGTGATTTCAGCACTATAATGGGGAAATGAGGACACGAGGAGAATAACAGAAAAATAAAGCAAGAGCATCCATAAATTGAAGGTCTCTATAGAAGTGAAGGATAGCCCTGGCCGGTTTGGCTCAGCGGTTAGAGCATCGGTCTGCGGTCCAGAGAGACCCGGGTTCGGTTCTCGCTAAGGGCACGTACCTCGGTTGCAGTTTGTCCCCGGCCCTGGTTGATCATGTGGGTGGCAGCCACTCGATGTGTCCCTTTCATGTCCATGTCTCTCTCTCTCTCTCTCTCTCTCTCTCCCCCCCTCTTCCTCCCTCCCTCCTATTCTATCTGAACAAAAAATGGAAAAATGTCCTCGGGTGAGGATAAAACAAAAACAAAAATAAAAACAAAAGGATAGTGAGAGTAGGGGAATTTGAGTAAATAAGCAACAAAGTAAGTGGTAGCAATCAAAGAGTAGTATTCTTGAATCAAGATTTTTGGAGGTGAGTAGATCAGTAAGGGTAAACCACACCATTATTATTCAAACTGGTTTACTACTGAGAGTAGAAGAGGATGTTATTCACGATCACACATGGACAAAAGGTGTCAAGTAGACTGTTTCGTGCTAACCACTATGTACAGATCCAGTTATAACAGAAGAATGTGCTAAGAAAGGGCAGAGAAAAAACTAGAGTCTGTCTGGGCAAGTGAGGAGAGTGGGATCAAAGTTTAAAGATAAGTAGGACTTTGCCCTAAAAAGGTAAATAAAAGCGAAAAGGCATAAGGAGAACCAGAGAGAAATGTAACTATCGGGAAGGTTCAAAGATTTGCAGAGGTGCTGGCTTTAAAGATGGAGTCATAAGACAAGGAATGCAGGAGACTTCTAGAAGTAGCAAAAGGCAAGAAAGCAGACCATTCCCTAGAGCCTCCAGAAGGGAACGTAGCCCTCTAGTACCTTGATTTTGGCCCTGTGAGACCTGTGTGGGACTTCTGACTTCCAGAACTCTTCTGACAAACCCAATATGGCTGAGATTGAGAAACTCAATCGGTTGAAATCAAAGACAGAAATGCAAGAGAAAAATCGATTGCCTTCAAAAGGAACGACTGAACAGGATAAGCAAGCAGGCAACTGTAATGAGGCACACACCATCAATATGCACTGTACATTTTATAAGCATTCTTAATTTTACTTCTTTCAGCTGTTTAACTTTGTAAGATGCAAAGAGGTTGTATCAGTTTAAATGACTGCTGCCCCTTTTCACATCAGAGAACTACTGACAACGAAGGCCACAACTGACTCTTCCATATGCCTGTCTGGCTGGCAGGTAAGGAAAAGAACTTGCATATTGGTGAAGGAAGAAGCTGGGTGGTATGACAGTTAAATGTAGAGTAAAAAACCAAGCTGGGCACGGCCAGTGTGGCTCAGTGGTTGAGCGTCGACCCATGACCCAAGAGGTTGCCAGTTTAATTCCTGGGCAGGGCACAAGCCCTGGCTGTGGGCCCAATCCCCAGTGGGGGGCATGCAGGAGGTGGCCAATCGATGTTCTCTCTCATCAATGTCTTTATCTCTCTTCTCTCTCTAAATTCTATAAAGAAAAATTATTTAAAAACCAAGCTGGTCCAAGGTGCCCTGCAGGTTGTAAAACATAGTTTAATCAGAGTGCCATTTTTTTGTTGTTAAATTGATTTCAATTATTGGAATGCACAATTTTTAAAAATGTTTTTATTTCAGAGAGAGAGGGAGGGAAAGAGAGAGACACGCATCGATGTGAGATGTGTGAGAGAGAAATATCAATCAGCTATCTCCTGCACACCCCCTACTGAGGATTGAACCTGAAACCCAGGCATATGCCCTGACTGGCAACCTTTTGATGCATGAGATGACATTCAACCAACTGAGCCACAATGGCCAGGGCAATGCACAATTTATAAAATATAGAAATAAAAAGTTTTAAAACCTAAAAGAGAGAGAAAAAAGGCATGAGAGACAGAAGGAACATCCTGTGCACACATGAAATAATGGAAGAGAATAATATAATCAGGATCAGCTGAACAATAATATACCAGGGGTAGAAAAACAAAATTTTGTATGAGAAAGAAAATGTAGGCATACACCAGTTTGTCTTATCTGTCACTAATATTTATATAATCATAACAATGTCAGCAATAAGTAATGATTTAACCAAAAATTGAATTACTATTTGGGGTACAGTAGGGGGTAATGTATGAATACTAAATACCTGCTAAATATGTGCTGATACACCATAGCCAAAAACTGTTAAGTCTTTAAATCCAGAAATTAGAATATAAGACTATTATCCAGAAATATGGAAATAAATAGTAGAAAAAAGTTAAAAGAATCTATTATTATTATTACAGAATGGATAAGAAAGAGCAGAGAATCACAATTTTTCACTGTAAGACTTACGGGCTATTTGACTATGTGCAAGTATTATTACTTTTATTAAAACACCCCAAGGAATATTTTTAAATAGCAAAACTAAACATGACCAGATTACCTGTTTTTAAGGAGATCATGTGGAGAATAAACTAGAGGGAAAGACTGGGAAAGAAAAACAGAGTTCTACCTAAATCTAAAGCTGACAAAGGCATGAACTGAAACAGGTACCATGAGAGACAAGAAAAAACAGTGTCCAAGATATTTGCAAGGTAAAAATAAAAGAATCAGGATGTAGAAGGTTAAAAAAAATTAATCAAAGATACTCTAGATACCATTTTGCAAGGTACAGAATGCAGGAAGAAAAAGGGGGAAGAATTATGTTTCCCTTTTTGCATGTGTGAACAAGATATTAAGAAACATTTTTAGGCAGCTGAAAATGTATCCAGTCCAGGAGCTAAAACAAAGCAGAGACATAATCTGAGAACAAAATACACCAGCACTTAGGAATTTCAGAAACATCCATTTTAAACAAAGAAATGATTATAAGTCATTCTCATTTATTCATTACCATATCTCTTAAGGGCTTTTACTAAGTAATCAATTGTTTTTCTAATTATATAACTTAGATAGTTATAATTTTTTCTAATTATAAAACTTTCTATTTTATCTGGAAAATCGGAAAAGTTTAGAGGGAAACAATGACCATCATATCATACACACACAGCATGTGAGTGCCTGTTTTCCCATCCTCATCAACATGGTGTATTATAAAAAAACTTTTCATCTTTGCCAATAATGGGTAAAAACATGGTATCTCACACTTTTAATTTACATTTCTCTTAAGGTTACACATTTTATGTTTAAAGGCCATTTTATTTTGAGAACTATCTTCTGATTTTTAAAAAACTTTTTAACACTTAAAAATATTTCATCTATTTGCAATTTATTTTGATGTTGTTAACCACCCTCCCCTAGTTCTACCCAAATTCATATATTAAGTCTGAAACCCCAGAATGATGATATTTGGATGAGGGGCCTTTGGGAGGTGTCTAGGTAACAAGGGCAGAGACCTCATGAATGGGATTACTGTCATTGTAAGAGGGACCCCAGACAGTTCCCTCTCCCCTTCCACCACACATGGGCACAGTGTAAAGCTGGCTATCTATGAAACAGAAAGCAGGCCCTCACCAGAGACTGATCCTAGATGACTTACCTTCCAGAAGAGTGGGAAATAAATTTCTCTCGTTTATAAGCCAACTAGTCTATGGTATTCTGTTATAGTAGCCCACGGGGACTAAGGCAGATGTAAAATGATAAGTTAATTTTCAAGGGTGATAATCAATTTTTCCAGTACAATTTGTTAAATGAATCATTTCTCTGCCCCACTGATTTCTGATGTCCTTTGGATATACTCTGAGAATGTAACTATTTAAAATAATTTGTATTTCTCTTCTCACTTATTAACTTAAACTAATCTTTAAAAAATTCCACCCAGTGGATTCAATTTTCCATAATGATACCCATGTCAATTCAAATACATAGCTAAATAACCAATGAGTGTATAAAAAGTAAGACAGTATTTCGTAAACAACTCACAAACCATACATTTACATGTGGACAATCATGTTAGGTATATATTTAATTATTCTCACATGCATAACATTAATTTTGAAAAGCTTTACATACTATATATACACTGGACCACTGTAGGAGCCTGATAGTTATTTTGGATCAACAACATTAAAAAGAAACTTACCAGTTTCAACAAATGCTATCACATTTTCCCTTAAAATTATCAGCATCTAAAACCTTATTTTCTATAAGGAGAAAAAAAATCTATGTCTATAACTCAGAACACTTCCTCAGGGTGAGGTGCTTAGTACTAACTGGAGGGAAATATTTATAGCCTAAGACAGTGATTTTCAACCAGTGTGCAGCAAGAATTTTTATAACATGCAATACCTGATTATTTAATCAGGGGCTCTGACCTCTAACTTTAGATTGTTAAATTAAAAAAAAAAAAAAAAAAAAAAAATGACAACACCAGCACAACAGCTGTCTGGTGTGAATAAATCAAAATTACACAAATTTTATTATATAGACACAATTATATATTTTTTGGTGTGCTGCAGAATTTTAGTAGTTTATGTATGCCATGTATTGTTTTTAACTACACATGTTACAAAAATATGTATCATATAATCACTTAAATACATCACAGTGAATAAGGTCGTCAATGAGCTTCAGGAATTCTTCTATTACAAAATCTTACCTCTTCAAAAACAGCAGCTTTATTTACTTTTTCCCTTGCAATGTCACAGATTTTCAAGATTCCCAGAGCAAAAGCTTTCATGGCAGGATCTTCTATAAAGTCTGGATTATGAATGTAAAGGCACGTAAATACTGTCTGTGCCAAGGAGTGGCCTTCTAACCATGTTATCTATAAAATAAATAAAAGAATGTATATGTTTAAGGTGACACAGAGTCTGCAAAGTCTAAATTAATTCAACAGTCAAAGGCCAAAGTGCCACAGACCCAAACAAATATATTAATCACAAGATTTAAAAGGTGATTAAAGGGAAGGTCAAGAAAGACAAAAGTTAGAATTTCCCTTGACTAAAGTCTTTCAAGAGTCACATACCATAAATATGATTAGCTGAAAGATATAAATACGGAAAGCATTCTTATGTATAATTCAGTTTGCGATATATTTGGAGACCAATGAAACTAGAGTGCTTCCAAATACAGCATCCAAAAGCAATCAACTCCACATGTAGTCAATAAAAATCCACAAACTAGGGAATTTACAATTTTAGAACTAACGAGGACCCTAGTCACTCATTCAACTTTTCTTTTGCATGTTTAATACTTCTCCCAGTCAAGAGCATCACATCTCACCTAGATTACTGCAAGAAACTACACAATGGTCTTACTGCCTTCCATCTCTAATTCAATATCCCCAACCAGAGAAATCTTTTTAAAACACAAAAAATAATCACTCAACAATATTTTATTGAGTAGTTACAATGGGCCAGGTAGCAGGTGCTCAAAGCTGGGAATACCTACTGAGTAACTATTATGTCCCAAGTGCTGACTATGCACTTTCATATATTTTATCTCATTTTTTCTAACACTTTGAGGAGGGTCGTATTTTTCTCCTTTTACATATAAAAAAACGCAGTGAGAGTGTAAATGATTTTGCTCAAGTTTATATATTATATTTTACACTAAGTCCAACAATTCTGTAATAGAGAAAGACACATAGTGCTCAATTACAAAATGAGAAAGGCACATGAAAATTACTATAATTAAGGTATGTATTTTGTATTACCAGTGTACAGAACCTTCCAGACTAAAATCCATCTGCCTATTAAAGGCCAAATTCTTAGATACAGTCCCAAGCGTCTCATACAAATAATGGTTGCTCAACTTTGGCAAAACCCCTCTCTCTTGCCTCCATTTGTCCTATTCCACTGAGATGTAAAGTGCGAAAGGGTAAGAAAGATATTTTTGAGGGAAAGAGGCAGCTTTTGGGGAAGAAGGATCAGAATCAGGACTCTGGTTATGCCCCTTCCTAGCAATGTACTCCTAGGCAAATAAGATGATACCATATATTGAATAAGACCTAAGAGAAAAATATCCATGTAAGACACCTAGTAGAAGTTCTTCACATACTGGCAATCAATACTTAGTAAATGACCAAATGAATAAAATTTACATATTTCTAAGGTAAATGATTTAAAAGTTTAAAAAGAAAAGGATTGTTAGAAAGTAGGCAAAAAAGAAAACAGAGGTACAAATAAGAATTTTACCACAATTAACCAACATTGTTTAGGGAAGACAACTTATCCAGCATATAGAAAGCTCTAAAACATTTTCGTTGTTTTCAAAAAACATGGCCAGTTCACTACAACTCACTCTAGATTAGGAAAATACCTCTCCAAAGTGAATCCAAAGGTCTTCGTTTCAATTCTATGCTTATTTATGAAACTTTCCAATTACAGATTTGGTTCCCTGGGTACCTTGAGAACAAAAGGGTACTTTGGGTAATGGCTACATTATCATTTTCACTAGAAAGAAAATATCCCCTAGCACAGAAAATGAGAAACTAAAATCACTGGATGAAAAGATAAAATACTGTTTCCTATAGCATACCTTGGCCTGCTAATCTTATATATATATACCTTACTAGGCTAAGCAATACATGTATTTCATACTCAACATTGGTGTGTATACTTTTAAAGATAAAGATTCAGGTAAGGCATAGTTTTTAAATTAACAAATAGTGTTATTTTAACTCTTACCAAACAGCAAAAACATGTATCCATTATCCCTATCAATTCAGGCAAGGTGAGGTCTTTGATTTTAATGGTGCCATCCTAAAAAAGAGGGAATGTGACACATAAACACAAGTTTTTAAAATTTATGTACAGTAGCATTTTGCAAATGCTATATCAAATCCAGCATTTTGGCTTTCAAAAATTAAGTATTTAGCAATAGCAAAAAATAGCAATTTTAAGAAAACTCTATCTCATCATCTGATAAAACTGATGCCAAATTAACTCTGTAGTCTTAAAAATAATATGCCTAAAACAAGTCTTCGGTAAGAAAAATCAAAGCCTCTTTCATTTGAAACAGAATAAAGGCCTTTATAAAGAAATGAAAAGCCAAACCAACAAGTATTTTCAAAGCAGTTCAAATTAGTTTCAAGCATTAATATGAATCATTATAATAATCAAAACTTACAAAGAATATAAACATTTTTAAAAAACACTTCCCTGCGCTGGCAGGTTTGGCTCAGCAGTTAGAACACTGGCTCATGGAACAGTCTCGTTCTTGATTCTGGTCAAGGGCCTGTACCTTGGTTTTGGTTTGGTCCCCGATCCTGGTTGAGGTTGTACAGGAGGCAACCAATCAATGTGTCTCTTTCACACTGATGTTTCTCTCTCTCTCCCCCTCTCCCACTCTATCTGAAGATAAATGGAAAAATATCCTCTGGTGAGGATTAAAAAAATAATACTAATAAAAATATTTCTCTTAAGTTGGTTAACTATATATTACTTGTAAATTTTGTTTACAATATCCCTTCACTTAGCAAATCTTTTTTCATAAAATATGTAAAATTAAACTGTGGTAACTATGAATGAATTTCTAAATCAATTCCCAATGAATAAATTTAAAATTCACTACCACACTTTACTTAATATATTAATAGATAGGTTATGGGTTTTGATCCCCAGTGGGAGTGAATAAGGGAGGAAACCAATCGATGTTTCTCTCTCACACTGATATTTCTTTCTCTCCCTTCCTCCCTCTAAAAAAAAAAAATCAATGAAAACATATCCTTGGATGAGGATTAAAAAATTTATAATAAAAAAAAATATATATTGCCCTGGACAGTTTTGCTCAGTGGTTAGAGCATGAGCCTGCGGTCCAGAGAGACCCAGGTTTGGTTCCCGCTAAGGGCACGTACCTCGGTTGCAGTTTGTCCCCGGCCCTGGTTGGTCGTGCGGGTGGCAACCACTCAATGTGTCCCTTTTACATCGATGTTTCTCTCTCTCTCTCCCTCCCACTCTATCTGAACAAAAAATGGACAAATGTCCTCAGGTGAGGATAAAAAAAAATATATATATATATATATATAAAAAAAATGTAATCCCTAAGCCAGTTACCATGGTTTAAAATATATACTCACATGCTTTTAAAAATCAATTTAAAAAATGCACACACAGTCCTGGCTGTTTTGGCTCAGTGGTTAGAGCACTGGCCTGCGGTCCAGAGAGACCCGGGTTCGGTTCCCTCTAAGGGCATGTGCTTCGGATGCAGTTTGTCCCTGGCCTTGGTTGGGTTGTGCGAGTGGCAACCACTCGATGTGTCCCTTTCACGTCGACGTTTCTCTCTCTCTCCCTCCCACTCTATCTGAACAAAAAATGAAAAAATGTCCTCGGGTGAGGATAAAAAAATAAAAACAAAAATAAGAATGCACACACACAAATGCAGAGCAAACTTTTAATGAAGACCTTAAATATTTAATTTTCAACCCTGGCCAGTTTGGCTCAGTGGTAGGAGCATCGGCCTGTGGACCAATGAGTCGCAGGTTCGATTCTGGTTAAGGGCATGTGCCTTGGTTGTGGTTCATCTCTGGCCCTGGTCGGGGTCATGCGGGAGGCAACAAGTTGATGTGTCCCTCTCACATCGATGTTTCCCTCACTCTCCCACTCTATCTGAAGATAAATGGAAAAATATCCTCAGGTGAGGATTAAAAAAAAATTTAAATTTCAGATTTCAATAGAAAGAGATAGATAACTAAAGGTTATAACTAATTCTTGTTTATATATCTGAGCTACTTTTAGAAAATTATACTTTAAGTTAATATACTGTTTCATTTCCATTATTAATCAAAATGTTTTAAAATATAAATAACAATAAAAGCAAACACAAAAAGTACAATGGTGACCACCTTGATAGCTTGTTCAAAATTGAGAACTTTTCGATTAACTTGGTTTCCAATCATGCCAGCATCCATCTTGGGATCCATCATTTCAATGGCAGACATGGCTTCAAATAGACCAAATCTGCAAATAAAAAAATTGACCCCACAAATTGTTTCTGAACTAGTGATCTTACCCAGATTCCCACAATGGTGTAAAATTATAATAGTACTTTAAATAACTACAGTATTCTATGTACTTAATATACAAGTCTTTCCAACTTGCTATCACTTCTACTTCAATTAAATAACCTTCCTTTAACACAAAAATTCTTCCATTTACTTGTTACTGAAATTCCTTTACATGCACTGTGGAGGAGAAAACAAAATATAGTTTTTGCACTTCTTTCAACAGGTTGCGCATTAGAAATATTTTGGGGGGAAAAAGCATCAACTGCTCTATAACAGATTCCAGTTTGCCTTTTTTTTCTTCTCCCAACTTTATTGTTTGTGCGTGTTTTTAGCATCATGAATTTGAAAAAAACAAAACTAGGTTTATAAGTTAGTAGCCACATTTAATATTTGGACCACTTTTTAGTCTTCAGTGCTTAAAACACTAGAGCAGCACAGACCAACAGAAATATAACATGAGCCACAAAGATAATTCTAACTTTTCTAGTAGCTACACAAAAACATAAAAAGAAACAGATACAATTGATTTTAATAACATATCTTATTTAATCCAATATACCCCAAATTTTTATTTTAACAGGTACTCGGTATAGAAAATTATTTGTGAGATATTTTGCATTCCTTTTTCCATATTAAGTTTTTGAACATCAAAGCATATATTACGCCACATTTCAATTTGGGTCAGCTGATAGCCGTGTGTGGCTACTGGATAACACAGCTCTAGAACTTAGCTTCTAGTAACATCAGCACTTCACCTAAGGTCTCTGTTAGGTCTCCAATTTTTCTTCTTCTTGCTGCTTTTTTAAGTTTTAAGAAAGCAGCTCTTAAAGAGTCAGAACCTGTGCTGATATTTAAAAGAAAACAAATAAAAAAAGACAGAACCAGGAGCCTCAGATTAGAGTCTAATTTCTCAAGATATCTAATTGGAATTTTGTTCAAATATAAGTGATAAGCAAAATCTCTTACAGCCATGTCATTTAGATATAACAATTATAGCAAATATTTCATAAAGGCTTGGCCCTAAGCTAGGCACTATGGAAGTCAGGAAGAAGTATATGATTGTCATCAGGGCCTTAAAATCATTTTTTTGGAAAGAAAAACATACATATATGAAATCATCAAATAAGCAAGTAGGACAAAGATTTAGCTAAGCAGAGGCAAGGGAAAGTACAGGTGAAGGGAAAAGAGTGTACAAAGGTGCAGAAGCTAGAACTTGCCAGGGGAAAAAGGAGCACACAGTCACCCTCAGGAGGTCCTTGTTCTGCCAGCTTTCTCCTTGTTGGAGACCTCCCATGAAAAAGAAGGGAGCATGATGTCAACTTGCTTTTTACTCCAAAGAACGGAGGTATAGTTCAAATCTCTCTGCTTCTATTCTACTGAACTGTACTTCAGCACAATAGCTGTATGATGCAGGGTTTTGGGATTTTTTAAATTCTCTTTTGTATATATAAATTAGTGAGACTGGTCTATTTCTGAAACTGTTTTAGCTTTAATCCTATGGATAGCAATCTGGAGACCCTTACCAATTTTACGTGCTCAATTGAGAGTCCTTGAGAATACTTAGTACTTATCTTCCCTAGTAGCTATGGCCTCTAGAGAGCCTGTGCTGTTTTTGGTATATGAATGTAAACTGAACAAATATATGGGACTTTGTAATCGAGATAACATGCCAAAGTATTTTTTGTATAACATCAGTCCTGTGGGGATTCCATGAAATAAAGTTTCCATGGTCAGTAGCATTTTGAAAACTGTATACCATGTCCTCTTCTTGGAGAGGCACTAGGTGTATTAGCATATTAGATCTTGGAGTCCTGAAGGAAGGTAATTCTTTTTACTTAGTTTAATCCAGCACTTTCAAATCAATTACTTTTGGAACACCCCACTCCTTCTCCCTTAACACCTTTAACATCCTTATCCTAAAGATCTGGATTCTGACTCTGACTGTCATTTTGAAAGTCATTTGACACCTCTATGACATTATCTTCATAATCTAGATAGGTATTTTAAATCCATATATGATTCTCATCTGTAGATGAATATATTTGTCTGAATGTCTAGAGGATTTGGAGAAAGATCATTAGTGTTCCTAAGAGGATGCATTTGACCATAAATTAGGGCAATAGGAAACACACATTCTTTGGGGTTTGGTTCTCAAATATTCTTAAGTATCATCAAGGCAAACTGAATTATCTCATTAAACTGATAAATTTCTGGTTTTAAAGGGTTTAATGTGGTTGGCATGTATGTCATCTGATTCTTATCAGACCCTGGGGGTAGTACTTACCAGAACTAGGAGTATCAGATATTTTTGGAGCTAGAGCTTCCTTTTCTAGACTGGTTAAATACATTTCATTCAAGGTCAGGTTTAAGGCTTAATCCTTCCTCAATCCTTTCCTGACCATAGGAAGCTCCACTTCCAAAGTCCATCAGTTTCCATGCAAGTTCATTGACATCACCACCGCTGGCCACCTGGACCCCATCCACATTTCTATTTGATGGTCAATACATGTATTAAACATTTAGTCTTTGTTGTTTAATTTAAGGATTATATTAGCCATTTTAGTATTTTTATTGCTCTAATGAATTATCATTTTTCTTGCAATTTATTACATTTTAAAATAATTGGGTGACCCAGTCCCTGTCACTGAGTATAAAGGTTTATTTATTTTTAATTTAATTTATTGGGGTGACATCAATTCATAAAATTATAAAGTTTTCAGCTGTATAATTCTGTAATACATCATCTGTATATTGTACTGTGAGTTCACCAACTCAAGTCAGTTTGCCTTCTTTATATAATTTTCTCTACTTAATATTTAGAAAGTCATGCTTGGAATAATCATGAACAAATATAACTTTTAGGTTTTTACATTTTCTTTATATCTTGAAAGTCCAATAATTTGGACATTAAACTCTACAAGTTTTAGCAAGTATAAAATGAAAAGCAATCCAGAAATCCAGACGATCTAGTATTTGTGGCTTATAAACCATAAAAGCAGATAGTTTTGATGCACTATGGATTGATAAGTATTTCATTAACTGAGACAGGCCTCAAGAAGTGGCAAGGAAAGAAGAAAAGCCAAAAAGAAAATTTGACTCTAGTTATTTCATTCATTCAACAAATACTGAGTCCCTTCTATGTGCTAGGAACTTGGGACATCAGCGAGCAAAACAAATTTGCCTGCCTCATGGAGTTTACAGTCTAATGTAAGGAAACAGACAATAAGCAATAAAGATAAGTAAATTACATAGTATGTTATAAGACTGTACATGCTAGGAAGAAAAGACAGCTAAAGAAGATATGAATTGGAAGGATACAACTTGAATAGATGGTCAAGGTAGGCTGCTATTTCCTGGGCTGAGCCTAAAGCCTTGGGAAAATAAAGAGGGCTAGGTCCCTCTAGCTGTGCTCTCTCAAATCTTGTTCTATAGCTTTCCCACATCAGCTTACGATTTCGTTTCATCATATCCTTCCCTAAGTGCCTGCAACATCAAAATAATGACCTACGGTGATTCTCAAAGTGTTATCCCAGGATCAGCAGCATCAATCTCACCAGGAAATGTGTTAAAATCGCAACTTCTCGGATCCTACATTAGACCTACTAAATAAGAAACTCTGGGGGTAGAGGCCATCAATCTGCTTTTTAAAAAGCCCTTCAGATGACTGTGATGCACATTAAAGTTTGAGAAGAACTAAATTTCAGGTTCTACTCCCTCTCCCCAAATGCCCAGTATTGCCCACCTATTCATTTAAAATGTCATATTCCTAATCTTACAAATTGAGCCTGAATATAGCAGTATGGGAACTAAGGCTATCTATGAGAGTATAAATATAATTCAGCAGTTTCCTTCACTTTACCTCACCAGGGATTCCAAGTCTACTTTCACCCAGGTATTTAGTCACTTATTTGTGGTCATCACATATGACATACAACCAACACCTTTTCTTTAAGAAATGCCACATCCTGTACATTTATCCTCAAGGAAAGGACCATAAGTCACAGTTTCACTTATACAAACATTTCATATCACTAGGGTCAGCTGCCCCAAAATAGCACACCAAGGTTAAAAATATATTTATAATTAGTTTTATTATTTTATAGCTTTGAATGTAAAATTACTCAGAATTCAAGTACTTGGGAAATGTACTTTTTCTGCACATGAGAAAAAACAAATGGAAATATCACACCACAGTATTACAAAGGACACAAAGACTTACAGTTTATCATGAAGCAGTTCTCCCAACTTTAATTCTAAAAGAAATAAAGAGAAAAATCCTTTGTATAACACCATATTTATATTTAACTTTAAGTGTTCAGAAAAAAAATTAGACAAAATATTGGCACCTAAAAAATGTGCTAACATTACTTTTTTCTTTTTTAATTTTTTTTCTTTATTGATCAGAGAAAGAGAGAAAGGGAGAGAAAAAGATAGAAACATCGATGAGAGAGAACATCGACTGGCCACCTCCTGCATGCCCCTCACTGGAGATTGGGCCCACAACCTGGGCATGTGCCCTGATCAGGAATTGAACCGGTGACCTCTTGGTGCATGGGTTGATGCTCAACCACTGAGCCACACCAGCTGGGCTGCTTGTAGTACTTTAAACCTCATTTTCTGAGATATGCCTGTATTATTTCTACTCAATCACTAACACAATGCCTTCTACACAGTGAACATTTAGAACCACAAACTAAACTTTTAAGAATTAACAAACGACCCATCAAAGGGCAAATAATCCGATTAGTTTCCAACCTCATTAAAAAAATTTCCCCTAAATAAAACCCTTTCATAGAACTGACTGGTATTTCTCAAGTTGTTTTTAAACCAGTTGGTAGCAATCTAATCTCCTTTCGTCCTAGGAACAGTGTTAAAATTATTTTTTTAATTACATTTTATTTAAATATAGAAAACACTTGCATAAATAGCTAATCAAAACACTGTTCATCCCCTATAAAACAGTTCTCAACCATGGCTGCATATTAATATCAACTGGGGAGCTTCTGAAAAATGTCAAAATCCAAGCAGCACCCCAAACCAACTAGGGGTGGGGCTTATGCAGTGGTTTTAAAGTATTCCAGGTGATTTCAATGAGCAGGTAAGGTGGGAACCATTACTGTGACATTTTAAGTAGCTTAAATATTGATGGTCAAATCCTGTGGAAGGTATAAAGAAGCAGTTTTCAGAACTTCCTAGCTAATCAAAACTGAAATAACAGCAATCCTCTTAGATAACATAAGCTAAATAACAATCATTTTTAACAGTTCCATGTACCAAAACAGATACATCAAGGAGAGGCATATATCAAAATACTATAACAAAGCATATAATAGAATATATAACAGTTCTCAAAATTGGTCTAGAAACCCAGAAGTCAGTGATGTTAATATTATTTTCATAATAATACTAAAACATTCTCTTTTTCATTATGTTGACATTTGCAGATAGTGCAAAAGTAATAATGTGAAGAGGGGATAAAAAAAGCAATGTTGGGCCCTGGCCGGTTTGGCTATGCAGTTAGAGCTTCGGCCTGCGGTCCAGAGAGACCCAGGTTCAGTTTCCACTAAGGGCATGTACCTCAGTTGCAGTTTGTCCCAGGCCCTGGTTGGGTCGTATAGGTGGCAGCCACTTGATGTGTCCCTTTCACGTCGATGTTTCTCTCTCTCTCTCTCTCTCTCTCTCTCTCTCTCTCTCTCTCTCTCCCCCACTCTCTCTCCCACTCTATCTGAACAAAAAATGTCTTCGGGTGAGGATATTAAAAAAAAAAAAAGCAATGTTGGGAAAAATTGCTGTAGCTTCAGCACAAATCAAGACAGTGACCCCCAAGCTAAACAGTGGATCTTTCAACTCCATGTACTTGAAGTTAAAAAACAAAAAAAAATTTTTTTTTAATTTGCTCAAGAAGTCTTTGATGAAACAGTAAAAATTAGTAATCTCAGAGGCAGGACCAGGATGCAACAAGTGAGGCACCCATGGTACAAAATGTAACGAGGCACTTGCTTTCCATAGTGCCTTCTTAACTTTGCACTCCAGCCAGATGCCTTACCTGGTTCACCCTAGTGCTGGCCCTGATTTATGATTTATTGTATTACAACTCAATCATTAAGTACACATCCAATCTTTATTCTGTTTGACAGAATAAAGAGGAAGTATATTAACACTTCCAGTGCATACCAGTGTAAGAGGCTGTCTCAAGGAATTATCACAGAACACCGTTTTTACTTCATTTGGAAAGCGTTTAAGCTGACACTGAGGGCTTGACTTGACCATATTTTACCATACTTATAAACACTTTTCTGATTATATTGATGGTGATATTAACAAATGTGCTTTTTAAAAAATATTGTATAATGAAGTGTGCCAACATTTAGAGGATCTGCTTCACTCACAACCCAAATTTTGCAAATGGCAATGAATGTTACAAAATTAGGCATATAAAAGATCCACTCAAAGTTCAAGACAAATCAATGTATTTTAATGTACCAGAGCATGAAAAATCACTGGCTTCAGATTCTGCACAATTAATCTTTAAGAAACTATCACCTATAAAGAATATTCACAATTACCTAAAAAGTTTATTCCACCTTTCAACTACATATTTGGTAAGGTCAGATTTACTTCATATAGTTCAACCAAAATAACCTGTAGTAACCAACTGAATACAGAGCAGATATGGAATTCAGGTGCCCCCTACTATGCCAACATTTAAGAGAATTTCAAAAATATAAAACAACTCCCCTCTTCTAACTTGTTTTTTGTTTTGGAAAATACATTGATTTTTTTTTTTTTTTCATTAGAAAAATGTTACGTTAATATGCAATGAGTTTACTATCATTTTCAAATAAATAAGTTTTAAAAAAATTTTTCAGTTTTAAATTCTAATGCAGTAAGCATCTATATAGGACACACATAAACAATAAGTAAGAGTGTAAGAGAGTCATTTTTAAGAATATAATGGGGTCCTGAGGCAAAAAATAAATAAAACAAACTAAAACTGCTGTAATAATCTATCATATACTTAGAGTATATTTGGGTACCAAATAGTTTCACCAAACTTTAAAATAAAAACACTCCACAGACTTAGAAGCAAGTCAATAACTCTAGGACTTGGTTTCCTTATCTGTAAAATAAGGGGCTGAACCAGATGACTCTTGTAAGGTCCCTCAGAACTCCAGTAATCAGCTCACTCACTAGTAAACCAAAGGCAGTTAACTTCAAAATGTACTCACTAAGCGGAGTAGCAGTATTTTCACTGCATGACCAATAACTGGACATAAATTTATGATCTTGTATAGCACTATAGACATAAGTAACCTGGGTCTCATCCAACTGGGCAGCAGTTCTCCAAAAACTTAGTGAGAAGAATAATGTTTTACATTTATCATTAGCAGACACAGCAATGACCTCATCACACATCATGCAGTCTCGAAAATTCCACTGGACACTAATAAGATAATGAGAGTCCGAAAGGTAAGTTAATGTCTTATTACAACCATGAAAATAGTTTTGATCTAGCATACCCCATGAAACAGTCTTAGGGATCCCAGAAATCAAGGACAACACAAAACCACTGAATTAAGTTAACACAGTTATTTATTTTTAAAAATTTGCTTCTACTTTTAAGTTAAAGCCTTAAGTAGGTACAATATAACTCAGAGCAAAGGGAAATAATAGATACAAGGAAAGTTGATGACTCAAAAAATTTTACACAATCTTGATAATAAACCACATTTCTATTTTATCCTCTCTCTCATAAAGGGCATGAATAGAAATGTTGTGAGAGAAAATTTGACTTAATTTTTCAATTACAGAATTTCATGACATCTTGCTGAGAACATACTTCCTTTGCCTTGGAAATAAATAATGAATCATAACTTGTGGCTGGAGTTTGTGCATGCAGCAGTGCTGAGCACCTGAAGCATATCATCATTTCCCTGAAGAAACATCATTTTGCCATGTTATTAATGAGGTTTTTGTAAAGTGGTATTATAGATCTTTGGATAGATTTCTACACATAACATTATAAATGATGGTTAGTTCCCAGCTAGGGTCCCCATTAAGGCCCTATTGAATCCACGACATAGCCAAAATCCAATACCACTGTAATAGTGATATTTAAACAGATCATTCAGTTTACCCTTGGGTAAAGGTGGCCAACTGAACACATGAAACTACTTTTAATTCCCTCCTGAAATCTTATTAAAACCACTAGAATTAATTGTTTTTAAAGAAGGGTATAAACTAACTCAAAAGAAGAGGTAAAATAAATGCAGAAATAATACAACACCACTTGGGAAACTTGGAAACAGAAAGACAAGCCGTTTCCTAGCAAACCCCCCAAAATAAACCAAGCAGTAGAGAAAGCCAAAAACCAACTTGATTTACTACTTACTTCTAAAAGTGAGGGGCCATCCTGTGCATCAAATAGTTAACAGCATCCTTAGGGTGTGTAACAACTAGATACCAATAGCAACTTGCCCCACCCCCACTGTGACAACCAAACTTGTCTCAAGACAATGGCAAATGTCCGTTGAGGGGTAAGATCACCCTGGTGGAGAAACGATGATCTAAAGTGATCCACAATTAACAGTGTATCCACAATTACCACCAGTGATCCACAATTACCAGCTGCCCACTCAACCTATGCCCCACCACTGAAAATATTCTTATAGTAACGGAAAGAGGAAAACATAATTTTCATTTCTAAAACATCAATCCCTTAAAAAATACTTCACAGGCTGCCTAGATCTTTTACCAGGAAAATTTCTGTCCATCTTTTTCCTCTTACAATAAAGTTCTAACAAATAGTAAATTCTTAGAACAACGATTCTCAAACTTGGATTCATGGATGGGAATGGGGGAACAAAAGTCCATGAAAGTTTTATCAATAATCTATACTTCTTCTATAATTGTTAAATGCTATGTAATCAGTTCAATGACAATCTTTTAAAATTACAGAAACAGCCCTGGCCAGTTTGGCTCAGCGGTTAGAGCGTCGGCCTGCGGTCTGGAGAGACCCGGGTTCGGTTCCCGCTAAGGGCATGTACTTCGGTTGCAGTTTGTCCCCGGCCCTGGTTGGTCGTGCGGGTGGCAGCCACTCAATGTGTTCCTTTCACATCAATGTTTCTCTCTCTCTGTTCCCCTCTCTCCCTCCCACTCTACCTGAACAAAAAATGGAAAAATGTCCTCGGGTGAGGATAAAAAATAAATAAATAAATAAAAAATAAAATTACAGATAACATCCATATGCTACAATTTCAGTGCCTGAGCTTGTTTCATAATTATGCTGGTTCTAAGCAGTCACCCAAAATGATAGCATTTAATGTAATGCAGTGATTCTCAAATGTCTAAAGCCCAAGATCCAGATATTTTTCTAGTTTGAAGAAACATGACCTTAGAATATTCATCTATTCTTAAAACAAATACATAGTGAGCACCTATAAAAGTTCTGGGTAAGAGAAGACAAAACAGAAAGGAAGCTTAAGCAACCTAGATTGTAAAAGAGGGAAGAGAAAACAATAAAAGGAATTGTCCAAAAGTACTGGGCCAGAACTGAAGACACTCGATGAAAAAGTATCTTACACAATGATACCTGTAATAAAGACTGGCTAAGGAAGAACAAACTAAGTTATCAAAGAGAGAAGAAAATGGGAATAGAGATGGGTCCATATCCTCCTTGACTACAGCTTAAAAAGAATGGAAGTTAGTGACAGCTCACCATGGCTTTGAGACACTATCCTAGGAGAAGTTATTGGCTATCCAGAGAGCATGTGAAAGAAGGGAATCTTGGTAGGCAGAAGAAGGAGAAGTGTATACTTTATGATTATTTATGTTTAAGTGAAATTTGTAAGCTGTGGGTTTGTAATTCAGAAAGCATCTAAATATAGAACAGAGACTACTTTACCGGTAACAAAATGAAATGGTTTTAATTAGGCAAGGTTTCCTAGAGAAACAAAGCACAGAGGTGCTCTTCAGATTAATAATTTATACATATCAGGCAAAATTACAGTGATGGCACCATACATTCAAAATGATTTGGAAAGAAAAAGACAAAGTCTCAATGTTGGTTATAGGAAATGTGGAGGGAATGTGTGCCATCTACCTAATAACAAAAGAATTGATGAAAGTTGCCCTGGCCGGTTTGGCTCAGCGGTTAGAGCGTCGGCCTGCGGTACAGAGACCCAGGTTCAGTTCCCGCTAAGGGCACGTACCTCGGTTGCAGTTTGTCCCCGGCCCTGGTTGGTCGTGCGGGTGGCAGCCACTCAGTGTGTCCCTTCACATCGATGTTTCTCCCTCTTTCACTTCCTCTCTCTCCCTCCCGCTCTATCTGAACAAAAAATGGAAAAATGTCCTCGGGTGAGGATTAAAAAAAAAAAAAAAAAATTGATGAAAGTTAGAATTTGAGCCCAGCGAGTGTGGCTCAGTGGATTGAGTGTTCATCCCATCGATTTAGAGGTCCAGTTCAATTCAGGGCACATGTCCAGGTTGGGTGTTTGATCCCCAGTAGGGGGCGTGCAGGAGGCAGCCAATCGATGTTTCTCTTCCACATCAATGTTTCTGTCTCTCCCTCTCCCTTCTTCCCTCTAAAATATCAAAAACAGTATTTTTTAAAAAGTTAGAATTTGATCCAGAGAACTCTGAAGAGACACTAAAAGGATAAGTAGAAATGTACATGAAAAATATCATCATCCATAAGCAGATTTTACTGTACCAAATAAAATAAATCCATCAAAGTCTAGCCAAATACCATCATACTGTCACCAAACAGCAGAAACCACTGCAATACTTAAAGAAAAGGATGTAGTGATATCTGTTTTATTTATTTTTTATTTTATTTATTATTATTATTTTTAAATTTTTACCCTTTATTGATATTAGAGAGAGAGGAAGGGATAGGGAGAGATGGAAACAACCATGAGTGAGAACATCGAGTGGCCGCCTCCTGTGTGCCCCCCACTGGGGACTGGGCCCACAACCTGGGTATGTGCTGTTACCGGGAATCGAACCAGCGACCTCTTGGTGCATGAGTTGATGCTCAACCACTGAGCTACACCAGCTGGGCGTGATGTCTTTTAAATTTAGTTTTCAGAAAGTTGCTAGAAGCCTAAACTATAATTCAATCAATGAATTTGTTTATGTCAAGAAGGGACAACAAATTATTAATAACACAACTTCAAGACCAGCCAACAGCCTTTAGTCCTAAATCTACATGTAAAGGAAGATTAATTGTATATCAACATTTTAGTTTTAAGAAGTACACCTCAGCCCTAGCTTGTTTGCTCAGTGGTTAGTGTTGGCCCAAAGATGGAAGAGTCGCAGGTTCGATTCCCGGTCAAGGGCATAAACTGTGGGTGCAGGTTCAATCCCTAGCCTTGCTCGGGGTTGTGCAGGAGGCCACCAGCTAATGTGTCTCTCTCATATCGATGTTTCTCTCTCTCTCCCTCCTTCTCACTCTATCTGAAAAAACTGGTGCAGGAATATCCTTGGGTGAGGGGGAAAAAAAAGAAGTACACCTCACATTTGTGCCACTTTAAACAACCCCAGGGCCAATTACAGAAGAGTTAAAAGGATGGCTTGATGTTGGCAACAAAATGGCATACCACCCTTTCTCAATCCACACTGAAGCAGGGGTTAAACCGTATCTCTTACTCTAGGTTCCTTCCATGAAGAAGCAGAATTATTCACTGTTCCTCAAACATAAAAACTATATATGGCTCTAATGGTTCATCTTAATCTAGAATAATCCCCTTACATTCACTTAGAGAAACTCAACCACTCCTTTAAGGCCCAACTTAAGCCATAAGGACTTCATAAAACTTTTTCCATTTAGGTTCATAATGACAGCCCTCTAATACAGATCACTTAAAATCAGTGCAAGATGAGAGGTATAATCCACTTAATAGTCTAAGATATTTGAGCACAAAAACTACACTGTAACTTATACTTCTTTCTCTCTCCCTTAGATAGACATAGATGGGCAGTCACCCAACTCCCAGTCTAGTGTTCTTTCAACTATCTCTCTTAGGCATATTTTAATTGGACATGTATTTTAAGAGTCCAAGGGTAGGCATATGATTATCATTCTGCTTATACTCAACTGGCTCCCTTTCCACCTGCAGCTGCTCCAGTCTTCACTCCTTTCCTTAAGAGCAATGTTCTAAAAACACCTCACCTCACCATCACCAAAGACCTAACCTTCTTGTTCACTAAGAATATAGAAGCCATAAAGGTGTGAATCCCTCCACCATTCCTTTCCATCCACTTAGAAATATACCTATATCTTCACCATCCTAACCTCAATTCCTCCTGTCTCAGTATGTCCCTATTCTTCCCCCATCCCGAGTTAATTTTTCTACCATGCTTTTTGATCCAATCCCCTCTTAAAATTCAAGCTCTCACTCTATCTTTGTTCCTTTCTCTTATCTTCAATCTGTCACTTCAGTAATGCTCTTTCCCCTCAAATAACAAACATGTTCATTTCTCCAATCATTTATACCTAAACATTTATTGAAGTTACTATATGCTAGGGAATGTTATGTGTGCTAGGGTTACTGACAAGATCTCTGCACTCACAGAGCTTACAATCCACTGCGTGAGACTGACAATAAACAATAACTAAAAATGATTTCTGAGAGTAGATAAATGCTATGAAGAGAATAAAACAGGGTGATTCAACTGAGCTGGACAAAAGAGAATGAGGAAGGGGGTAAAGTTGCTTAGTTTGGTTATTTTGACAAATCCTCACTGGAGAGGTAACATTTAAGTGGTCAGGAAGTAGCCAGCTATGTGAAGACCTAGAGGCAAAGTAATTTAAGATATAGAAAACAAAATATGCAAAGGAAGAGAGAACCACCCAAGAGTGTTTAATTATATAAGAAGGACTTGCAGCTAACATAATGAGCCTAGTGGGGCAGTGGTACAAAAGTGAAATCTGGCCCTGCCAGTGTGGCTCAGCTGGTTGGTGCACGGTACAGTGAAAGGTGGTGGGTTCAATTCTCAGTTAGAGCACATACCTGGGTTGCAGGTGCAATCTCGAGTTGGGGTGAGTATGGGAGGCAACCGTTCAATGTTTCTCTTTCTCTCTCTAAAATCAATAAAAAACATATCCTCAGGTGGGGATTAAAAAAAAAAAAGAAGCCCTGGCCAGTTTGGCTCAGCGGTTAGAGCGTCGGCCTGCGGTCCGGAGAGACTCGGGTTTGGTTCCCGCTAAGGGCATGTACTTCGGTTGCAGTTTGTCCCGGCCCTGGTTGGTCGTGCGGGTGGCAGCCACTCGATGTGTCCCTTCACGTCGATGTTTCTCTCTCTCTCTCCTTCCTCTCTCTCCCTCCCACTCTATCTGTACAAAAAATGGAAAAATATCCTCGGGTGAGGATAAAAAAAAAGAAGAAGAAGCCCAGCCAGTGTGGCTCAGTGGTTGAGCACTGACCCATGCACCAAGAGGTAACTGGTTTGATCCCAGTCAGGGCACATGCCCAGGTTGTGGGCCTGATACCCAGTGGGGGGCATGCAGGAGGTGGCCAATTGATGATCTCTCTCATTGATGTTTCTCTCTCTCTCTCTTCCTCTCTCTGTAAAATCAATAAAGGAAAAGAAATCTGTGTAGTAGGCAGGCACCAGATCATAGAGGCCATAGGGAAGAAATTGAAATTTATTCTATATGCAACAATAAGCCACTGGAGTGATCTTAAGCAGGGAATGACATAATCTGATCATTTTTCAAACCTCAAATATGTAATAATACTACTGTCTTTAGGTCAACAGCTCAAAATTATTGCTATATACTCTCTAACCTTTACTTAAAAAGTTATAAAATTTTAATAGAAAAAACTGCCTCAACATCTGTATTTAATGCTATATTATACATACTGGCTTTACATGAAGTTAAAACTAGAGGACAGAGAATAAGTGTGGTTAACAAACTTAAGCCACACTTACCTACTGATTTGATTTATTGAGACAATGCAGAAATCATGATCAAGGTTCTATTTTACCCTTACCCGGGTTTTGAACTTTAAACCCAAAAATTCAAACTCACCTCGACAAGCTTCTTCAAAATGTTGCGTTATGTCCACCCAGTTTGTATTGCTTTTTTCCATCTTTTCTGGTATACTGAGCTCCCATCCTGAATCATCATCTTCTACGGAAGCTTTCATAACCATTATGCCTACAAAATTAATATTGGTGTGAATGAGAGGATGTAGCTTTGAGGGCCAGCGTATTTGCAAGTCATGGGTGTTAAAGTATGGGATGAAAATCTTACTAAACTGTTTAAGCAGAGCTCTTCTGAGTTTAAGGCTGGTAGTGGAAAAACATATCTTCATACAATTAAATCTCACGACAATTAACACTACTGCTGCTCATTTACTTAGCCAACCACCTACCAGAGCTCATAAAGAGTTTGCCTTCTCACTATTTAAGCAGAAAAAGAACACGCCATCCCACCGCTGGCCCAAACAGAAGCAGCTCCAGAGCTTCCAACATTCAACACAGGCCGCAAATGACCAAGACATTCTTCGGGTCCCCTCTCGCAACTCTTCAAGTCAAGGCGGTCCCTCACCTGCCAGGAGCTGGCCGAGCCAACCTCTCCCGGGCCGGCAGGAGCCGGACAGTGCCGCCGCGGGGCACCGCGTGCGGAGCGCTCCGTGGGGACCCACCCGCCAGGCCCAGGGCGAGGACCACCGCAGGCGGGGACACGCACCACCCCTATCCGGGTCCTCCCGCCTCGGTCCTGGCCCCGGCCACCCAGGGCGCGAAAGCAAGGACAGGGCTATTGTCGCGCGGGACTGTGGGCACGCCTCGTACCGGGTCTTCCCCCGGTAACACCGTCCAGGCCGGGGCCTTGGCGGGCGGCGGGCACCCGGGAACCCGCAGCTCCTACCTGAAGCGCGGCGGGAGGGCTGGGGCCGCAGGGTGACCTGGCGTCCCCAGGGTCTGCCACACGAGCGAGGTCTGAAGCACTCAGACACGGGAGGAAGGAAGTCTCAATGGCTCCGCACGAGCGATCCCTATCTACTACTCCAGCGGCCACCCGCGCCGGCACACGGCTCAGACCGCGGAAATAACGACGACTCTTCTGCCGCCGCCGGCCCCCCTCCCCTCTCCTCTCCTCTCAGCTCGGCTCGACCGGCTGCGTGCGCGCATGCGTACGCCCAGTGCGCGCGACCCCGCCCCCTCTCCCTCACTCTTGAGGACTCACGCTCCCGGGCCACACCCCTTCCCTCGCCACTGCCACCGTTCGGCCGAAGGCGGCCGTCTTTTCCTCTCGCGGAAGTAGAGCCAATCGCGAGACCGGAGGACACCTTCCTTCTTCAGCCTCGGACGGAGTCCCTGGGTAGGGGGCAGGTCCCGGTGAGGGGCGGAGCCTGGGGCCGCCGCGCCCGCCCCGCCCCGCGCGGCTCCCTGGGAAATTCTTAGAAAGGTGACGTGAAGGCTCAAGGAAACCGTGGAAGGGCAAGTAGACCCTACGGTTGCGGTCTTGAATGAAGAGCCCGGCCCCCAGAGCTCTCGCGAGTTAGTGCTGCCCGACACCAGTTTCATGATTTCTCCAGAGCGCCTTTGGGCTTTGTGAAGGAAAAGAGAAACAAAATATCTGCAGGGTCAAGCCAGCCAGTTTCTTTCAAACTCTTGCAAAAAAATTTCATAAAATCAGTTTTGAAGTGGGGTTAAGGAAGTAGCCTGGTGCTTTACCACTACATACCCATTAAACCGTAAAAGAGAATACCAAATGTTGACTAGGACGTGGAGCAACTGGACCCCTCATTTGCTGATGGGAATGCAAAATGGTTACAATTATTTTGGTAAAGTTTGTCTTTTACTATAAAGTTAATCATGCACTTATATGATCCAACAATTCCACTCCTAGGTGTTTACTTAGGAATAAAAATATGTGTTTGTACATTAATTTTCATAGGTTTATTTTTAATGATCAAAAACTGGAAAAAAAAAACACAAATGTTCATCAACTGGTGAATGCACAAAGAACTTGGGGTATAGCCATGCTACGTAATTAATAGTAATTATTAACAAACAGGAGTGAACTATTTGACATGGAAAAACATGAATCTCAAAATAAATTATGTTGAGCAAAGAAAATCACAGTGTGAGCAAAAGAATATGATTCCATTTATATGAAACTATAAAAAGACAAATCTAAACTACAGTGATAGAAAACAGAACAATGACTATTGTGGCCAGAGGAGTGTCAAGAAATGATTAAATGGAATAGGGCTAGGTGATCTGGATGTTCTATTAATCCTCACCTGAGAATATTTTTCCATTAATTTTTTTTTTTTTTTAAGATAGAGTGGGAGGGAGGGAGAGAGAGAAAAAAAAACAAAATATCTATTTGAGAGAGACACATGTTGACTGACTCCTGCAGGACCCTGACCAGGCAACCTGCAATCCAGGCACATGCCCTTGCCCGGAAATTGAACCCAAGACCCTCCGGTCTGTGGGCTGATGCTCTAACCTCTGAGACAAACCAGCCGGGGCAAGAACACATCTTTATGTCTCTTACAGGATAATATGTTTCCTAAGGGCTGGAGCTTTAACTATTTTGATTAAACCTGTATCAGCATTTAGGGCAGTGGTTGGCATATAGTAGGCATTCACTAAATGCACTGGGGGCCCACAAGCTGGGCACGTGCCCTGACTGGGAATTGAACCAGCAACCTCTTGGTGCATGGGTCAATGCTCAACCACTGAGCCACACCGACTGGGCTAATTTATCATCATTTAACTTACCATCATTCTACATACTTTATAGTGTTGAAAAATGATGGGCATTTTAGACATTAGATAGACTACATGATGAATAAATAAATGAAAAGGAACTGATTAACAAACAATTGGTCTACATAAATAAGCCTATAGATACAGAGTTGATGGGCATTTTTGGAGAGCTGGAAATGAATTCTTATGAGTCTAAATCTTAACTTGTAAAATCCTAAGTATTCCATGCTTAAACACTTGTGTTGAGAGTCGATTTAGCTTGATGTCATCATGTTGACTGATACCAGGAATCAGTGTAACATGGGTTAGATAAAAGCAGAGCTGCTTTTACAAATTTTACATTTGACTGTATTCAGTTTTACCACTATATAAAAAAAGTAAAGGTATCCTAAAGGCTGCAGTCAGTTTGGAGAAATGCTTTCAGAAAAGGAAAGAGAAAGAATTAAAATATCCTACTGTATCATGTGACAGAAAGAAACATTTTTTTTTTTTTATTAAGTGTAGGTAATATCAGTTTAGTTAGTTCTATTGTGTTTACCTGCTCTTTTTAAAAAAATCTGCCCTGGCCGGTTTCTCAGTGGTTAGAGCGTCGGCCCATGGACCAGAGACGGTTCAGTTCCCGCTAAGGGCATATACCTCGGTTGCAGTTCATCCTCGGCCCCAGTTGGGATCATGTGGGTGGCAACAAATCGATGTGTCTTTCTTGCATTGATGTTTCTTCCTCTCTCTTCCCTCCTCTCTCCCTCCTGTTGTATCTGAAGATAAATGCAAAAATGTCCTCGGGTGAGGATTAAAAAATAAATAAATAAATAAACAAACTTAAAAAAATTTACATTCATCTATTTTAAGAATACACAGTAATCCCATAAAGTTATTAAAAAGTTAAAATTCTGTACTAGGGGACAATGTATAATTACGTTCTGTATCATGTTTATAATGTGACAACATTATAAATATAGTTATATTTTTCTCACACATATTTTTAATTAGTTGTTTTACTATCAATTACTACTAATTGCCACTGTTAACTAGTTCTATTGTTTTGTTTAAATAAGTACATTTAAGTAACAGAAAATTAAATACAGAATACATAATTTCAAAAAATCTATTTTTTATAATTTTATGTTAAAGTAATAACACATATGTGTATATTTATTATATATCTTTTTTTCCTTGTATGGCTGTGTTCTGGATTGACTAAAAAGTTAGTCACCATACTTCACTGAGTGAATATACCATAATTTATTGACCTATTCTCTGTTGAGGGACATTTACGTTGTTTTTAGGGTTTTACTATTATAAATAGTGCTACCATAAATACCTGTGTGCATACACCTTTTAATAGTTTTGTCTGTGATCTTTGCGTTAAATTCCTCTAAGCAGAATTTGGGTACACATATATATGTAACTTTGTCTAAGTATACATGCATATATAATCTTGCTATTGCCAAATTCCCCTGTATCAGGTTTGTTCCTTTTTCATATTTCCACCAGAGACATGAGAATGCTCATTTTCTCATAGCCTCATCAATAATGTGGTTGAAGTTTTGGAATTTTGCCCAACTGTTAAATGATATCTCAGTGTAGTTTTAATTTGCATTCTCTTATCATGAGTGAGGTAGAAAATCTGTTTCTTAAAGGATCATTTGCATCTTTTTCTGTGGCATGTCTGCTCTTATCTCTAGCCCATTTTTATAGGATTATTGGTTATTTTTTTTTTTTATCCTCACCTAAGGACACTTTTTGCTTTCATCTTCAGATAGAGCGAGAGGGAGAGAGGGAGAGAGGGAGGAAGAGAGAGAGAGAAATATTGATGCGAGAGAGACACATCGAGTGGTTGCCACCCACGCGACCCCAACTGGGCCAGGGACAAACCACAACCAATGCACCCTTTGCGGACACCGAACCCGAGTCTCTCTCGACCACAGGCTGACGATCTAACCGTTGAGCCAAACCAGCCAAAACGGTTATTTTCTTTTAAAAAAAATTTTTTTTTACCCTCACCTGAGGACATTTTTGCATTTATCTTCAGATAGAGTGGAAGGGAGAGAGGAAGGAAGAGAAAGAGAGAAACATCCAGGTGAGAGAGACACATCGAGTAGTTGCCACCCACACGACCCAACCAGAGCTGGGGACAAACTGCAACTGAGGTACATACCCTTAGCAGGAACCGAACATGGGACTCTCTGGTCTGCAGGCCAATGCTCTAACTGCTGAGCCAAACTGGCCAGGGTTCTTTTTCACTTTTAAGAATCTATATATTAATTCTTTGTGATTTCATTTGCATTTTTATTAGCTGGTGTATTATTTGTGTTTATTTTTTTACTTTGATTTTGTCATTTGGAACTATGGATATTGAGATCTCATGAGAAGATGGTGTCAAGAGGGAAATGGACTCAAACTTGAGGCTTGAGGAACCCCAACATTTAAAGATCAGGTGGACGAAGAGGACCCAGTGAAAAAGGACTGAATGAGGAGAAAAATACAGGTGAGTGGTTCACTGACTCTAACTCCCAATTATCCTTTTAATAACAACACACAACATAATGTAACTTATAACATTTTTTAATCTTTTCAAAATTCTTTTTTATGAGTGATTTTCAAGCAGTTTCCTGGTACGTGTCAAGTGAACTTTTTTAACTAAGAAAAGAATAACTATGTATGTAGATTTTTAATATTTCATTGATGAATTGTCTAATGCATAGATATTGAAGCTCTTAAACTTCTATCAAAAAGGAAGTGAGCATAGCAGACATAGCAACCAATTGCAGATAAAATATGAAATTAATGAATTAGAAAAGAAATGGAAAGAATAAAGAAATACTGAAAAGCAACCTTATAAATGAGATAAAGTTTAGATCCTAATTGAAATACACTGTAAACAATTTGAAACTATTTAGTAAATTTAAACACTGACTGGATATTTGCTAGTAAAATATTAAATTTTTTTGGTAATATAAAAGTATTGTAGTAATCTTTTTAAAAAACTCTTTATTTGTTTATGAGATCCATGCGGAAATATTTATAAGGGAAAAGATATGATGCCTAGTATTTGCTTCAAAATCATCCAGTGGAATTGGAGGTAAATGTATAGAGGGGATAAGATTTGTTGATAATTGTGAAAGATGGTGATGGATATAAGAGTTCATTATACTATTCTATTTTTGTATGTGTTTAATTTTTCCATAATAAAAGTTTTCTTTAAGAACGAAATTAATAGCCAAATGTCTGTCCCTAATGGCTTTATCTCATTGAAAGAGAAAATGGTCTTCACTATGCTATATTACCATAGTCCCAGCAAGATGAGTAATGTGAAACATTGCAAGAAGTATGTTGCTACAAAATAAAACATTTTAG